CAGTCCTTCCATTGTATTAAATGCACGTAAGCAAAATATGACTTTGTCCATGTACTCAATTACAGCAAAGACAGTGGTTAATTCACAAGTGTTATGTTAAATGTCATCTCTACAGCTGAGTGTTATTTATCATTCACCAGCTAGTCTAAAAAAATCATCAAAAAGTCTGGGTTGCTTCCACATTTAAATTTTAAGATATATTCCATTACATTTGGCTAACATTTTAAAACGTAACCTTTACAAACACTCTGTTTGTGATATCAGTAACACTTACGGTTGCTTGGAGCACGTGCTTTGGAAAGTAAAACTAACATCTTTTGTATTTCATTCAATCAGTTGTTGGCTCTTTCCAAAGATAACATTGAGTTATATTTGTGGTAGCATAGATCTAGGGAATCGACCATGTAAATAAAAAATGAAAATAAATGCAGGTAAATAAATGAGCTATGCACTAAGCTTACTAAAGTGTGTGTTTTATGGTTAAGCCATTGCATTTAAGACATGCAGCACTTTGAAGAATTTAATTTCGGTTACCATATACTGTACAGTATTGTGAAACGAAGCATGCAAGTTGCCCTTACACAAAGAGAAAATAATTCCAACCGCCATAGTAAGTTCTGTCGAGAAATTATAGCTTTTAAAACAAATGTACAAACGAACGTGAAATTAAATACGCATAAGAAAACAAGAGCAACAACAATTTATAAAATGTATCTTCAAGGTATTGTTAGGTTGCATGACGAAAATTTAATTAAATTACTTGTATGATAACAATCATATCTTGTTACAAATTTTACTGACGTCTAAAATGTAACAACAAATAGAATGCAACTGGCGCAGAAAAACGGGCACTCTTTTGGATGCAAATTATAAAAATGCAGACAACGCTGTGCAGCTACATTGTAGACCGAAGAAACTTGTACTGGCAGATTTAGCATGTCCGCCTTCAGGTTCAAGGTTCGCAAATTCGGACCGCCAGTCTGCAGGTGGGTTGTTTGGTTGCGTGCGAGGATTAAAATATCCCATGACACGTTTTGCTTTAGTACGAGCAGGTGGCACGGCCAAATTTACGTAGACAATAGTAGTGCATGAATAAAAATTGGCCACATTGTAAACAAGTAGTGTAATGGAGCCACGGAACACACATCATAGAAACACACTAAATACTGTATAAATAATATAGGCATTTCTATTTTACCATCAATTTCCTGGACTTCAAATATAAATTATTGTTACACGAATCTTATAGAATTCCAAACCATATTTTTAAAAACAAATCTAAGAAACGTCTTTTATACCTCTTTGAAGCACACAATATTGTGTTGCAGCATGACCGTTCTCACTAACAGCAGCAATTTCTCATTGGCAAAACCTTAAATACGAGTCAAAATAAGATCATTTATAATTGTGGCAATTCACACCATGAAACTAGCAAAACTAAAAATAAAAAAAAATGTTTCAAAGGAACACATTCATTCACCTTCTCTGATCCCAACGTGGTCTTGTCAAAAACTGCCTGTTTTGCTACATTTCAGAAGCATTTACTGGGGTTAAAGTTTCAACCACACCCTTTAATGACAAATTGTTGAAAACGGCTCTCATCCAAATTAAAACGGCAAATTTAGTTTGCATCAAACACTCCCCAAAACAACAATTGCCTGTGAAAATACAAGTTGAAAACCACATCCCATTAGTGCTCCATGAGAACTATGAGAATATTCCACGACAAATTCCTGCCATGTATGAAGGCTTGGAATGTTTTCTTTCACAGCCACTTGTCTCAAACATTTTGCTCGTTGTAAGATTTAGCGACTTACATGCTTCATTTTTACGCTGTTTGCTACAGCAACACGTTTTCCATGTTTGCCAAGACAAAGTGAAAATGGCACATTCTCACAATGCCGACACTTATCTGCAATCAGCTCTAATGAATATGTATGATTCTGAGCAAATCCAACGCAAATATGCATATTGTAACCCTACTAAGTATTCCCAGTCTTTAAGCTAGGTGACATTAATACAAATCTGGCGCACATTCTGATTTAATAAAATAACTAGGCATCCGTCGTCAACAGATTACACAAGCATTTTCGATTGCTGGGATTATGGACCACAAGTGTCGGTGGGGTGTGTGGTACTGAACTCGCTGCCACACACATTAACCAGCAATTACACACTGCTTTCACATGCTCTCTTTAAGTTTCTAAATGCTGCTTGGGCAATCTTAAAAGAGATTCCGTCGCACACGGGACAATTATTAGGAATTTAACCCGTTCACCCACTGGGCACAGAAAGCACAAATGATGCAAAGAGACTGCAATCTCTTGACTTTTGGTGACAAAAAAAACCGGGGCTTTAAAAACACTCATTCAGGTTGGGCAAAGCGTCACAACAACACGATGGCGAGAGCCCTACACGTGAACTACTGTATTTACAAACGAAAGTGTGACTGTCCAGTTAAGCTCGTGACACATGACTGATCCTTTGAGGTTTGTTTGGCTCGCACTAGGGGTTTAACACCAACACTTGCTGGAATTCCTCACGAAGGAGCTCTGCCAAGAAGAGGTTTGCATGCCACAAGCCTGTGTGGCAAACCATGCCGGTCACGGCCCTCCCAAGAGAAAAGTCACCTCTGTATCTAGTTACTGTGGTTACCCCCATTCCATGAGCTTTTATCTTAAAATGCCCGTGATCTCGTATTCAATAAATTACAGCACAATAATCATTGAAAATGGTGAGCATGTAGTTGGTGGGCTGCACTATTAACCAGTGTTTATCGGCTGAATCACCGGTGTTGTCCGCTCCCCTCCACGAACCTCACTATCACCAAGCCTTATTAACCAGCTTGGTGAAGTATGATCAAACAACTCGTATCATCCATACGATACGGAGAGGATATCATCCAGCAGTGGATTTACATTATTAATAGCTGACAAATCACAATGCTCGCAACAACCCTTTTCTCCCAGCACCGAAAATGATACCAAGATACAAACTATATATTATTTTAAATGCTGTACAGCCAGGACTCCCCTGGGTTTTGTGTCATCACATAACACGAGTCTTCTGCCCTCAAAGCAACAGCATGCCAACATCACAAAATTATACACGCACCCAAACCTTCAACCGTCTGAGTGCCACGCTCTCATCCACACACCGGGATGCGTTTAAGGGTTTAAAAGACAAAGTTACCCCCCCTGTCCCACAGCACACGTACACACAGGCACAGACGCACACAAAACTGTCATATGCGCACACATAACTTTAATTAAGCTTACCGATACGTTAATCGCACGATTGTTTACTTTTATCTTGGTTGCTGGCGAGGCACCTATGTTCAAGAAGTGGGAGGCGACGGATGATGGACGGACGGACGAATGACAGATACGACCGGTAAAAAAAAAAAACCTACTAGAACAATAAAAAAATATAGAATTTAGAAAATATATTTTTCGGAGCAAGCAATAAAATGTACGGCATGTGTGTGTAATATTATAATAGTAGTAGTGAGCGCACTACGGGAGACGGGTGATAAATTGTAAAAATTACGACAAAAAAAACACACACAGGGCAGAGAATTCACACTACAGAGAGAAAACTCCAGCACCGCGCTACTAAACTCCGATCGATGCAGGTCTTGAAAAGAGCAGAAAAAAAACCCGAAAAGAAAACTTTGTTCTTTTTTTTTACACTACTTCTTTTCGAGCAACACAAAAAAGAGATAGAGAAACAGAGAGAACGAACGAGCGAGCGAGCGAGTTGCGAGGTTGGCCCAAAGACGACCCTGAGTGAGAAAGCGATACAGCCCAGCGCAAGCTCCCAATAGTGAACGCCCGCCCGCCCGCCTGCCCGAGGGATTTCCGGACTCCAGGTGGGCGGAGAGGAGTTGACCAGAGGCGGACCGTGTGGGTCGTGGAAGGGCCCCCCACCACCACCACCACCCCACACGCCGCCTTGCGAGAGGTGGAAGTCGTAGAGACTCCGGCAGCTGAGGTGGGACCTTGGCCCGACGAACGTGTGGGTTGAGGAGGGGGCAGTGGTTGTGATGATTTTGGGGGACTGGTGGGCGTGTGGGTCAGGGCGAGAGATTTGAGAGATTGACGGAGTGGAGGGAGGGGGTAACCAGGGACACACTGCGGGTGGGTGAGGTGGTACTGACTGACTTGGAAGGGTGAGCAGGTGAGGGTTGAAGGAGGAGTTGGATGAGGTGGAAGATTAGACGAGGTGGTGAGAGGTGGTGGTGGTGGGGGGTGCCAATGAACCGACCTCGCTTGCCTCTTTCGCCACCTCCCCTCCCCTCCAAAACCGGCAGCAGCAGAAACACAAATAATAGAAAGATGATGATGATGGCGTGAGGCGGATAGACACAGAGATAATGTAGATAAAACACAGCAAACGTAAGAACCAAGACCACCAAAGCCAGCAGCAAGAACCACGAGCAATCAGCAGTAGTCTGCTCAGCGGCGAACACACTCGCACACAACACGAGTAGCAGCGTCGGGGGCGATGGGCGGATGGAGAAAATGATAACAGTCATAATAACAACAACATCAACACACACAAAAATAATAAATAAAAATGCAAAAAAATATGGAGTCGCCCGCCTCGCCGACAAGGGGGGGGGGGGGGGTAGTGTTGGTGGGAGGAGGTTGAGCCCCGTCCCACCGCTGCCCGGCGTTCTAACACTCACACGTCGCTCTGGCTGCTGCTGCTGCCCGTGGTATCAGCAGCAGGAGCAGCAGCTTGTGGTGTCAGTGCAGCTGCTAGTGGTGTCAGTGCACGACACAACGAGGATCTCCCTCGCTCGCGTCCCTTGCGCACTCTCCCACCCGCGTCTCGTGTCTCTGTCCGCTGCGCTGCTACAGCCCCGGCCGCTTCCGCCGTCGCCTCTCCCCTCTCAGCAATCTCCACCACCAACACCACCAACACCTCTCTTCCTCGGCCACGCATCCCGGTCACCGACTGTCTCGCTCGTTCCTTGCTCACCCCCCGTCACTCACCGATGCAGTGGATGAGTTTGTGTCGCCACGAGTCGAGTTCCCGCCTGAAGCCGCGCCTCTCGGCCGAGCAGCGCGGGCTCCGGCACCAACTCGCCATCATCGTCGTCGTCGTCATCATCCGTCCGTTCCGCTTTCCTCAGCGAGCGGGCCTCCGCCCCCTTTTTTTCCGTCTTCCCTCAGCCTCCCCTCGCTTGCTCTCTCTCTCTCGCTAACCTCCTCCTCCTCCCCTCCTCCCTTGCCGCTCGTCTCCCCTCCCCGCGCGTCTCACGGACGCAGCCGCCGCCGCCGCCTCCTCCTCCTCCACCACCACCAACAACTCCCCTGTGTGTGACGACGTCCACCCGGTGACGTCATCACGCACGGCCGAGGGTTGCATCACCGCGGACGCGACGTCACCGCGCACCGTTGTGGAGATGCGGCGGTTCCGCGTGACGTCACCGCGTCGAGGTTGCGTGGTGACGTCGACTCGGGGACGTGACCGCGGGGTTGTACACGGAGCAAGCACGTGTAGTTAGTTGTCGGTTGTGCTGGGATGTAAATACTGCTTTGATGATTTGGTGTGAAAGAAACGCTGCGCAGATTCAATTGATATCAAGCGCGGTTGAATATACCGTTGAACATGTGCTTTTCTAAAGTTTGTGGAACTGTAGCTTTAGGAGGTGGAAAATATGCAACGTTTGAAATGTCAATATTTTAAATAAAATAATCAACCCACTTATTAATTAGATACTACCGTTCGTCACTAATGCCAAATTAATTATTAGGAAGCGGTCAATAATGTCAAGCCATTGAACCAGTGGAATTCACAACTTTATTATACCAGAAGTACTTCCAACACTTCTGCGTAAACTTCTAGACTAAACTTTTAAACTTAGATTTTTTTTAAGTTTGCATCGAGTGTGTCTATAAAGTTTTAGTTTGCACCCCTTTTTTCAATTGTTTTGTTTAGGGACCTTTATCATTATAATTTCTGTACTCCTAACCTGAATGGGCTAAAGTTTTACATAACGAACACATCACTTTGGAGAATTGTCCCATGAATACATTTTGAGACAAAATTGCAAGTAAATGATAATTGTTAACATCAATAATTACTCAATCACTACATCCCAGTGTATTGATGGAGACATTTCCAAACATGATTAATGCTGCTGGAAAGAATTGACTTCTGAAAATACTGGACTCTTCGCCCTTTCGACATGTTTGTTCCTTGCCATTCATAGATGATATACAGGTACATAATATCAAAACCATGGAGCGATTTCACTCGACCATTTTCAATTGGATACTATCGTTTATCACTGAAATCGTTGTTTTTAGCTTCAATTGTGAATTTGTTCATTGTATTTTATAAGAATAGGTTTCCCCTTTTTTTCTGGCAACAAACAGGTGTTAAGATGTTAGAACACCAAACTGAAACCTTTTACAAGGAATCATGTCTGCATTAACCACAATACTTGTGGTCAGAATGCAAACAAAAAACATACTCTGATAATATATGCATTGCCTTTGAAACTGATTGGTCCACACCAGAGAAAGCTTTCTTTTGAGCCTAATCTCAAAACGGTGTTAGACCAGAGGTACTGGCAAAGGAGGTCCCATGATGTAGCTGCTCACCCCGAGCTCTCATTACTCTGATAGTGCATTGTCTTTGTGCTGTACGCCTTTTGGCGTATATTATTAGAGTATGTTTTTTTGCTTGCATTCTGACCACAAGTATTGTGGTTAATGCAGGTTTCAGTTTGGTATTATAACATTTTAACACCTGTTTGTTGAATTTTGACATAAAGCTTTTGTGACTGCATGAATTCATATTCTTTGGGTCTTTCGGTAAAGTCACGTAGATATAAAAATACCTGTTTGTTTCCAGAAAAAAGGGGAAAACCTATTCTCATATTTTGGTACTGGCAAAGGACGTCCCATGATGTTTTTTTTACTTAATTGTGAAATGTATTTTAAACAGCGAATATGTTACACTCCTAGATACAGGGGCTGTGTAGACTGAGAGTGGTTAGGACATAGTTCAATTGCTGGTGATTTCTCCAGGGAATTGTCAAGGCTGTATATGAAAAAATTCAAGATCACATGGTTGTACATTTCTCCAGCATGCACAAATGGATATATACAACTTAAACTTACAATGCATTCATAATCCACTGCGGGATGAAGGCCTCCCACGCCATATTTCAGTTCAAGTTTATTTTGTTGAACAAGTATAGAATTTAAGAGACCAGGATAGTCTAATGTTCAAGAGTGACCTCAGTCACCAAAATAACAATAGCAAAAAAATCTAATAAAGCACAGAAATTAAGCAAATAGAAATCAGGCAAAAACAATTAAATTTAATGAGATATTGCATATATTTTACAAACATTAATACATACTCTTTGGTTCTTTCGGTAAAGTCACGTAATTAGAAATAAAATTAAATCAAGATTAAACATGAATACATGTTAATTAATTCATTCCTGGCAGCGTAAGTTGGTCACGGGGGGTCGGAAGGGGTGGTGGAGGCTGGGAGTTAAGGAGGACTCATTCAGATACCGCTTACCATTCGTCCGGAATTTAAATCATACCACCAGGTTGAAAGTTGAGTGCGCGAACCACTGCGCCACCGCTCTACCATTCCGCCCATCTGGATAAATATTCTGCAGAATATCCGCTTCATTGTTCATTTGGTCATTGCGTTGTTTTACTTAATTGATTGGTCACGAGACATGTGTTTTGGATGCACCACCCCCCCACCGCCCTCCCAAAAAACCCGAACAGATCCTATAGTTGTGTAATACTTACTGTATGCACCGACAGTCCTACCTAAGCTGTGTCCCCAGCTTTTTGACCTGCGTTTTGAGCCTTCTTAAAATAAATACTTTTAATGGACTTTCAGACACCAATACCCGCCACTCGCCACTAAATGATAGTGATGTCACCACGGCGCCTGTGCCAGGCCAGGTGCACTTGGGGGCCATGTGAATTGACGAAGGCTCGCTACTTTCAGACACCAGTAAAGCACTATAACGGTATGCCTGAAAATTACTTAAAAGTATTTTTACCCCCTCACAAATGAAGCTTCAAACCTGAGATGGGCAGCTCAGAACCATAGACTGTGCGCATATTTCCAAGGTTAGAGCTACACCACAATATTATATTTTTGTTTGCATCATTAAACAATTTGTCAAATAATTGTTCAAGATGAACTGAAATAGATGTTAAAGCCACTTCGTTACAAGCAACAGACAATAATCAATTGGGTATGGAATTAAGGGTGGGATTATTTCTCATATCAAAATGCAATAAGTGCCCTATTATCTATTATTTAAATTATACAGGAAACAAAACGTTTCTTCAGATGCTAATTTTAGAACTCACCCTCTAATTATTGTTATGTATGGTTGCCCAGGAAGGCCTCAGTGAGTCTCAAGACTCCTTTTCAAGGAGGGTCAAGTTTTCACAGAAGGGGATAATGTTGCTGTGTGCAATCCCAATTGAGTAATTTTCAGATCATGTTTCAGCTTTGTGATGTATTGGCCAATACCAATTAACATTGTATGCCTTTTTTTTTGCTAAGGGACGAAACCGGAGAACCGAGAGAAACCCCACTGCTAGACCAGGTGGAGAACATACCAACTCTACAAAATAAAGATGTCCGAGTCGGGAATTGAACCCAGGCCCTTCTTGCTGTGACGCACAGGTGTTTCCACTGCGCCACCATAATGGCGAATATACCATCTTACACGAACTGATACAATACTCTGAAGAAAAGTAGGCGTGGACAGTCCATGTCACTTGAAAGGATGATTGCAGCCAAGGGAGCGCTGAAAAATCAGCTCATGTGCAGCAGCTCGATCAGACGTTTTCAAACTGTGGTGTGCTTCCCTTTCGGCGGGCACGAACGCCTTGCATGGGGGGGGGGCACATGCTATGCCATGGATACCTTGCAGGAGAAATTTCAAACACGCTCTTTCACAACATGAAACGAATGCCTTACTGATACCGCCGCGTTGACTAGATGTGTGGATATCCGATCTCTCTTGTATTACGGCCTTAGTAACCTGGTGACCTGGGGGCAGCAGTGGGGGGGAGCTGAGATGGGGTGGGGACCAGCGGTCTTGGAAACCATTGAGGTTGGACTTCCATCACGAGATTGTGAGCGATGGCGGTGGTGTGGAAGAGGCCGTCATCTAGCAGTGGATAGATTATGTCTGATGATTATGATGACGAGTACAGTCACATTGCTGCTATTGTAGTATGCGAGTCGGTACAGGCATCGGGGCCCCCTGAGACTGGCCGAGATCCCGAGGCAAATGTTGATGGTGACCGTGCCAAATTATAACGCGCTTTGGGTTGGACACCCGACACCAACGGAGTTGGTTCTTTCACAGACACCATGGTTATGGCTGCAAGCTATTTATTCCCAGCGTTGTCAGATGAATGTGACAAAACCTCTAGAATCTGGTCTGAGAGGAATAGATACGATTTGTTGATTTGGCACAGGTATATTCTGAGCATTAAAACAGACATTTAAGACGGTGAACTTAACAAAAGCCACCTTTGATCAGGTGTCAGAACTATTGCACCTGCATGAATATCTATTATTTATGGAATTGCTAAAGTTTCCCTTACGTATACCGTATACTGTATGTATATTAAAAAAATCTCTACCTTTTAAAATGTCTGTCAGCGAAACAAACTTGTGAACGTCATTATATCTTCACGATTCTTTGGGTTCTTTACACCTTTTGTTCCATTTTCAATATTTCTCATTCAAATGGTATACACAGCGGGCTATATGCACCGACTGAAAATGGAATAATGAAATCGTCTCGTGATATCGGTGAATTGTTCCACCACAGTGATGAGGGGCCATCCGTTTAGTCGGTACGCAAAAAATGTCTAAACTTGACCCCTGCTCCCCCAATCACTGTACGCACGCGGACTTTTTACACCCCCCACCCCCACATGCTTACGTGCGATTGACGCCCCCCCCGAATCCTATAGAACAGCCGATATTTAATCCATGCAGAAACGATCAAGGAATAATAATATTAACGTGTCTAAGCAAACAGATAGTCCACCGCCGGACTAACTAATTTGAAGGCCAATGTAGACAAATTATTATCGAGGCTTCACCGCCCCCCCCCCCCCCGTTTCATCTGCGTACATTGTCAGTAGACCCCCCCATACGCAAGCGTACGCATTTGGGTTCACCCCCCTCCATGCGTACGTACTAAATGGATGGGTTATGTCTAAAGGTTTAACACCTCCTACCTGGCACCTGGCTAAAGAAGCAATGTGTCATACCTAGAGGTAAAACCTCTCATCTGTTACTTGTCGATGTGCTGAGAGCAATGCGCGCCTCATGCCTCGTGGTAAACCCCTATACCTGGCACGTGGTAAACCATGTGCTTCGTGCAATGTGCGTCTCGTAGCTGGCGGCCAAACCTTATACCTGGCTAGCCACGTGCTTTGAGCGTTATACAGAACGTTCCATATGCAGAGGTAAAACCACCTCCACACTCGCTTGGCACGTGTTAACTCCGTGCTCAGCGCAATTGTGCCGCTACACGCTTCACACCTGGCACCTGGCTTACCACGTGCTCAGGCAAGTGCGCGTGCGTCACTGTTAGGGGAGCGGTGGCGGAGCGGTTAGCGCGCTCACGGCCAACATCGGTATCTGAACCGGTTCTGGGCCTCCCCTAGGTCGACTCAGACTCAAGTTAGTAACAAAGGCGGTCGGGCGTGTTTGCTGGCCAGGCACCTCCTCGTGTGCCGTGCCGACCTTCACAGCACGTGCCCCAACAGTCTGTTCAGACGATAAGGTGTTGAAAGGGGGGGGGGGGTGTGGAGAGGGGGGGGGTGTGGAGAGGGGGAGGTGTGGAGAGGGGGAGGTGTGGAGAGGGGGGGGGGTTGTGGAGAGGGGGGGGGAGAGGGGGGGGGGGAGAGGGGAGGGTGCGGAGAGGGGGGTGTGGAGAGGGGGGGCGTTGAGAGGGGGGGGGGTGGAGAGGGGGTTGTGGAGAGGTGGGGGGTGTGGAGAGGGGGGGGGGGTGTGGAGAGGGGTGTGTGGAGAGTGGGGGTGTGGAGAGAGGGGGGGGGGTGTGGATAGTTGGGGGTGCGGAGAGGGGGGGTGTGGAGAGTTGGGGGGTGTGGAGAGGGGTGTGTGGAGAGGTGGGGGGTTGTGGAGAGGGGGGGGCGTGGAGAGGGGGGGTGTGGAGAGAGGGGGGGGGGCGTGGAGAGGGGGGGTGTGGAGAGGTGGGGGGGTGTGGATAGGTGGGGGGTGCGGAGAGGGGGGGTGTGGAGAGTTGGGGGGTGTGGAGAGGGGTGTGTGGAGAGTGGGGGTGTGGAGAGAGGGGGGGGGCGTGGAGAGGGGGGGGTGTGGAGAGGTGGGGGGTGTGGAGAGGGGGGGGGGTGGAGAGGGGGGGGGTGGAGAGGGGGTTGTGGAGAGGTGGGGGGTGTGAAGAGGGGGGGGGGGTGGAGAGGGGGGGTGTGGAGAGGTGGGGGGTGTGGAGAGGGGGGGTGTGGAGAGGGGGGGTGCGGAGAGAGGGGGGGGGGTGCGGAGAGGGGGGGTGCGGAGAGGTGGGGGGTGTGGAGAGGGGGTTGTGGAGAGTGGGGGTGTGGAGAGAGGGGGGGGGGGTGCGGAGAGGGGGGGTGCGGAGAGGTGGGGGGTGTGGAGAGGGGGGGTGTGGAGAGGGGGGGTGCGGAGAGGGGGTGCGGAGGGGGGGTGTGTGGAGAGAGGGGGGGGGGACCCTCTTTTAATTTGAGGTTCAAAAATCCTCGAATCTGGCACCTTGCTAAGCCGTGTTGTGCTCGGGGCAGGGGCTGGGCGAGGTGGGTGGAGGGAGGTGGGTGGAGGGAGGTGGGGGCTGTGGGGGGAGGGGGGTTTGCGCGATGACGTCACCCGGAAGCGGCGAGAGCCACCGGGCGCTGTTGACAGCTGCACGGGAACGTAGAGGGGACTGGGCCCCTTCAATAAAAAGGTGAGGAGCGCAAACCTCACCAATCTTCTCTCCCCCCCGCCTCCTACCACCGTCCCGTTTAAAATAATTAATTTCACTTATACAGCAATAAGTACAACATAAGCACGCGCCGCCGCGCAAACTAACGCAAGTCTTGGTTGTGTTCCAGTCATTGTAATGGTCGTGGTTTTTTTTTGCTGGTTGGTTGAGAATGATGTTTACCTGTTCCAAGTGCCGAGGCGTCGCTTGCCACGATCACGTCTCGGAGTCTGAAGTTTTTTGTCATCATCCTTTGGCATCGTCAGCCGTGGCTAATCCACCGCTGGATGAAGGGCCTCGCGCCAAGCCGCCTTCGTCGCTCGCCATTTCGAAGCATGCGGATAGATTGTTGAGGTTAATATTGCTGCTGTGGATTTCCACATGACAAGCCACTTCGTTGAGATATCATTTGTGGCCAGGTCGCTTCTGAAAAATAAGCTAATGGCTCAGCAGACCTAGCCTGGTGAGAAAATAATTGTTTCGTTTTATTTGTATATATATATTTTTAATGATTATTGTACCATTCCTATGCCTTCCATCTCTTGGGCTGCCACTCCGTCATTAGTCAGTGGCAGTGAGATGTTAACTTCCTTGCTTGGTATGCAGGAGGTCGTGGGTTCGACACCTACCTGGACGCCTGCTGTGTATTTGGAGTTTTCGTGTTCTCCCCGTGGTCACGTGACTTTTTATTCGGGTCCTCCGATTTTTGGCTGCTGTATTTTATGATGACATTTTTTTGGGGTTAGATCGCGTAAGTATAAATGTGTCGTTGACCTGCCACCACTTGACAGGCAATTAGCAAGGTTTATGATGTCAGCAAAACGTGCCGATTAATTACTACTAATGTCCACCGGTGTGTTGGAATGTAAATCCTCAACATTTAAAATTTGAGTACGACATTTCGCTGGTGATTACATCCAGCATCATCGGGCAATTTTGCCAGAATTTGCTGCGATAAACTTTCACACGATAGGTGACTTCGTTGAGCTATCATTTTTGGCCATGTAGCTTCTGAAAACGAGCTATATAGCTCAGTGGGCCTTGCCTGGTAAAATATATTTTTTTGATAGTTTTAAATTAGACAATAGGCCACTGTCCCTTCTAGCCATGACGTGTTCTGCCCAAGTCCCATTTCCTAACAAATTGAATGGTACAATAAACCTTCACATTTTGTTGAGAACATGTGTTGTTCTCAGTTTGTCTCTTGGTGTAATTACAAGCATCCATCGTTCCACGCTTTGTGAACTTTACAATTTCCGTTTCCTTTTTTGTTTTGTTCATGAGCTTTTACTTATTAGCCAGATACGGGTTGTCAAATTGAAGTGCAAAAGTAAAAATGTCGCTGTTTGCATCTACACTGTTTACCAGATAGTAGCCCATCAAGAATATTCACGTAGTGGAAGTCAAGGAATGGGTGAGTCAGCTCCTGTGCAGGTGCTAGGTGAATTGTTGACATCGCAGATCCCTGAGAGATGGCGGCTTGGAGAGGCCTTCATCCAGAAGTGGATTCATTAGCCTTGGATGGTGTTTATCAGGCTCTTGCCAGAGAATTGTGCTTTGTCAAAACTAATTTTGCTCCTGCATGTGCAAATTTTCAATGTTCCATCTCTACAGCGGTTGTGATCTCACGCACGTTCCCTACTTTGTTCCTGCCGTTTCGTCACTGTATCCCTTAATTTCCTTAACAGTCAATGTAATGTATCTAATTTGTGTTTGTACCACACTGTTGTTTATGGTGGGGCGGTTCATCACTGTCACACCTGCAAACATCATTTGCTTTTGGTGGGCCCTCTGATAGCCATCTACCTGCCACCAAGTGTAAACTTCACCTACGACTCTTGCCCCTTGCGTGGCTGACCACTGCCTGTGTGTTCTTGCACTGACTTCCTGAGCTACACAGAGAACTTGCAAATGTATGAGAACGATGGTTTATTGGCTTGCTACTGGCTGGCAGAAGGTGTAACAGGGTGAGCTACAGACCATGTGCTTTTTTTTTTGCTGATGGTGTGCTTTTGGCTTTTATGTCTGTGTGTGTGCTCATTCGTACACTTGGACTACAGCACTTTTGCACACAGCGTCCACGAAAGACGTGATCATGACGCTAATGAAGGGCTCCTTTACATATGCCACTGGGGAGGAATACCAAGGAGAATGGAAGGAAGGTAAGGCAGCATCTACCGTTAGATCCATGGAGAGAGCACCTTTAACCAATACCCTTTAATCAGAAGGAAATACTGTACTTTTTTTTTGCTAAAAACCAAAAAAAAATTCACTGTACAAGGCTCGATTTTCATCAAAGTGGAAAGCTGATGGAGGACACGGGGTTGGAGGTCAAAAGGGCACCTCCGGCTTATAATGCATGCTTACAAATGCTGCACTCGATTACAATTTATATGATGCACTGGTCGGTGACGGGGCCTCACAACGGCCGAGGAAAGCCTGCAGCAGTGCTGTGTGTTGTTAATGTCTCTGCATACAGGGCGAAGGCACGGGCTCGGACAGCTGAGATTCACGGATGGCACACACTATCTGGGCCAGTTTGAGAATGGGCTGTTTAGTGGCTGTGGCGTTCTCGCCTTTCCCGACGGCTCCAGGTAATGCCATCACGAACTGACCTGATCACCTGTCAAGGGTTTGTTTCCCCCTTTCATGATCCCATCTGGGCCAATTAAACCCAAATAAACCTAACAGTGTAAAAACGAAGTTTGCAGTACAGTAGTTTTCCTTTGTACATCTAAATATATTGTGGCCACTTAAGGCAGTAGTGACACGTCGGCATGACCAATTTGGCCCCAATTTGTCATATACGTCAGAGTTGATTCTCATCACACAGATGGAGCTTAGAAAGTATTGTACATTTTTTTTTAAATGAGTGATTGAGATGATATTAAAATTAATATATACTTTGTCATCCTACCCATCACAAGTGAGTATACTGGTAATTTTGTGATTTTTCTCTCTACATACGCTTTTCACGGTTGTGATAGCCATATGTATTACAGGCATAGCGTTTCTAATCTATGCTGTTAAATTCAAAATAATTGTGAAAAGTATTTTTTTTTTTAAAGAATTCTGCAATGCACTTCTCATCTGTAAATGAAATTGGCATGATATTACATGCTAGATTATACATTAATACCATTAATAAAGTGTAACACTGATTTGTCACTCAAAAGTAGGCAACACATTCTTAATTTTGTATGTAATGCAGAGGTTTGTTCTTGGATTGATGGAAGTGAAAAGCCAAAATGTATCTGAAAGAGAATCGGCACTAACAAGCCTGAAAAAATGATGAAAACTATATTTGAGAACTTGTCAAATTATTGAGGATAATAAAGCAAATGTAGCCAAGAAGTTTTATATTTCATTTGCTGCATTTCTGTTTTGATTATTTTGTCAATGACATAACTTTTACGGAAAAGGAACAAAATGCATTGGTCACAGTCTAAAGGTTAGAGTAACAGAATACTCATCACACATCATATTAAATATCATTGCTAAAAGTAGCTTAGGTCATCTAGCACAAGCCAGAAAAAACTGCCAGCCTGATGTATCACCCCATTATTTTATTCGTCATCGGATTTTTCAAAGGGACATGGCATGGATTGGTGTGGATGGTTGATGAGCAAACACTATTTGGGTTGCATTTAATGTGTGTGAAAAGAAGGTCCTTAGCAGGCTGCAAATCTTTTCTGTTGTAACCTCCGTGCTTTCATTTCCAACTGTTGCCACACCATGGGAGCCAACAGATTTGCAGATATTGCAACACAAAGCCTAATTTGTTTTGCTTAATTGCAACGAAAAGAAAAATGAATGCTTCTGTTGTGTCCTCATATGATTTTTTGTAACAATGTGGCACTTGATGGTATTAATTAACCTAAAAGTACACAATAACAGAATGTACGAACGTTATCATTGTTTTCAAAAATGTATCTTTTGGGTTCATCGATACATTTTGTGGAGCATTCTGTGATTTTAGTTTTAGTACAATCCAGATATTAAGTACAATTACGTTTTTCTTAACCGCACATGTTGGAAGCTTTTGATGGCAGAAAAACTTTAGTTAAAATTAAAACTGAGCAATGTTGTCAGCATTGATTATAATTAAGGCCGTCACTGTAGTTTGTTTTGAAATACATCGTTTTTGAGAACTCTTCCGATATGAATAACAATGTAGACGTTTGACCTTAAATTCATGAGCAAAGAATAACTTTTGAATCCCGAATATGTGCAAATGTTGCTGCTGGCAATTAAGATGGCAAAGGACATCAAATTGCAGCCAAATTAGAATTTAAATAAAATGTTATCCTTGCTGCAATTGTTTGACCAAAAGGCAAGGAGGTGTAATGTTTCTATTTTGCATGTAATCACGTTTGACAGGTTCTCGCGCTTGAAGGTTGTAACGAGTTCTGACGTTTGAAACATGCGAGCGGACAGCAGTTAATATCACCGCGCTGCCAGTGGGAGTGGGCGGAATTTAGCTGTGATGGCCGCTCCACGCCGATTGTTTTGTTGGCCTCGCCTAATAAATGTCAGAATTAGCATCGCCAGGCCCTCCGCTAGCCCCTGTCAGTGCCGATGAGTGTGGATTTGCGAGTGACGGACTCGATTTGAAACGGATGAACATCATGATGCTGTGGAAAATTTGGATTGCGCATTCATTTGCAAACGTGAAAAACAAGCCCTCTGAATATATATATTTTAAAAGAAAATGGAGCCGAACAAACTTGGTGAAAAAATAATACGTACACCGAATACAATTTTGGACGTCATTGAGAGGGCAATATAAATACAATATAATATCACCGGATCTGCCCCATTCAAAATTTGTTTACAGCAAGGCTGTACATTTCCAGTGTTTCAACTTTCACTGTACACAAAATTGAAAAATAAGCCGTGAGATATTACATTTCAAAAATGACATCTTTTGACCTTCAAATACAAATTGTATCCTATGCAGCCATGTATTCTTTCCACTGCCAGATTATTCACTAATGGAAGACCATTGTATGGTACCCACTGCAAGAGTTAAACACATTATTATCCAAAGCAAATGACAGCAGTAAAATTAAAAAAAAAATCCTACTGTAGGCTAAAACATCTCTCAGCTAACCCCCAAATGCCAGTGAAGTAAGGAATATTGTTACGAGAGCATAGGTGCTGTAATGTGAAGTGAATATTTCAAAGCAAAATGTGGGTTGTCTAATGTAAAAATATAGTAGGTCTGGGTCATACCATGCAGCTCGCGAACCTGCTATTGATTTAGGAGCAATAAGAGCAGTCGTCACTATGGTAACGCCTAGGCCTGTAACAATATAGGATAATACACGCGGAGGGTAATTGCATTAGTCTCCATGGTAACAGCGGGATTATGTGACCCTTGAGGACAGTGATTGTGTGCGATAGGTTTGGATGGCGAATAAGACGCAGGGCTAATTACACTGTGTGTGCACAAGGGCTGCACATTTGTGTGTGAAACTGCAAATGTACATATCGGTCCGTCCCTCCTTTTATTCAGATGTGTATACAGCACACGTTTTACTGTTGCGGCGAGCAGGCGCACACATGCGCGAAACCCGTCGTTGATAAGCAGCGTTGTGCATAATTCGTTTTTGTTTTTGTGAGCTCGTCTTATCAGTTTGCTTTAACAAATGTCTACTGTATGCGACTAATATTACTCGTGTGGATCCTCTGCCGAGTGCGTCTATGATGTCCATCTCTGTGTTTTGCATGAAGTCTGTACCTGCGCCAGTCCACAAGCATCTTATTGCGTGGTGCATTTTTTTTACGTTATTCAAAGTGCGCTTTGTTCAAAAATGAAGCCAAAATGAATAGGCCTACTGTTAAAATGTAGCATCTTCCAAGGCCAATGGAAACATGCGTTGGTTTTATATGTGGACCAATAGAACACAATAAAAGCACATTCTTTTGCTTTATTACTGGCCATAAGCTATCCTGTTTCAGGAACCCCAAGACTTATGAATGCCATTTTACAGATATACCAAATTATTGCCCCTTAAAACCGAACCTAAATACAGAATTCAACGTGTTGTTACGATGCTCTGTGTCATAGTGGCTGTGTGGCTCCGAGGTAGTTTCTCTCCCCCTGAGTTTTCATGATTTTAAGATTTTATCCCCATCTCGACATTTTGCTATTGTCCAGGGCACATCACATCCAAGAAAGTATGACATCCTTCCCAGGGGATGCTAAGCTTGATATCCTGTCCGCTTTTGGATTTGTAACATCCCATAACAATTTTAGTAAAAAAAAAAGCCATTTTATAGCAGCGTCATCTGCAAATTGACTACGGACACCAAGGAATAGTTTATATCCCTCTTGTGTATAATACTGTTAAGAAATTACATGCATTTGTTATCTACAGTTGGGCCCAGTAAACACTGGGCATCGCACAGAATACAGAAGGTGGACCTGTGGCCGCAGGTGCACTTCTCATAGTTCTTGTTTGACAAACTTGTCTCCAAACTTGCCTCCAAGTTTTTCAAACAAAATTGACTCAGTGACATTAATGGCTACACAAATACACCCGTCCATATTGATTGTTGTACTTCAACAATCACGCATTTCTTTTTTGTTGAACCATCCAATTTGTCTTGGTAATCTCATCTGTTTACAGATTTGAAGGCGAGTTTTCTCAAGGAAAGTTTCATGGCGTTGGTGTGTTCTCAAGATCCGATGGGATGATGTTTGAAGGAGAGTTTAAGAACGGCCACGTGGAGGGATATGGTAAGGGGTTGCCCTTCGTGGATTTCCACCACTCGTAGAAGCTTACTGCTGAGTTTTACTTTTTCTCCTCTTGGATTTCCAAGAATGTTGTGTCTGCTGTGTGCAAAGCTCGGGGAAAAAACCCCAACAAGTACATGCGCTCGTGCACTTGCAAGCACATATTCCAACTTAACAAAGTTCAAGTTACACACACATCAAAATGGGGTTTTTTTCCAATAAGTTTTTACAAGGAGTGAAATTTTATAAAGTCAATATGTTGCTCACTTGAGTTCACACACGAGGCCCTCTGGTGGAACATGAGATTTGAGATGTTTCAGTCTGATGTGACCGAACGCGGAGCGTCTGATCCCTGTCAGTGCCCATCATGCTGTAACATTTCCCAGGGCGCTAAACAAAAAAAAAATCTCCTCGCCAAGACGAACCACGCCAAATGACCCTGTGACGTATTGCAGGTGACAGGCAGATATGCCACCCGAAAAAGGACTCTGAAATTGGGTGCGACAGAGCAAGCAAGCAGTCTGGCTCTCCACACTGCGCGCACACCCCTACATCTCTCGACTATGCTAATAAGGGCCTCAGGACCTCACTTTAAAGTCTTGAAAAAGAGCATTTGATTGGGAAAAAACAACAGGCAAAATAAATCAACTGTTCATGTGTCATCTTTAGCATAAATGTTCCGGATGTATAGCTAGCAATGCAGTGCGTAAAAAAAATGAAAGCATCATAAGCATGCTGCAACACAAACATGGCCCATTAAACATTTAAGTCTATAGAAATGGGGTTCTCTGCAGGGAATATTGAGTGATGTCCAGCTTTTTCCCTCTTTTCTGCTTAAGTATTGCATTTTCGATGGAGTCTAAACAAATTGCTGTGTTGTTGTGAATGGTGGAAATTGCAATACTTATTGTAAAAAGCAGTTTGACCACTTAATAATGTCTCTTTTTCGAACAGGTTTGCTGACCTTCCCAGACGGTTCCAATGGCTTGCCGCGGAACGAAGGTATTTTTGAGAACAATAAGTTGTCCAAGCGTGAGAAGTGTGGGGCCATTGTCCAGAGAGCTCAGGCTGCAGCAAAGACAGCCCGTGGCCTTTCTGTGTGAATACGCTAAATTCCCATGTGATCAGGTTTTTCGCCCAAAACTAGGACATTTGGCGTTCTTTAGAAGTGGTCGCAGATGTGAGAAGAATGTTAGATTACGTCTATAATCTCAGAGCGATTGATTTTCTTTTGCAATGTGGAGAAAAATATATCCATTTCATAAAATGTACCATGTTGTGGCTCATAGTTTTATTTTAATTATTTTTATTTAAATCTATTCACTGTTCAATGAAATGCTCTGGATCACACACCTGTCAATGGCATTTTGAAAAACATAGCCTGACCTATTTTTATTCAAATTGCGGTATGATTAAAATAAATTCCACATAAAAATCTGAATTTAATATGCCGCAGATGTATTATATACACTTTCTAAGAAGAAAAAAATCCCCAATACATTTCAATGACTGAAGTATAATTATAAAGCTCTGAAACATGAAGATAAAACCAAGCACAGTACATCTGTGTTGTTACAATAAAAAGTATTGGCTAAACTGTAAAAAAATATATCATTTTTTGTTTTAATTTCCTTTCTAGATCAAGCATGGCTTAGAAAATTAGTTACAGATGGAAGTGTGATATTTTTATATTGTCCTTTGTTGGATAGTGGATGAGGGGTGGGCATTTGTCATGATGATAACCGCTCAAGTGATTTATATAAAAATATCAGTCTATGCATGGGTATTGTGTATATAAATCTGCAAGGGCACAGATGTATTTAAACATTTTACTGTGATCCAACGTAAGATGTGTAAAATGTCCTATTGTTGAAGGCACAACATTTCCTGTTCTTCACAAAGGCTAAAAATCAAATGGACTGTGCTTTTTTGAATGTGCCTTTGCAGATTTTCAGTTGACCCTTATCAGCACGTTACTTTTCTGTCAGGTTGGTATGCATGCTGAAAGGACTCCTTATGTTTACCTTTGTGCTGCATTCGCCCATTTTTTTCTTCTGGCAATAAGACGCCCTCTTGTGTATTTATTACAGATTTGCATTTTTTATACTTAGAAAAAGGTACCGGTTTTGGCTGTGAAAATGATTGCACTCGCTTTGTAGAACATTGGTTTTTCTGATAAACATTTGCCATGCTTCTGCTGGAAAATTGTGTTGTCGAATTAAACCAATTAGTACGAATTCCAAACAATATGCACTAGCACCTGCATGCAAAGCACCAAACGACGAAGCCTGTCTGCTATGGAAAACAGCTCATTAAGTAGGCATGTGTGTTATCACTGTATATGTATCGGTCCTCGACTTTTTCATTTACCTTATTCACGTTCTATTTTCAGTGTAACTTACATTATTGTGTCATTTATAAATGTGTTTGCAATAAACGGTTTGGATTCATACATTGAAATTCATGGACAATTACATCCTTCTTGGAGTTTCTTACAGGCATATGTACATGTAAAGAGGCCCCCTTTTTCACTCCACCGCTGGATGAGGGTATCTTGGGAACCCGGGGCTATTTGACCATACTTCACCACGTTGGTCGGTTGGGGGCTGTTAGCTCAAATGTCATGCAGGGATATACACAGACGCAATCCCAGATGAAGGCTTTAGCGAGACCCCCACACAGCATCTAAACCCAGTCTGATCACTTGATTAAAGATTGATTGAGCGAGTTGTGTGCACACCATGTCACGGCCAATTGATAGACTAAATCGTGCATTAACGGCGTGTCTGAGAGCATTGTGGATGCGTTCTGGTGTTAAGTAAACTAATTCACTTATTTAGCACACATAGGATACACCGTATCTCTTCCGTCGCTTATTTTTTTGTAATTACATTAGTCTTTTCTCCAACCTGTCATAATACACTTTTAGAAAAGGCGGATTGTTTTACTGTAGCAATCTCCGCCAGTCAGTTGGATTTTCCGTGCACGTGTGGTACCGTTAGCACTCTCCTAGGACGAGTCTTTCACGCTTTTTTTTAAAAAATATGTGCACAGAATAGCACGTTTTACTTTTCGGCAAAATATCACGTGTAGATATTCAGCGGCTCTTACACTTTCAAGCCGAATACAGAGGTAATGTTTAAATCGATGATTTTAATAAACTGGCACGTCTCTCCCCATCTGTTTTCCGTCGCCTTTTGTCTCTCCGTCTATTATTTCGCCCTCGACATCCGATTCCACCTGTGTCTCTGTGTTTCCCCTTCTATATCCCCCCTCTGTTACCACCCGTCTTTCCCACTGTCTCTTCCTTCCTCTCTGTGCCCCCCCTCCCCCCATCTACTTTTCTGTCTTCCCTGTATCTCAATCTATGTCTACGTCTGCATAAGCCTTCTGTCTGTGTACCCACTAAAGGTGTCTGCGCCTCTTACTCTCTCGTTCCCCAGTGAGTTCTGCCTCGTCTCTAACTATCGTTTGTGCTCGAGGTGGCGGTTGTTGTGGAAAGCTGTCGACTTCTCATTTACTCCCGTCCCCACCACCTTTGGTGCAGTGCTCAAAATCCAGTTATGGATTCAACCGAATACGAATACACGCAAAGTGCTTCTCGCCACAAATCAGCCACGAATGAACCACAATTCATCGCTGGTCTCGTCAAGGAGCATAAACCGTCAGGCGAATTCCGGTCATCCTTGCAGCAGCGGCTTTTGGATAGCCATCGAACAAAGGCGGTGGTCACTGCATCGCGCACTTTCAGATGAACTTCTGCCGACGTTTGAAATGCTCTTCCTTCCGATACTCGGAAGCCACTGGAGCTATGCACTTTAAAATATAGATTGAAAAAAATTTCTTAGGAACCGCTTTTTGTTCAGTTTGTCCTTCCCGCGCACCTCCGATTAGCACGGTTGGCTACATACGGTGCGAAAGAAGTTCAACAATTACATGCAGCAGTTAGGAGAAAACCCATTCAATCGGAAGGCAGAGCGAATATTCAATGCACAACTACCAAATTTGAGTCGCGTTAGGCGCGTAAGGGATACGTTTTAACGCGTGTATGCCTGGGGCTACGCTGACATATAGTGGAGATTGAAAAAATAATTGGCTTACGACTGACTCTAAGGACCCTAAGTGCAACAGAGAAATCCCACCTGTATGGGTATAACACGTCAGCTTAATGCATTTTTTCTCACATTGAATTTAACTGAATCGCCCATGTTGATTTTTTTTTATAGATATATATATGCGTGGCGACCGTTTTGAGAACAATTCAATTCACAGCGATTAGAGGTGTTTCTTGGATTCCACACGGCGCTCTCGTGACGAAATTAATGTACAAAATCACGGCGCATAAATGTGACCACTAGACGGAGCCCTCGCACCGCGCTTCGTTGAGCACGCGGTCCCCCCCCCCGGTACACACACCACTTCATCGGCACGCAGTTGTCGAAGACGATTACATCTCGCACGAGGGCCACATGGGGTTGCAATTAACGGGTTAAGCCCAACAAACATAAAGCGAGTCGCCGCTGCACTTGAATCGCACGAAGGTGAATCTTTTTTTTTTTGGGGTACAATTTTCAACACCGAAGAGCCCGGCTTCGGTTGCAGGCAATAATGAGTGGGGTTGTTTCTCATTAAGGCCACAGTCGAACACGTGCCGATAAATGCTGGAGGTCACATCCCACTTACCCTTGTGCGTAGCAATTTTGAACTGTCGCGCAGATATATGTCACCATAACGCACATGTATATATCCCATGGTATTTTGATTTAAATTACCTTGCAGCAGGTCCTTCCCATAAAATTTGATCTATGTCAAGAACACCCAAAGTCCATGCTGGCATGTGCCCGCGTTTGTGAATCCGAGGCTCTCGGGTGGTGTAGCGGGAGCGATCGAGTGTGCAGGCGGTGCAACTGCACCGTAGGGGGCCAACATACGCTCGGGGCGTTACGAAGAGGGGGCTGGAAATTGTAATGGGGAGAACCCCGTTTAATTCCGTGCACCAGGTCCATACCAACCACGGTACATCATCTCTCCACCTCGATGTCCGTAGTCCATGTGGGTCCAGGCCAGAGATTTTACTTGTAGGTGTAACATGAGGTTGGCAATAACTTTATTGGTTTACAATTTCATTACGGTGACCGACAGCAATGAATTGAGGGATACACATCGGAAATCTGTAGGTTAGAAAATAATCCACTCGTGTTAGCCGCATAAATACACCAGTGCAACTCAAAGTTTGCGACCTTAAGTGGTATCAATTTTTGCTTTGACCCATGGACTACCCACTATCTATCTCCACTCTCCCCCCAATGCCACCATAACCTTCATCCACGGCCACCGTCAAACCCGGCCGTAACAACAGCGCGGTGAGATGGATACGGGGAGACAATGAGAGAGGGAACAGGAATAATTCCAACAATCAACCCCCGACTAACGGCGCTTATCTTTCTTTCGAGACCGATCAGGGAAAATGCCATACACGCGCGCAATGAGAAAGTGTTGCTCTCTCAGGCGCGTGTGTGTGTGCGCGCGCAAGTAAGTAGCCTGCCGCGTGAAGTTGTACTCAACATTGTGGAGACGCGGCTTGCTTAATTACATAATCCGATCAAGTGAGATAATGAGACAGCGTCATCTCGTCGCGGAGACAGCGACGCCACACGCGCAGTCCCTACCCCACCCACCCCACCCCATCCCCTCTTTTAACCAGTTAAATCATGATACCAATAGTAATGCTCAGCCGTTTGTTAATCCACTGCTGGATGTTGTATGTTTGTGCGCTGAACTTCTTTTGCACCGTACGTAGCCAACGGTGCTAGTCGGAGGTGCGTGGGAAGGACAAAAAACGGTACCGAAAAGCAGTGATAACGAAATTAGTTTTAAATCTCGATTTAAAACTACATAGCTCCAGTGGCTTCCTAACATCAGAAGAGCGTTCCAGACGGCCACGGAAGCGCATCTGAAAGCGCGCGATGCGGTGACCGTCTTTGTTCGATGGCCAGACAAAAGCCGCTGCTGGGAGAATAGCGTGAGTTGGCGTGATGATGTGTGCTCCTTGACGAGATCAGCACGATGATGTTGTGGTTCATTTGTGGCAAGCACTTTGTGTGTAACGAGGGCGACCTTATAATGGTTGTGGTTCATTCTTCATCACGACGTAGCTCTGAGCGAGTTGATGAGTCCAGGATCAAGTCAAATGTGTTTCCAGTATCTGTAGTGGACTGCTTGTTTACCAAGAAAAGCCTCACCGAGCCTTAACTATTTTTTTCAGGAGGGTCCTGCCAAGTTTTAGCAGTAGGGGGCGATGCTGCTGCTGCTGCGTGTAATCCCAATTGAGTGATGTTCAGCATTTGAATGTTTGGCCAATACCAGTTCCATTTATATTATCTATAGGAGGAAAGGAGAGAACCCGGAGGAAATCCATGCTCACCAGGGGGAGAGAACTCCACACAGAAAGGTGGCCGAGTCGGGAATCGAAGGCAGTATATTCTCGCTGTGAGGCACGAATGTTCCCACTGCACCACACTGCCGCCAAAAATCACTCGCCACTGATGTTAGCCGTGGCCGGAAAACGAACCCAGGTGTTCAGGTTCGTACAGTACTTCAAAGTGGGCGAACCATTGGTCGCACTGATAATTTCTCCCGAAGCGTGTTGAGAGATCTTATTCCTTCCTGTTTTCGTATTTTAATTATTGTGTTGTTTTCTACGCGTCCGAGAGGGCATCCGTTGGGGAGATGGAGCGATGAGGTCAAGTCATGTGTAGGATTATTAGATCATAGGATCGCTAGGGATGGTGGCATCTTGTTGATGCCTTTATCCAGCAGTGGATTGTTCATGGCTGTTGATATCCTGTGCCTGTATGTCGTTGTTATGGAGCATTGCATTGTTATTTTTTGGCTATTCTCGTTTCTAAATCTGGATCTCCATTTAAAAAATACGACCTTTAGACTCAGCAGGCTCTTTTGGTTACAAATAAGGGATTGAATGATTAAAAAAAGTCAATTGCGGTAAAGACTCTTTCTCAAGGAGACCTGTAACAAAATTCCTCATTCCATCAACACCAAAGCCTCCCCAGACAATATAGAGACCTTGGGCTCATAATGTTGAAATTCCAAGCAGTAATTGTCAATGTGTCAAAAGATGTGTTGCTCTTCAGGGACACTTGGAGTACATGTAGCACAAATCTAATGCCGAATTTTAATTCAAAAACGACTTTGCAGTTCAGTGCAGTGCAATATTTGAAGTGGTTAAGAGCCAGAGATGATGATTGTTTTCAATGAATGTCTATGCCTCTATTTCCCCAATCCAACTTTCGCAAAGAAAACATTTCCCCGCAACATAATGTATTTGGTTACTCCATTCAATCTTAGCGTAGCTTGTACCATTTTTGTAAACGGCTTTTACTATTTCTAAATACATTTATTTTGGATTTTATTTACCAACACTTAGATGACTACATATTTTTTACGGACTAATATGTCTACAAATTCTAGGTATGATGCCATCTCAGACAAGCTGGTGGCAGGTTGTTAGAACAAACAAAAGTAAATGTACACGACACATTGAATGAACGACTTAATAAAGAAGTCCGCAAGTTGGACTCAAGATAAATACTGGATAGTATTCGCAAAGCAAACGTCGTGTACAGCTGTTTTGTTCAGCAAGTGAAGATGTATGCATGTTGAACTTCTTTCGCGCCGTACGTAGCCGACCGTGCTAATCGGAGGTGCGGAAAAATATATACGTTGGAGGGATACAATTAAACAAAACACATTGGAGCATGCATACCTAGGGATATTGAAAGGTAATACCTAGGGTTATTGAAGGTAGACTGGGATCAACATGATGAAATAAAGTGGACAAGAGTACATTGGAAGAGTGCTTTTGGAAAATTTAAATGCAACATACCAATGTGTCTACTGCAGAACGTTTTAAATTGGTGTTTTTTTACCTGTTACGACATGGATAATAAACACGGACATATACAAAAGAAAATAGAACACAGTATTTAAATTGAACAAAGAAACAGGGGGAGATGCATGCTTAGAATTGCACTGAGAGAAAAACCCTGGTCGATCGGGTAACAATTTAAATAAATCGTGTTGACTCTGAGGAAAAGTAGCTGAGTTTTTGGGAAGGGCACTTTGCTAAGAGGGATGATGGCCAGCGGTCGAGATTAACAAAGGAGTGGCAGCCAAAGAAGGTAACAACACCAGAGAGGTCACACTCATTACACACAAAGTACTTGCCACAAATGAATCACAATAACTTGCTGATCTCAAGGAACATAAACCATCACGTGATCTCCAGTCATTCTCATCAGCGGGTTTTGCATAGCCATCGAACAAAGACGGTCACTGCATCGCGCGCGTTCAGATGCGCTTCTGCGGCCGTCTGGAATGTTCTTCCTTTCGATATTAGGAAGCCGCTGGAAATATACACTTTTAAATCTCGATTGAAAACTAATTTCTTTCGAACTGCTTTTTTATGTTTCGATTCCATCATTGGAACCTCATTTGCCAGTAGCAAAATATGATCATTCTTTTTTTACCCTTTTATCTGGCAACAAAACTGACACCTTTTTTACATGGAGTCATTCATTGCATTCCGACTGCAGGTATTGTGGTCAATGCAAACATGACTCCTTGTAAAAAAAAGGTGTCAGTTTTGTTGCCAGATAAAAGGGTAAAAAAAACAATTATCATATGTTTCGATTGTTGTCTTTTTCCCCGCACCTCCGATTATCACGATTGAGTACGTCGTGCGAAAGAAGTTCAACATACATACAGCGAGCATCTGCCGCAGAGACGGGAGCGGCGAAGTCAGCTCCAATTATTGCATCACGGTACAATGAGAGATGGTGACAGTTTGCGGGGAGTCCTTCATGGAGGGGTGGATGGATCGTGGCTAGTGATTGACGATGATGTCAAGCTAGCGAGGGGTTGCAGTTCCATAAGGCGAGGGGAGATAGCCATATTTACCAATGCCTTAAAAAACAATTTTATTGTGTACATTTTTATTAAAGAAGACTTGAAACAACCGCTGGGTACATTGAATACAATTTTACATCGCAAGCGACAGACACAAACTTGTGATCACTCCAGATGCGCTCAAATTAAACCAACCGACGTTCGCCTTCCAGATTGTTACAACTAATCCCCCAAGAAAACAAGCATTTGTTGCTATACAGTATTGTTAATATTACATTTTATATAGTTTGTTCTTTTTTTTAATATAGCATTGTAATTATGTAGAAAAAAAGAGAAAAATAACGCATAACAACCGCTATCATACAACTCCACGTCGGTATACATTACACACTACATCATGTGTTACTTTCAGTGAGATCTAAACGGCGCAATTTCTGGTTTAGAAACCGCAGCAACTTATTGAGGCCAGGTTTTTAGAATGTGTGTGTACGTATTTATTTATTATTTTAGCCCCCCCTCCTCTCCCCATCGCTCTGCTACCCACCCAGCCTATAACAGCTCTAAATGACTTCCACTGATCTGGCTTGAAAGCACAGCACGGGCAAAGTTGTTAACACAGCGGGCAGACGTGCATCGAGCCACCGTCAGAGCCACTCAAAACCAGTGGAAGCCACGCGGGCGGGCACATTTATCAATCGGCAAAATGTACGGTCACATGTGGCCCACGTGGCGTGTAGGCGGCAGGGGTGTCCCGTGGGACCCACAAAGTCTTAGGTGGCAGGGGAATGCATTTTGCCGAGTCGATTTTTAGGTTAAACATTTTTTTTAACTCCTCTCATGCATCGTGTTCACTGTGGTGGACCGACTGCTGTGAATTATATGACAGGTATGAAATGATATTTATTTTCTTTTTTCTCAAACAAATTCTGTGGGTGTTTCTTCTGACTCCAAATGTCGCATTAACATCACAGATAATTGGATTTTTTTCTCTGCCACAAATTATGTATGTGAAAGTGTTAAATTCGCGATGTAGCAGCGTAGCAGCCATCAGAGGCATGAATTGTACACACAATGTATTTACACTGTATGTACAGGGACATGGAATAATGTTGTTAGCATATGCATTTTATTGTATGTCTGTTGATGTGTATGTTGTTTGCGTTGTACGCTCGTATGCAATGGCTGGGGTCCACAATTGTTGGGTCCAATACGGGTCTCTAAAAATTCTAAAACCACCGTTTTAGTAAGATGTCTTGGCATATTTTGAATCTTAAGTTAGTCGGCCAAATCCCTCTCTTCATGAACAGGCCAAAACGCATTGCTTTGGCAATTTGCCTCATTGGTAATTGAGGCTTAGGTACTTGTTTTAGAAAATCTGGAAAAATGTACATTTGTCAACATGGGAATCTGGATCCCAATGTATATGTATTTGTCGTTATTGTTTATAATATGAATGTAACCTAATCGCGCCAACTGGAGTTGCTTGAGATGTTGTTGCCTATGGTGGCTCTGCACGTCACTCCCACACGTGGCACGGGCACCTTCGTCAGTGGCAGCAGAACAAAGTGCACATATCCATACTCGGCCAGCTTTCTTGGGACGTCTCAATTCCCACGATGACATTTTATACCACCGTTCTTCCTTCTACTGGAACAAAAAGAAAACGTGGCCATCGATGTATGCATGTATATACTGTATGGGACAGAGAGCACATACCTTCCCCTGGTTAATTTTCACCCTGATAATTCGCCCAGCGTGGAAGAGTTAGGTCAAAATACCATCTGGAGGAGCTATATGGAGTTCCGGCTAGTTGAGGTCCTTTCCGCCTCATCAGCAGCGGCATGAGCAAGCAACTGTAGGGGTGCACCTTTACCTTTTGAATTCCCCTACCCGGACAATATGCCAAATGCATTGGAACATTTCCTATAGCAGTCGTTACTCTGGACGGCTACAACACTGGGTGCTTCTTGTGTCTCTCCTCTCAAAGCACAAGGTGCTGGGAAGCTTAATTGGGGGTTTTCTCCTAACTTCATCGCTGAAGGTCCTATGACATTCATTCATTCATTAAATAACGTATATCTATTTTGACCATGGTTCGTTAAGCTGCACTTCCAGAGCACCCTTATAATTTTCGTGAATATTCCCATGGGTTGTCGTGGGTAAAGTGGACTTGGCCACAGTAAAATCAAGTGCTGAATGGGGTTGTTATTTGCGATCCTTTACCCTGATAAATCACAAACCCTGCTAATTTCAGAGGCGTTCGTTGGCCCCCAATTCTCAGAAGCGTTCTGCGCTTGTGTATAGAATCGACCACTTGCGTTCACTTAAACAGCTCGATTTTTACGTCGGGGTTGAAAGAAATGAAAATTCTGTGCTTGGTTTAATAAATGTTCGGATCTTCTTTCATTATTTCGGGTTTGTTTTGGTCCAAATTTGTCCACCTCGTGATGCCTCGCGCCCAGTGACGTTAAAATTTAAAAAAGGAAAACTAAGTCTGTTGGGCTAATTAGACAAAAAAAAGACATTTAATAATACGTAAATTGTTTAAGTTGTTAGTACTATTATACCTTTATCGATAGCCTTATCCTGTTACAATTCTGCTATACAAAAATACAGAAACAAATTATAAATAATATATTAAACGTTTCAAGCCTTTTCTTTTTTTCTCTCTCTGCCAGACAGAAGCCGTTAATGGTGTTAGCTCAAGCGGTATATCCAAATGCGATACATTTGCAAACGACTGCATTAGTGCGTGTCTTCTAGAGTTTTTTTGTTATCACTATTAATCAAATAAACAACAACGAATGCATTTGAATTGAGCAAAAGTACACGCTGGCGACAGGAACCAAATGAAGTTTGGCGAGAGTCGTTAAATCTGCAAGATTATTGGCAAAAGGGCGGCGGGTTGGGGTTTCTCGTTGGGTATCCGACGCACCTGTTGATTAAAAGTACGCATCTGTTTTTTTTTTCCAAACCAAATCCAAACAAATACTGGAGAGTCAATACCGCACTGCACACACACCAAAAAAAAAAACCTATTTCAGTAAAAAAAAGTTACAGAAACATTTGATTTACACAGGTTAAAACAGTTTTTCACTATTTCGGGTCAAATCTACAGACAGCAGTTACGTGTCGTTCAGACGGTCTGTTTAAACGCTCCGATGTTTGCACTCACAATTTAAGTCATTACAAAATCCCCCACAAACCACCTGGTGGAAAGTCGTAAAACTCAAGACGAAACAGGCGAAAGCGAGAGGTTACCGAGGCCGTTTCTTCTGAAGTCACCTCACACTTCTTCACTCGTAATGCCTCCCTTTCCCCCCCCCGCCCCACTTCAAGCTGAACTCTAACATCCGGAGTTGACGACTCGTTGCAGGAACGAAGAGTCTTGAAGTCTTCTACGGATAGCGGTGCAGACAAACAGTAAAGGAGTGGGAAAAGAAAAACCAAACTCCATTGTCTAATGTATCATTATCATTATGATTCCTCTGTTATAAGATCAGTTTTTTTAAGAAGTCTGTGAGGCGGCTTTCCTCATTGGCTTTTCTCTTCGTAAATCCGTGGAGCGGTCAGATAGGTCACGGGGGTGGAGGTGGCGGTGATGTCTCGCGCATGGGACGTTGTCCTGCCCGTCGGTAGCCGCGCGCAGGCGCTGAAGTGGGTGGTGGGGTCGGGAGGGAAGAAGGGGAAGCTTCTGGCGGACGGGGATTTGATGCGGAGAGGCGAGCGGATCCTCAATTTCGGCAGAGCCTCAAACTGCTTCCGCGAAGCGACGTGGCGGCGACTTCAAGGCAAGACTGTGTGCGCCCCCCCCCCCCATGTTGTGATTGGAAGGTTCTCTCCCCCCCACCTATTGAACCACGTTGAAGCTAAAAAAAACAACAACCGTTCGGCTAAGAGAAATGTGATTCTGATTGAGCTGTGGAATAATAAAAAAATATCACCGAGGAATAAATGTACAGGACGCATATACGGTACGTGAACGTGCACCCCGTGTTTCATAACGACTGTAGTTCTACCGTGAACACCTTTTTAAATGTGTTCCTCCTCATCTCAAGTCGTACGAAAGTGTGCTTGTTAGAAACTGGGCCTCCTGCACCCTCCTTTAAAGGTTCTCCCATTCACACACGAACCGACTTACGGCGTGCACTCCGACTGCGCTACAGATCCACCTGCTGCCGCTTACATCCCTGTGTTCTTTTTTGTACGGAGCCCTGCAAGTTCTACGCAGGCACTGCTGGAGAGCCACGACCGCCCCCCCGCGCTGGCATTCATCACGAAACAACTCCGCATGTTGTTCTGTGCAATAAGTCCTAGTACTCGTTTGTCCTTGCATTGTTGCTGGGCGTCGCTTTGAAGGCGCCTAGACTCACCTCTCGAAGGCGAATGGAATAAGAGAATTAACAGGTCGGTCGGTCGGTGCGGTGGTGGGGTATAAATGTGCAATCGCTCGTTTACGCACGATTGTGGGGTGGGTGGGTGGGGGGGGTAGAGGAACTGCGCGGAGCCATCAGCCCCATCTTTTTTATGGGTGGCAGCGCCCACAGCCGCACTTAACCACCTTCTCCACCTCCTCGAAAAAGGAGGAGCCGTCGGTGCACTCGAAGGCGTAGCGGCGGCGCTTCGTGCGTAGCGCCGCGCAGCACTGACCGCCGCCACCGCCACCACCACCGCCTCCGCCCGTGCCCTCGCAGCTGCCCTTGCAGTCGACGCGCGACACCTCCTGCACGCTCTGGCACGCGGCGTAGCCACGCTGCTTCTGCAGCCTGCCCAGCACGCGCTCGCCGCGGCACGACACTTCTGTGGGAAACGGTGGCGGGCGGGGGGGGGAAGGTGGTCCAGACCACGTAAGGGGGAGGTGGGGGGGGGATGGTGCGGGGGTAGGTAAAACAAACAGGAGCGTTAAAACAAATGAGGGGCATGCGATTTTGCTTTCCGCAGTTTTTTGCCGCCGACTATAAATTGTCATTAGCCTAACGACAGCGGGCAACGGTTAAATTGTCGACCGCACATTAATTTAAAGCGGCGGGGCGAGCGCGCGCACTCACGCACACGGTGGCAGAGCCGTGAAATGTATTTTTGGAGATTATAATGAGGGCTGGTGGGTGAAGGTCTTGGCGACCTTTCCAACTGCATCTGAATCTCGCGCGAAGCGCAGACCCTGTGCGACGAAGGTGGGAGGGCGACGGACGAAGCTCACGTGACGAGCGACACGGTGTGGAAAACCATGCCGTGACCGATGTGCCGGGTTTCCCCAGCGACTGAGGAATCACACCTGGAGGAGCGGCAGTGCCCTAACAACCCAAGGGACTGGGCTACCACGGGAATAGTGGACGTATGGATTCCTGGCTGTGTCAGGGTAGGGAGGGTTTTGTATTATTGCAGCAACCAGAGCAGCATGTTTCTGTACAAATCTCATCGCTATCGTCATCAATGGTGGATGACGGCTTCCCCAAGCAGTAGCCATCTCTGATTTCGTCACTCCATCTCTGCAGTGGACGTGATCTTCGGTCTATACTTTTCCTTTAGGAAGCCACTGGAGCTATGCACTTTTAAATCCAAATTCAAAAGTCATTTGTTTAGAACTGATTTTTGTGTTTAGTTTGTTGTCCTTACCCCACACCTTCTATGAGCACGGTTGACAACGTATGGTACGAAAGAATTCCCGCATTTCTTACGTAGTCTATTTAACACTTAGGCTTTTGCGACCAATATCATCCATAAGAGTTTGTTTTTTGGGGTTAGATCGCGTAAATATACTAGTACAGCACACCGGTGTGCTGTACTAGTGACGAATTAGCACATTCTGTTGACGTAACAACCCTTACTAGTTGGCTGTGTCGGGTGGTGGTGGGTTTTAACGACACATTTATATATTTACACGATCTAATCCAAATAACCTCTTATGGATACATAGTCTATGTTGGGAGCATGTTGGTGACCACTGTACGAATAACCGTTCTTCTCTAGGCATATCGGTCGTATGTGTCGCTCGTTCATTGTCAGCAATCATCTGCTGAACCCAATTGTGAATATTATTCCCAATAATATTTACAAAATATTTACTGAAAAAGTGTCGCCCGCCTCCCCCGCCGACGCTCGCCCCGCAAAGAGGTCTCCTCGACGGCGCTCGCACGATGCTCCTCACCCCTGTCACAGTTGTCCCCGGTGTAGCCGGGGCTGCACTCGCAGAACGGCTTGCCGGCACCCGAGATGCGACACGTGCCGTGCTTGCAGCGTACGCCGCGGCACGGATTGAAGAGCTCGCGCTGCTCCTCGTCGCACAGCGTGCCCACGAAGCCGTCGGCGCAGCGGCAGCTGTAGGAGAACGCGTCGAGCGCGACGCACGCACCGTGCACGCACCTGGGGGGAGGGCGGGGGGGATAACCGTGAAGATGATGACAAGATGATGTCCTGCACCTCCGATTAGCATGGTTGGCTACGTACGGTGCGAAAGAACTTCAACATATGTATATACAACAATAATAATAATCGTGGTCCTGATTGCTATGATGAACGTATACAGCCGAAATGATGTTAGTGAAGTACATGCACAGCCCTTTTGTCGATCCACTGCTGGATGAAACCCTCCCCGTGCTGTGTGGGTCGTGGTGATAATTAATCAGTGGTGAGTCGTATCTGAACGAGTCCTGGCCAGTGTGGTGAAGCAAGATCAAAGACAAATATCCGCCGCATAGCCTTAACAGACTGTTGGAGCAAGTATTGTTAGCGAGCGCCTATGAAGGCCAACAAGGCACGCGACAGGATGGGTAGCCAGAACCACACCTGGCCGCGATTGTCTCTCCGGTACTCATTTAAGGCCGAGCCGACCTAGGCAAGGCCCAGGACCGGTTCATGCGCGGGAATCAAACTCGGGTCGCCGGCGATCCGTGGCGCGGCTCATTGTGCACTGCTGTCGCCTCTGAAGTACGGTCAAAACAACCCCCCACGATAGACGCGACGCCCACCCGCGATGCAAACTGCAAAAGGGCGGCGGTGGCAGTGTCGCGCGTCTCCGTACTTGTTGGCCTGGCAGGGGTCGCCGGAGCGCTGGTCGCACTGGGCGCCCGTCCACCCGGCCTCGCACTCGCACGTGTGCCCCGAGGGGCCGGCGGCGCGGCAGGCGCCGTGGGCGCACGCGCCCTGCTGGCGGCACGGGGCGCAGCCGGGCAGGATGCCGGCGGGCGGGCGGCCTGGGGCGCGCAGGTCCTGCAGCTCGTCGTTGATGTAGAGGTCGCGGATGCAGCCGTGGAAGCCCATGCCGTTGCGGTCGTGCATCTGCTTGAGCGCCGCGCTGTTCACGTCCGTGGGCATGCCTGCTCGGAGGGGGGGGGGGCAGAAGGAGCCGCCGTGCGGTAATCACGCGGGGGCGTGGGTCCTCATCGTGGCAATACCGGGGAGCCAGAAGCGCCTGTCGTATTTGCGAGTGGATGTTCACCATGTTTTGTTATTAGAAGTTAATATTCACTTCTCGAGATGCTTTAATTGTGCCGAAACAAGGATTTTTATTAATTATATATATATACAAACTTCCATACCAGCATATCATCAGATATCCGGCCGGGTGGCTCAGTACAGTGAGCTGCTCGCAATCGCAAGGTCGTGAGATCAAATCCTTTGGAGTCAATAAAATCAGTATCGCTTCGTGGGCAAGTCAATGCTGGTTGTCCTACGGATAAAAGTGCCCTCATCGTAGGAATGTAGAATTCGCTCCTATTTAGAAAAAAACATATACATTATTTTGGCCTTTCCCCCAGTATTATCCCAATTGTGCTAGCATATCATAAAACAAGGTGTATATTTGGAGCTCCCGGAGAGTACTTTCCTCATGTTATAGAAGGGAATATCACAACAACTTCTGATATCCCTTCAAGTGATCATTGATCTACACACTAAGGGCAGTACTTTCCCACCCGCTCTACCATCGTGAGTAAAGTTCATCACCTGACATTCTATCCGATATTTTAAATGTCGCGGACATGGGGATTTTTCCAACATTAAGTGCAGAACCAAACTTAAGTCAGTTTAACACAAAGGCTTTCGCGAACAATATTATCCATAATAAATGTCGTTTTTTGGGGGGTTCTATCGCGTAAATATTTACGTGATCTCTTTACGCGATCTAACCCAAACCTCGCCCCACCATTTCTTATGCAAATTAATTTCGACAAATAATGTATTTTAAATTACATTTTGTATTGTGGGCTTACTCACCACCGATGTACAGGGGCGACTCCAGGGTGAGGGAGGCTGGCTTGCCCAGTTTGATCATGGTTTTGGGGGAGCCTCCGTCGATGGACAGGTTCACCATCTGTTCCAGCGTGACGATCTCCACGGTGTGGAACTCCCCGTCGTTTATCGTCTCCAGGCTGGTGCACACGGCAACAGCTTGAATCAAACATCTGCTTTCCACGTGATCGTACTTATGTATGTTGAACTTCTTTTGCACAGTACGTAGACAACCATGCTTAAGCGGAGGAGCACAGCATCATCATCATCATCATCATCACGAGTCATGATCAATCCACTGCTGGATCAATGCCGCCCCAATTTAGCAACATCTCTCATGAACCTGTGATGTAACATATCTACGCCCAGCACTTGCAAAGAGCTGAAATCATCGCTCCATTTCCATGGTGCCTGTAATCTCTGGTGCTTTCCCTGTTTGGCTGGTTTATATAACACACATTAAAGGTAGCTTATGCCAGGCAAGTATCGTTTCACCTGCCAGCAACTTTAATTCACCAATTACGTATTTATTTCATTCATGCTATAAGTAGATGGTCAAAACGATAGAGAGATATGTCGTTAAAAAAGCCATTTTTCTGTTTGAACGAGACAGAGTCAATGGCATAATTTTGCTTTCCATTTTCAAGTTAAGAATAGACTTTTAAAGACGCCCGAAGAAAGTGTTTGTCAATATTGAATCAGCATTTGTAAAAATGTATACAATAACCTAGCGAGTGAGGGCTAAGTAATACATTGCCAAACACTCAAAAACGGTCACCGCTTCGAGTAAAGCTGCGTTTTTTAAAACTTCTTTTGTGGATGTAAATCCTCAGGCCTTGCATTGTGTACCTTTCTAAGCCTGCACTTTGCGCTTTCACGGTGTCCTGGCCAGGTGCCGTACCGGACGGCTTTCACCAAAACAACGATGAGTGTCCTCCTTTGTGTTTTATTGTTTGGCCACTCCATGCCAAAGCAGCGGCGGCAGCAGCAGCAGCAGCCGCAGCAAGAGATCGCATTACGGGCACTGATTTCATTTGCTAAAAAACAGTTCTGGGCTTGCAATCAATCAGTGGCCCGGAATCGCTGGAATTGAACTCTGCATGTACAGAAAATGCAAACCATCCCATTTTGGAAAACATAAATACTTTCGTTTTTTTTTGGTGATTTATGGGGGAAAAAAAATCTGAGCAATCCGAAAATTACGATATTTTAGGGTAGCTTTTCCTTTTCCTCACTTCCTGTTTCATACATCATCGCGATATTTGAGGGCTACAAAGGCAGGCCTCGTATTTCGCTCGTGCTTAAATTCAGCTTTCGTTACAAATTCCAGGTGACTTTTTTTTCACGAAAAAATAAAGCATCATTATTCCACGCCAGCTTGTGTTTGTCCCGTCGTGAGTAGCAACAGGGTTCTCCAACAGACAAAAGCGCTCAACAGAGTGCATTTTCTCATTCAGGGAGGATTAAAGCTTAAGGCTTGAACGCGAGAGTGCAGCATATGGCTCGCGCCTAATTTATCCTGGCATTGTGTTGCAGAAGTCGTCGTCTCTGTAGTTATCAGTCAGGAGGAAAACCCGTGTGTTTGCGAGATACTCGTCACATTTTTATACAGAGGATTCTTACATTCTAGTGATTGCATTGCCACCAGGTCCACTTTCACATTTCACACAGCTAATCAGGAACCGGTCGATATTTCAACAAAAATAACGTGTTGATATCGGTCAATCCGCTGCTGGACGAAGGCTCTCTCTCCGATTCCCTCTCCGCCTCTTGCACCAGCTGTCTTAATCCTAACCCTGCAGTGCCTGCTAGTATCTCAGCAGTGGCTGGAGAAAGGCAGGAGGGGGCTTGGTGTGTGTGATACCTGTCTGTCGTGTCGTCTCGCACGGACGTGTACTGCTCGTGTGTGGGTACGTGTGTAGGAGCGCGTGTAGAAGTGTGCATGTGCGTTCACATGTGTGATCCTGTTTGCGAATTTAAAGCCCTTGTCAACGTACTACTAGTTGGGGGCCTCGCCACGCTCCGTCAGTTATAAGGGTTGTTTGACCATACTTCACCACGCCGGTCAGTATGGTTTGGTGAAGTGGGTGAGTGGGGGTGTCCATGCTGCATGCAGCTGTCACTTGCCACAGATTTCTGTCATAGGTGGGAGTTGAATGGACCAACCGCTATGTTTCCACTTCACAGCCATCCCTTCACCTCCAGACTCCACTTCTACCCTCCACCCCCCATTCATCATCATCATCCATTTTCAATCCACTGCTGGATAGAGGCCTCCCATCCTGAAGTCCTTGTGGTCCAGTGCTGCTGCAATTATCCACCGATCTCACCACCGGTCGAACTCTTTGATGTGTTCTCTCCTCCGGCTGTGATGTCACCGCCAAATATATTACAAGTATCATTTTATATCAAATTTACTTTGAATTTCATTTGAAACGGAGAGGTTTGATGAATATTGAAAGCCAATTCAAAGGCTTTGCAGATTGGCCAGGATCAGCTCACTTAAATAGACGTTGGGCAAAAATAATTGTTTTGTCATGCCGTCACATTTCTGTTGCAATATTTAAGTGCAAGAATAACCCAACCAAAGAAGAACCCAGAGGCTTTACACTCCCACAGAAAATATGGCACAACGCTGAACCGCATCTGCACATCATGTGGCCGTTTGCGCCTAGCTCCTCCATAAATGGGGGCTGATAAAAAAAATCCTAATTGTGTGACTGTGGAAATGCAGCTCAAACATCAGAACACCTTCTCAATCATAACCCCAAACGATCTTATCCTGGTGATATCTCTGCTATCAACTCCATGCCACATCAAGGAATCAATGGGATCGCCAACTTGCACTTGGAAAATCCTACACAGATGTTTCTGTAAACCATACGAACACGAACGTCCGCTGCAAGTGGACCCAACAATGTAAACGCTGTATATACACTGCTGTCGCTGTTGCTATGTCCTTAATTTTCCTGTCTTTTAATTGGAGTTTTGTTTTTTTGCATGAAGTTACTACAGTCATCGTCATCCCGTTTAGTGGAACACAATGCCATCCGCCTCCTTGGACCACTGTGAAATTGCTTTGACACAATGCAGGCTGCTTCTTAGTCTCTCATCTGTTTCTTTGGGGGCAGTTTAGAATGGCAAATGCTAAATGTCAAAACGCAAGCTAATTGTCAAAGGCACCATAAAAAGCACAGCTTGCAGAAGTCATTGTTTTAGGCACATCCTATTTATGTAATGTTTCTATTATGGTATGTGTATTTATATGTAACAATAAAAAAACATCTGCTAATACCAATAAAAATGATAAATACCATTATTATATGCTTTGGAAAACATCTATTCTCATTTTGTATACAAAAAATATGTTGAAAAAGTTTGACATTTAAAGCGAAGTTTAAGTTTATTTCAAGGAAAACAGAACCCCTTCTTGGCTTTGCTACATTTCCTGCTATTAGCGTTGTAATTTTTTTTTTAAACAGCAGCATCGCCTGAATACAGTAATGGCCAACGTTGAGATGCAGTGGCAAATAGTGGCGCGGATTAGCCGGCACTGGCATTAATGGCAAACGAGCGAGTGGAATTTTTTGTTTTATAATTTACATCGCTTCAGCAGAAGCTCATTACTCAAAAAACAGAAAGGAATGTAAGAGGCAAACTTCCCCTTTGTTTTAAGTAAAGCATGGATGGTTCTGGGGACTGAAAACAAAGAAAAAGCCTCTCACTTTTACTCGGAAGACAATTTCCAAGTTCTCGGAGAAGCAGCGTAGGCTGGGAATCAGGGGAGTTCTTTAATGGGTAAAAAGCACAGTCTCAAAAAAATGAAAGGGACGAGGCCTGCCATAGCACTTTCTCCAGCCTCGCGCTTGCAGCAGAGTAACATTTTTCAGATCAAGTTTAAGGAAGCTCTGGTGACCTCACTTTGCAGGTGATTTCACCCGCGCCACAAATCCGATAGCAGCTTCCATGCACCCGCCGCATTTTGATTATGTTCCTAAATCCACCATCGTTCCTCTCTCCAAAAGCCACCCGTGAAATCTAAAATCCATTTCCTCAGACAGAATCTTGGCTTTGCCCCTCTTCAGCACTGTAGCTATCGAGCATGCAGGCAATTACACACTCGAGAGCCAAGATACTGCACGTGGGCACACAGGTCAGAGGTGCCCACATCACCAGGCCATGAAGTAGGGCTCAGGTCCTGGGCTAAAGGTGAGCACTGGCGGTTGGCTGGGGGGTCCTGGCAGTGCCGGCTCTAGGTGTAGACGACGTAGACATTCGCCTGGGTTTTGTGGCAGATTGTTGGGTACCCAGGAGGGGTGGCAATGCTAAATTCTGATAGGCCCACAGCAATTGCCCCACGTGCTTCTTTCGCACCATACGTATTCAATTGTACTGCCACTGTCAGGGCTCATGCATTGCTGGCGAAACCAGTAGATCGGGTTGCCACCTATGTGGTTAAAAAACCCGGGACTTATCATGGCAAGAAGGGTATCTCAATACTGGAACAGGGGAGAACCACATGCACCTGCGTTGTCTTTAGCGGTGTATGATTACACAACTCGCAAACACGAGGCCATTTATGTCCGATTTTCCAGGACATCTAATTAAAATAGATAACGATCCTGGGAAAAACCAGGACAGGTGGCAACCCTAATTTGAACTTTCACTGCAAAGGATGTTAATTCGCATTTGGAAACAACTGCTCGATTGACTGTCAAAAAGAAGGAATTGTGTTTAATTAAAAGCAGCGGCCGCTTCTAGCACCTGTAGATGGTGGGGTTGGGGTAGCTGCCCGTGTCGTAGCTGAGGCGCACGCGGCCGCGGTAGATCTCCACGGCGATGCGCTCGCTCACGCCATTGTACAGAAGCATCCCATTATCCTCGTCCGTCGCCACCTGCATTCTCAGATCGGACGCGAGGAGCCTGGTCGTCAGGAGAGGGCACTCTGATGTAAGGCGCTGGAGGCAACAAGGACCGAAATTGCTCGCCATGCCTGCAGGTATGTATGTTGAACTTTTTTCGCGCTGTACGTAGCCAACCGTGCTAATTATAATTATCGAAGGTGCGGGTCACAATAACTCCTCAGTCTGCTTCTTCCCTTGCGCTTCTCCACCTTGGAATTCCCTCCCATCGTCCAAGTTCTTACACTAACCTTGCTAAATTCCAGACATTAGTAATTCCCATCTGTTACACCTGTTTTGCTGCTGGCCACTTGGCATTTCGGGACTTTGGGTCTGTGCTCAACAACTGTGATGTACAATATAGATGAACATGCTTGAATAACAATATAATAAGACTATTCATATTTACTCTTACAGCTGTGACGGTCTCCTCTGATTCATCGGCATTGTTTGACTATACCTAACCACGCAGCACAGTTATAAAAAAATAAGCATAACTGAACCTTATGGACGGACCTCGGGGTCCTATAAGCCGCTGGCTCTCGCATGAACTGCGTTGCGACGTTATTTTATGTCTGTTGAAGGCGAACGATGCGGCAATCTATTCCTCTGGACGAGCTCTACACGATGCGCTAATCAAAGTTTTGTTTCTTCTGCGCATTCGTCCTCGCTGCTGCGCTTGGACGACACGACAATAGAATGATCCGCGCCAGGTGGGTCGCGGCGTTTATGTGTGTGGTGGGACGGAGTCGCCAAAAATAAATGATTTACGATTTTGACTTCCGTTTATTCGGGACCCTGGGGTCCCGCCATAAGGTTCAAATGTTCAAACGGAAGAAAACAAATGATGGTGATTACCAATTTTGTTCTATTCATATCAATGTTAAGCCACTGCACTGGTCTAGAAGTAGAGCTTAATTTCTCACTCAGTACTTTCGGGGTCGCTGGTAGACTGGAGCAGGTACATGACCAGCAGCCACAGCCATCGGGAGAGGTATACTGGATGTGGTGTATTTACTCTATGTATGGATGTAGGTTGAACCTCTTTCGTACCGTACGTAGCCAACCATAATAATCGGAGGTGGACGGGAAGGACAACAAACTAAACACAAACAACCGGTTCTAAAGAAATTAGTTTTTGATCTGGATTTAAAAGGGCACAGCTCCAGTGGCTTCCTAATATCAGAAGGAAGAGCATTCCAGGCGGCCACGGAAGCGAATCTGAACCGTCTTTGTTCAATGACTAGCCAAAAGCCGCTGCTGTGAGGATGACCGGAGTCTGGCTTAAGGTTTACGCTCCTTGGCGATATCAGCAAGGTATTGTGGTTCATTCGTGGCAAGCACTTTGTGTGCAATGACTGTGACGGAAATGTTTTCTGGCTCGGTGACCCGGACAGACCCGGCCGAAATTAAGAACTGTCTGTGTGGCTAAACAATGGGGGTGGGGGTTGGAACCTCCTGTCATCTTCGTCTTGCGCGTGTGTGCGCGCGGTGACCTGCAGGGTAATGTTGGCCTTGGGCTGCCCCTTGAGGGGCGGCAGCTGGAGGTACGAGTCGCGCTGCACGAAGTTGACGCTCGTCAACTTGTCGCAGCGCGGCCCCACAAAGCCCTGCAGGCACTGGCACTCGGGCTCGCCGCCCGCCTCCACGCACTGCCCACCGTTCTGGCAGTCGTGGTACTGGCACGCGCTCGTCTGCAGGTACACCATGGGAGGTGGAACCTCGCACAGCGGCCCGCTGCCGGGGCGACGGTTGGAGGAGGAAGACGAGGATGGGGAGGTGGGGGGGTGGGGTGATACACATGGTAGGGCATGGGCAGGTGTTAGTTGTGCGTAAAGCTACAAATTCTAATTTGGTCAGGGTAAAACAGGCTTCAGGAAGGTTGTCTCCATTGTCTGGAAGCATTTAGAGAAATCGTGATTTTTGTCCTGGTCCTAATATTTTCTGGCATCGTGCTCGACTCACAATATGGAAGATGGGTGGGGACTACCTGAGTAGCGGGTGGGGGTGGAGAGTGCATTATGTGGGGCCTATGCCATTTGCAAGGCCACTCTCACCGTGTGAATGGGGATAGTGATTTAGTGGCCGTGGCTATGAAAAGAGGGCGGGCCTGATAGGGGGAGGAGCTCCAGGCTCACCGTATATGGCAGTTGAACCTACCAGAAACGTTGAGGTATGTAACAATCAAATCATCAATTTATATCGATTCTTTCAACTCACCATACATGCGTATGAGAATGTATTATTGTATTATGTATCCAACGTAAAAAACGAAATGTTATATCTGTGCCAGTAGGGTAAACAACACTTCCACAAGACAAAAAAAACAAATTGCACAATAAGAATCGTTACTCCAATCAGATTGGGGCCCCCCGAATCTTGACAAGTCATCAAATTGTGAATTGTTACATTCCTCGTGGGTAGGGAGAAGGGGTGGGGGGGGCAGTGCGGGTGGAGTGCCAGGAGTGATGAAGGTGAACTTAGGTTAGTTTTTGTTAACAACTGGGCCATAACCACGTGGAATGAAACTCCACCGTTTTTCTTTGAAATTGAGAAAATTGGGCAATTAAAAACATTCTCAGAGTTTTTGTGAATCAAAATCTGCCAAAAAGAGTTTTTTTTTTTTTCCCCTATCCAAAAAAAAAACATTCACGGTACTTTAGCAGTGGAGAGTTATGCGACGCTTTGCTGGCCACAGAAGCAGCAGCGCAGGCTGCGGATGAGGACAGTTGCGGCTTTGGTGATGCCGCTGCTTCGGCGGTATTCTCACATTCGTTTTAAAGCAGTCCGTGAGCTGTGTGTCACACCCATAGCCATTACAGACGCACGTATAAACCAACACTTCACGCCCACCTCCGAGAGTTTCCACTCAATACGGACTTGTGATCGAGCCTACCTAAAATCGCATCCGATGACTCACAGTTGTTGTAGTGTGTGTGTGTGTGCGCGGAGGTAGCACTCAATGCGTCTGTAGCTCAGCTCGTGTTGTGTTTGTGAGAGTGACTCCTACGACAAGATCTGGGCATGGGAGGAATTGGATTAAGGGGCATGCGTCATGAACGGGATTACAGAAAACTACAAAAAAAAATCGACTGAATGCGTTTCAACTGTTTCCTGATTTTGACTCAGAGTTGTTGTATTTGGGATTGAAGCATGCGACTACAGACCGCAGGTTTTTCGTTTTGTCGCTGAAACCGTTTGATGCTATACGGGGGTTCTGACCCCACGGAAAGCCACGACATACCTGCCACGTCGTTCCAGAGTAACATGCCATATTAACTCGGAAAGTCGACACTTGTGTCACCGATGCGTGTGATTATTTCTGTTAACAGGCCCCGGTAAAGAAAATATCAATTACTCAATCAATCATTCGCAGCAGCGGCAGCAGCGGCAGCAGCGGCAGCAGCGGCAGCAGTCACAAGGGTCTCATTATTCCCCGACAACACAAAGCCGCGAGAAAAACCCGCTTGAAAACCGGCGAGGGCCTCGCGGTCTACCTAACGACCCGCGACGACGCCGAGAGTGCCTCCTCTCCGTGCGACCGTAAACACCTGAACCCGTCCGGGCACACGCAGGACGTAGCCGTCGACCGCGTCCACGCAGCGCGCGCCGTTCTGGCACTTGTGCTCCTGGCAGTCGTCGTAGTCGACGGCGCAGTCCTCGCCCACGAACCCGGCGGCGCACTCGCACCTGCGGCGACGGAGAGGAGACGCGCGCTCGCTGCACACACGACGCCCTGCGCGGCTGCAGCCGCCCACCCGCCTGCCCTGCCCGTTTTGCCCGTTTTGCCCCCCCCGTCGATGGAGAAATTTGCTTTCGGTTGTTAGTTTATCGTACGGGACTAGTTTGTTTCCGCAATTTTTTATCCGATCGATTGAGTTATATCAGCGTCGCGTAGCGAGACTTAAGCAACCGTTTCTGATCTCTCACAAAGCACCGCAATCCTTCGTGGAAGTAGATATTACAGAACTGCTTGGGAAGTCCTCCTCAAATTCATCTCAGGTCCACCGCGTAGATGGCAGCACTTTTCCCGGTCGGCGTGCACAATGAGACGTGCTCGTTGCACGACGGTAAAACCCAATATTCTAATTCTCAGAGCTGGAATTTGGCCAAATTAATTGCAAAACCAGATGTAATTGGATGTTTTTTTCGTGCAGTCATTGGTGACTGGACTCAGAATATCAATTGACGACACAAAAAACCGGCACAAAACCAAAACGGCTTTGCTTTGTACATGATAAATGGATTAGGTTATGTAAAAAAACTAACAACAGAATGGAGGCCGATAGAGGGCAGGAGAAAGAGGGTGGGGGGACATAGAAAATACAATTTCTTGGACTAATATGATGGTATCTGGAGGAGCACGCTGGATAGAGGTGGAAATACACTGTGAAGAGTGCAAGACATTTGGAGGAGGTATTTGCCCATCAGTGGGATGTGAACGGATGAATACGAAGGAGATGATCTGGTGGGGAGGATGTGTTACATGTGACGGGTTGCAGGCTTCACTCGATATTCGGAGTGTCGAAAGAAACAAAAAGAAAACCACCAAAATTCTAGATTTGAAGTTTTCGTGACTGCAAGGATTCATATTCTTAGGTTTTTTCGGTAAAGTCACGTAGGTAAAAAATATAAATTAATAAAAGTAAAATAAAAATAAAATAAAAATCACGACGTTTCGATTGCTATATCTCTTACTGTATTTATTACTTGATACAGCAATCGTGCTGTGCCGGTTCCACCTGAAGATGGAAGCTTGTGTTGCCTCCGAAACGTCGTGATTTTTATTTTATTTTTATTATTTTTAATTTTTTACCTACGTGACTTTACCGAAAAAACCTAAGAATAAAAAAAACACCAAAAGCCATGAATTGTTGCCACGTGCTGCCCGCAATAAAAAAGAGGTTAATTAACGATCCTCTCGATATCGGCACACAGGCGCACCGCCTTGTCACATGGGCCGGAGACTCGCGTCCGTCACGGCGTTTGCCGCGTTTGGAAATAAATTGCGCTCAACCGCGAGCAGCGGGGACAGCCTTGGGCGATGCTTTCTAAAAGGTCCCCAAAGACCTGGGCTTGACATATCATTTAGCCACACGTTTATAGGCGCTGCCGGTGCAGTGGAAGGGTGGGGGGGGGTGTGTGGTAGGGGATTTTGAGGCTCATTTCTAACCCAAGGCGCGTTACGAGAATTCGGGGAGCATCGGCGCCTCTTAACAAAACATAGCAGCACCACCACCGCTCACAAGATATGCGAACTTTGCATGTCATATTCTTAGTTCTTTCGGTAAAGTCACGTGACTTTACCGAAAGAACCAAGAATATGAATCCATGCAGTCACGAAAGCTTTACATCGAAATTTGCATGTCATACTTCACTTCTGTCAGGAATGTGTGACTGAGCTGTCACAGCGTTATATATACTGATAAATAATAATTAAAAATACATTGAAATTGCATTCAACTGTAGTTTCCCCAATAGAGTCATATCTCAGAAGCGAAGCATGATTGAACCTGGATTGCGTTGGGATGGGTAGGTGAAAATGTAGTGATCTCTAGTGGCTGAAGGGACTACACGAATGCACTACATACAACATATATAAAACTCCCCATAAATTATGACAGGCCTAAGATTCAATGAATACGAATCGATAAAGCGACGCGTCGTTACACACTGTAGTATTTAGTGTCCTGTGATCTTACTGTGCTCTGCCCTGCTGTAACATAACTCTTGTACTCAACATGCTGGAGTAATTAAGCAGCTTTCAATGACATAGCTTTATCAGTCAGTCCTTTTGTCCACGTACCCCTGGGGTCTGTGGAATTGCATGCAGCCACACTAATGGGCAAACTTTGCGTCAGGCCCTGCGTAAATGCCGTGGTGCATTATAATCACAATATAATTATAATAACCGCAATGACTAACCCCCCCGGCCCTTGCTGCCCCCCACAGTGCAGGGGTGGGGGGGGGGAAGAAAGAGACGGGGGTGGTGGGGGAAGGTAATCTTTTCTGGAAATCAGCCCCAGACATCTCCGTCAGAAATGAAACGCTCCGGTTGTAATAATAAAAGTTTTGGTCACAAAACTGCCGAGTGACCACCGCCTGCTCTCACCTGGGCCCGTCGGAAGTGAGGATGCACTTGGAGTTGTGGCGGCATGGGTTCAGCTCCTCGGAGCACAGGTTTATCTTCTCCTCGCACAATTCCCCTAGAGGGTGGAGAAACACCGTGACGTGACCATCCACCGGAATGCAATGCTCACGCGCAACGACCTCACGTGAGCCAGCGTGTGCGTTACAGGAGCGCTCATCGAGATTTTTATAATTCGCCCGACCGTCACGACATTGTTGATGCAAGTACGCCATTGCTGCCGCTCATGGGTGGCGGTGTTGCGTATTCGGACAGTCCCTCGGGCTCATTTCCTCGCTGCGCATTGCCTGTCGACAACATCGCCACTACGCCTTGGCCTCGTCCAGCCACATAAACATGCGGTAAGAGGTGCAGCCCTGCAATTGCCTAGTCACATCACTGCTGCCAGAAGGGTCTCCCTCGAGTGAGTATTTGGCCTACGCTTCCATTCTGGCCAGACATCTTGGGAAGAGGTGAGAGTACCCGCACTTTACCCCCACCATCTGCACGTGCGACCTGCCGAACGACCGTGGCGTGTGCACATTCACACCGCTGGGTGGACCGGAGGCAGCGGGTTGGATTTAAGATTCTTGCGCCATCGTTTCATCCGCCGTGCCGGGAGATGGCATCGAGCCGGCGACCTCTGAGTAGCAAGCCCGGGGGCGGCGACCCGTTACACCACTGTGGTGAGCATCACCCAGCAACAACGCGCGGAGATTAACGAGGCTTTGATCGGCAACGCGTGGCAGGGCACCACCACTTCCGAGTGCGTTCAGAGAGAGGAAAGCCAGACGCTGCGCCTGACAAAACCGCTGTGTTCCTTTCTCAATCTCCTTTCCCCCGTCACCTTTACGCGTGCCTGCCGTTCATTATTCAAATGGCCTCGTCATTGAACTTTCCTTCGATCATTGCCGCTTGCGAGGCTAGTCTCACAACCTGTGTGACGGTTTTATTTTTTCCCTAGAATATCGCACCTCGTGCATTTGTTATGCAACATGGGAGGCATGTGTATTGCTACGCCAGACAAAATGTGTTTGGGAAGGAGTCTGAATTTGCTTCTTAGCTATTTTTTTTGTCCATCTCCTGAGTGCCCCCCCTCCTACCGCCCTCACCTCCCTTCACTCTCTTCCACCCATGTGTATAATCTCTCCCAGTATCCCTAAATTATTTCCATGCAAGCACTTTACTTTACACTTGCATAGTCCAGTCTGCTGAACTGGTAAAAAAGAAGAAGAAAAAAAAAACAACAATCAATCCCGCCAACAAATTAAGCCATGGAAAACATGCACCGGCAAAAAAAATAAAACATCACGAAGGCGGACGGCACGTGGGGGGGAACTCAGAGAGCAGCAAAGATCGGCAGAAAGAGAAGCACGTCACAAACTGACCTTTTTCAACTTCATTGCCCTTTTTAGCAGCTTGCAGCGAGAAACGAACAAAACAAACATTCGGCAAACGTTAAGGAAGGCCAAGTTCTCGCACGTCCAGCACGTCACAGCTATGCCGGCACGATGCGAGGACAGCGCACTGGTGGCACGCGAGCCAGAGAGTGAGAGAAGCGGCGGCGAGAGATGCTAACGAACAAAAAGCAGCAATCTTCGTGCAGGGCACACAAGATGTGAAAGGAAAAGCACAAAGAACGCGCTTAGAAACCCAGGAATAAACCGGCGCGGGACTACCTCCACGGTCTCACAAGGCCGGCGCGTTCCTGTCCGGAGGCCCCTTCATCACTCGGGGTCTCCAGCGTCCTTCATGAATTTTGGCCGTGGCGTGGCACAGATGTAACGCATTTAAAGAGTTTTATTTTTCTCAGCCTTTTTGAATCGATGCTGCCGCGCACAGCTTTAAGGAGTAAGCTACCAGTTTCCCCTCGCTCTGCAGCGGTGTTGGGGAAGGAGTGAAAAATGGTCCTGCGTCCCTTCGGCTGGAGGCTCATGATGAATTGGAGGACAGGATTTCACTCAATGGATGGTTATTGCCACAGGGGAATGCAGGGCATTAGCCGCTGTAAATGAAAATTTACACATTAAGCTTACAGTTTAAAGGCCATGATTGAAAATACAATTGCAACACGAGGTGCACGATGTTTGCACAAATAGAAAATCTATAGACACACAACTGATTGTTTACATGGCCAGATAATTGAACTTTTAACGTTTCACAGTCTACGCACAGTATCACGACGTGCAAACGCTTTACGGATTTAACTTTTCCTTTTAATAAGCTTTTAAAAAATGTTTTGCCTGAATGTTTTTACTGATGTTATCCCATCCTCATCAGTTTATGGGTCATTTTTTTTTTCTCTTCGGCGGTGCAGGATGTTCCTTCCTTTTTGAAGCACGGCACGGCAGACGTAGCGTGACCTGCGTTGAGGAATGGAGGGCCCACTCTGGCGGCCGTGCTGGCCTCACGCCCGGCTGCATCGCGCACATCTGTTCACTATTAGCGTGATCGGCACGCGGGGATTGGGAGATTTGTAAGACACGATTCCGTCCCTCGCCTCCTGCCCTGCCCCTCTCCGCTTCCTTCCCCTTTTCTCTGGTGCATCCCAGCCCGTTCCTCCCCGCAAAAAATATCTGCACCGATCTTATCTCGAAGTCTGCCCACGCACAAGGATGACCGGTAACCCAATTCGACTTTTGCGCTACGACAAAGCGGCCGGAGACGAGAACGCCGCTGGGTGCCGTCGAGTCCGTCCCCCGTCATCGTCTTGACGTTGGAGAGATAAATGCCGCTCACGTCTAAGTATGATTATGAATTGTGCCGGCGTGACATCACTGAGAGGTTCGCTTACTTTAAGTGCACATAATTGGCAAGTCAACAAGTATCTGCATGCGATTACACACAGATACCCTCCACCAGAGACTTGTCTTACATCGTCGTTAGCACTTGCGGAAATATTTACGCGCGCTCTTAGAACACAGCACTGCAAAACCGAACAGTGGAAGGGGCTTCCACGGGTTGTTTACTTGCAAAGGCCATCACCGTTGCTCGCTAAAGTGTCGCAATGAAATTAATTTGAATGACTCCCCAAACAAATCGCAACCAACTGATACAGTTGAGATGTCCAATCTGCTCAGACTGGCTTTCGCCCAAGGAGGTACGCACATGGCTAAAAAATCCATCCCACCCCCAGTGTAGCCACCACCTTACAAGCAAGGCCACCGCACAGTCGTACGTTTCAAATTAGTCCCAGGTTTCCTTTTCAGCGGGTGATTTATGGTGGAGAACTTAAAAAAAAACACCCGACTGTTTCACTGGCTGCTGCCGCCAAGTTATGTCAGCAGCCTGGTGGCTAAGAAAGTAAAATAAAACGTGAAGAATGCAAACTCTTCAACTAATTTAATTATCTTTTGTCGAGTTTTATTCCTATTCTCCTCAGCATCATGTTATGAGATGAAGTGTCCATTCGGAACTCTGGACAGGGGAAATGTTACCACCTTGCGTGTAAGAGACGAGCCTAAAGGAAGGCAACATCACAGAACTGCATCCGAGATCCCTTCAAGCGACCTGCTGTGCACACTAGGAGGCGCTGCACCTTCCCCACGCACTCTGCAGTCGAGATCCGTGTGTCGTGACAGGCAAGCTTGATTCTTTTTTGTCATTCTTAAAGCTAGATTTTTGTTGTTTATATACGATAAAAATCACTGTGCAGTAATTGGTGGCCATGCTGAGACCATCAACTCACTGCAGAATCTGGTTTTGATCAGATGGGCCAGATTAAAACCCAGAATGTTGAAGTTAATTTTCAAGTGATATTTTGTTTCAGAACAATCAGGTGCTCTAACAAGTTTGACGAGAGGGGGGGGGGGGGGGGGAGTGTGTTGAACCCATTGCTATGTTTGTTACCCACTGCACGCACACACAGCTCAACTCCTGCTGCACTTACAGCAGGGGTGGTTGAACTTCGGGGGCCCATGGGCACATGGTTGGTTGGTCTACCATTCTGAATCGTAACAACGGACAGTATTTCAGCACATCACCGAGAAACGTCTTAGCTTCACTAATCTGCTACTAGAGGGGAACATTTTGAACCCGGCAACAACGCTGTGTTTCTAATTATGGCCTGCTGAGTCATGTCTGTGACCAACAGGGCCCGTTGCAGTGACAGAAGTGGCTACCTCCACATCTTTATATTCTTGGTTCTTTCGGTAAAGTCACGCAGAAGGGAAACAATAAAATAATAAAAATATAAAACAATACAATTCTCACGACGTTTCGACTGCAACACAAGCAATCATCATCAGGTGTGAAAAACACAGCAAGAAAATTTGAAAAAAGTGGCCACTTTACCGAAAGAACCAAGAATATGAATCCCTGCAGTCACGAAAGCTTTAAATCAAATTTATACTTCCACATCGTTCTCCCCGTGGTCACGTGGATTTTTCCTCCGGGTCTTTCCCTCCACATTCACGTGCAACGTGCGTCGAAACTATTTGGCTGCCATACATTTCCAAACGCTGATATACGCCACTTTGCCGAGCCATCATTAGTGATAGCCAGGCCACTTCTGAAAAAGGGTGAAACACAGGCTCAGTGGGCCTTACCTGGGAAAATAAAATCGGTTTAAAGTTTTACTTTAATGTGTGGCACCTGCTAGGCCCTGCTCCTCTTGGGAGGTAGTGGGGGGCAGTAGAGCTGTTGAGTGGGGGGGGGGGGGGCACCACAGCAGTGATAAACAGTTCCGCTAAGCAGAGTGAACGTGGGTGGTGGGCCAGTGGACATCTGGTGGTATATCGCCCACCCCCAACAAACCCCTAAGCTCCCGCAAAGGTATTTAAAAGTCCTGTTTGGCCATCAGTAAGGGAACGGTTCGCCACCTCTGACCTAGAGCGCCAAGCCATTAGCGTTCACCCAGAGTGGCTCTGGTTGATGGGTGGGCGGTGGTGGGTGGTGGGGCGTGGAGCTCACCTGTGTACTCGTGCGGACACAGGCAGGTGTAGTTGTTGATGCCGTCCACGCAGGTGGCGTTGTTCTCACAGTCGTTGTCCTCGCAGTCGTCGATATTCACCTGGCAAACTTTTCCATCGAAGCCCTTGGGGCACTCGCACCTGGGGTCACGCGGTGGGGGGGGGGGGGGAGTAAGGGGGAGGCGGCAGCGAGTCTCGAGCAGGGTCACAAATGAACCACGACACCTTGCTGAGCTCGTCGAGGAGCATACACCATCACGTGAACTCCGGTCATCCTCGCAGCAGCGGCATTTGGTTAGCCATCGAACAAAGACGGTCGCTGCGTCGCGCGCTTTCAGATGCGCTTCTGCGGCTGTATGAGAAGCTCTTCCTTCTGATATTCGGAAGCCACTGGAGCTATGCACTTTTAAATCATATAAATTGAAAGCTCATTTCTTTAGAACTGCTTTATGCCTTTAGTTTGTTGTCCTTTTCCTGCACTTCATCATCATGACTGATGAGGTTGATGATGTGCGCCTCCGGCTTAAGCATGGTTGGCTACGTACGGTACGAAAGAAGTTTAACATACATCCAGGGGATTTGCAGTCAACTCTTGATTATCTGGGTTGCTGCATACTCATCAGGGGGCCAGCAACTGGATGCCCACATGATCGCAGATGTGCCGACAATCACACACAGATGAGGGATGATATCTTAGAACCCCAATTCTATGCAGGGACATCATAATTGCCTTAGAGTTAAAGTGAAATATACGTAGCATTATGCCCACTTTTGTTTCATCTACGCCATCCCCCGGCCCTCCCATTAGCCCAGATAATTGGCCGCACAAGTGCTGTCTGGTGGATATTAAGAACGACCCAATATTTGGTGCATTCGGGTGGCCTGTGTAGCCTCGTGCTTCCATTACACAACGACCCCCCCCCCGCCCCCCCCCACTGCAGCTGGATGGTTACCGTGCAGCAGGCCTGTTGCAGGCTACATATTCCTCACGTCACGCATCGAATTGGACAACATACGCAACCTTCGGGCTTGCCGTGAATTTTAACGTCGCTCCGCGCCGTAAATTAGTGCGGGCACATTTTTAGTCGCCGAAAGCCCTTGATTGCGTTGCATCGTATTCTTTTTTTTAAATGCACGTCGGGTTAAACACGAAGCGTGTTTAAATTTCGATTTAAAGCTTTCGTGACTGCAGGGATTCATCTTCTTGGTTCTTTCGGTAAAGTCACGTAGAAGGGAAGTAATAAAATAATAAAAATAAAAAACAATAAAATTATTAAAAGAATAAAAATAAAACACAATAAAATTATTTTATTGTGTTTTATTTTTATTCTTTTATTACTTCCCTTCTACGTGACTTTACCAAAAGAACCAAGAAGATGAAGCGTGTTTATTCAATTTAAACGGCTCCTCCTCCCACATCGGCTCCGCGGGGGGGGGGGGGGGGGGCACCGGCCGTCAGCCTCGTGTGCAAGCTGGGTTCAGGCGAGTGCCGTCGAGGGCCCCTTACTGGAATCCGGAGTCGTCACCGTCCTCGCGCACGTGGCACGTGCCCGCGTTCTGGCACGGCGAGCTCACGCAGGCGTTGATCGGCGTTCCGCAGTCCTGACCCTGGCACCGGGAGCACAGCGGCGTGGGGTTAATGCAGTGTTTGGAGTCGGGGGGTGTGGTGGGGGGGGCGATGGGATGTGGCGGGGAGGGGGGCTGGTGGGGGTTGGGTGGGTGGGGGACATGGCATAGGGCGGGATAGGGAAAATGAATCCAAATTCCCGCGGCAAAATTAGTTCCAGGTAGCGCTCGTCAGAGTTTTAGCGTTTATAAGGGTGGAGTGCCACTGATATCAGCCGTGCATTCTAAACCACGGTGCTTGGATCGTGACACCACTGCCCCCGCTCCTATTGTATTGTGTTTCAGGATAAACATCTCTAAGTGTTCATCAAAGTGAGGTGGATATAGACCGTAGGGAACTGGAGAAGAGAGTGATGATTACAATGCAGGTGAGGGGGCGGAGAGGAGTGAACACTGAGGATGAGCCTGTGAGGGAAGTAACTCCTTAGCCGTAGAGAAGACTCAACGCTGGACTTAAAGACGAGGAGGGCATCAGCATTGTGGATGACCAAGAGAGAGGAATGCAGACAGTAGAGGCAGCAAAGGAGAAGGAGCAAGCCCCCACAGTTGGGATGTTAATTTAGGATTTTTTCATCAGGCCCACCAATGGGGCTGGCGGTCCCGGCAGCGGCCCTCACCTTGAACCCGTAGGAGCAGGTGCAGCGGTAGAAGTCGACGGGGTCGCTGCTGCACACGCCGTGGTTGAGGCATGGCTGCGACAGGCACGGGTTGCACTTGGCCTGGATGCTGACGTCAGGCGGACCTGGGTTTCACGCGCACCAACGGTCGTGATGGATCACAGGCTTTGAATAAAACGTGCAAAAAACGGTCGCGCCGCATATTGCAACGCTCATTTGTTATGCATTATAATCGTGAGTTTGTTGTTAAGTTGACAGCATTATGACAAAACTATGGTTTATTAATATGTATAGACAAAGACAAACACTTCCCATTTAGCCTTTAACAAACTGTTGGGGCAATTGCCATTAGCGAGCGCCTATTAAGCACGTCGAGATGTCTACACATCGCACCAGGTCCCTCATTTAAGGCTGAGTCGACCTCGGGGAGGCCCAGGACTGGTTTAGGTAATCGTCACCGGCGTTGGCCGTGAGTGGGAATCGAATTTGGTCACTCTCTTCGTAGCGCAGCGCGGTAACCACTACATTACTATAAAATGACACATACACACACACAAATAACTTTGGGTTCAATCAATATATTGAAGAATGCTTCTTCTTGTCAATATTTAGTGATCATTTGCTAATATCTCCATCAGCGATGTGTATTGCTATATGCCCTCTGTCCGCTTCCCCCCCCCTCCCTCCCCCCTGCCTCTTCGTAGCCCGGCACCTGGTGCCCCTCCGGCCCGTGGTAACCCCAGTGTAGTTGCACCGCCTGCACACCGGTAAGATCCACCTCACGTGACGGCACAGGACAGCGCCGCGGTGCCGTGGCGCGCGGGAGCCTCACCGACACACTCGAACTTCTTGGAGGGGGTGGTGAGCAGCAGCTTCTCGGCCATGTCCCCAGGCCCCGAGCAGCGCGCGATGCCCGGCTCCTTGTAGTCCACCTTGACCCAGTCGGAGAGCCAGCGCATGGCGCAGTCGCAGTGCAGCGGGTTTGATCCCAGCGCTCTGCCGACGTCCGTCCGTCAGTCGGTCGGTCGGTCCGTTGGTTCGTCCGTACGGGCCGGGCGGGCGGGTGGGTGGGAGTTAAAACGACACGAAGCGGTTAGGCGAAATATCCAAAACGTGAGCTCCGCTGTGGATGGCGCAACTCACACCTGTAGAAGGCCGCGGGCGAGCGGCGGCCATCGCTTCATTAATCACGCGCGCCCCTTGTCGAGCGCTCCGCGTCGAAGCGTTGCGTACGCGACGTTTTCGCGGTAATGTTTTATGGGAGCGTGCGTGCTCGTGTTTTAATTTTTGAGGTGTAATTTATCATTTAAAATATTTACACGTGGCTGGGGGTGTAAAATGAAACTGTTGAAAAATTAATTTGAAGTTGTGTGTGTTTTTTTTCATATGCTGCGCTCAGAATCACGGCGAAACTCACAGATGGGAGAGAGACGTCAGGTCGCTGAAAACGCCGTGGGGAATCATGGAGACGTCGTTTCCGTGAAGTGACCTATTAGCCATGCAAAAAAAACACAAAGAGACAGACAAAGATCCCCCATATAGCCTTAACAGACTGTTGTGGCAAGTGCTGTTAGCGAGTACCTATGAAGGCCGGCACGGCACATAAAGAGGTGGGGTGGTCAACACCACGCCCGGTCGCCGTTGTCACTCCATTCGCGATGTTTAACACACCGCACCAGATATTCATTTGAGGCTGAGTCGACCTAGAGGAGGCCCAGGACCGGTTCAGATAATCGTCACCGATGTTTGCCATGAGTGGTAATCGAACTCGGGGCTCTTGGCTTGATAGTGCAGCGCGCTAACTTTTGCACTACCGCTTAACCAATAAAAAAAAATACGCACGCACATACATACACACGCACGCACATATACGCGCGCGCACACGCATGTACGCAAATGGTCGACACGGGATTTCAGCAACATCAGGCCACCACCGCCCACTTCACGCCCGCATGGCTGCGAGATGAATAATTCCCCTCTTCCGGCTCTAACCGAATCTGGTCTACATTCCGAGGATTTTGCTCTTCAGCCGAGGAGATTAAATCACGTGATGTGACACGTTAGCGACAACAACGGATGGGAAGTCGAGTGGGAAGGGACGTGTCCTGCCACGGTGAACGCACCGCGATAAGATTATGCGGCTGTCAATAAGGAATTCGCTCCGTGCACACGGAAGGAGGGGAGCAAAGAAAAATAGAACCAAAATATTCGAGCCGTAAACAATTCGAAGCCGCACTGTGAAACCGGTGAAATTATTGCGCACACTTTAACAAGAGAATGTTTTGGGGATGCAACTAAATAATTGTCCGCCCCACTGTCCATCATCGCTGAAATGTAATCTTCCCGGCCGTGCTCGCAAAACCCGCGAGGACGTTCCACCCATCCAAAACGCGGAGCGAGGAAGCGCCCTCCCCCAAGCCCTTAGGTGTAATTGCTAAATGCTGGGCGTCTCAAGGTTAGAGAGGCTCAACAATGACATTCCAGGGAGTGACCTCAAGCAAATAGCTTGAGCGTCATGGGACGTACATGACATACCGATATCTTTTCAAGCATCTACACGTTTCTGTAGACGATAATAATTTAGAGGCCTTTGTCAAGCCACTGCCGTACGGAGGCCTCCCCCATGCTACGTCATTCATGGGGGATGTTTGAGCCATACTTCACCATGCCGGTCAACACGGGCTGGTGAGGCAGGGGGGGGGGGGGTGGGAGTGTGGGTCAGCGTCCAGGACCGGTTCAAACACCACTTACGCCAGCCGTGGCTGGGAATCGGGCACAGATTACCAGGTTTGAAGCATATTGCGCTAACCGCTACCCCACCGCTCACCATGCGAATACACGCTGCCCTTTCACGCAATCGAAGGGGGCCGTCGCAATCGCGGGGGATGGCTTGACAAAGCGGGGGGGTCACATTTCTTGAAGTTCCTGCTGCACACACGCTCAGCAACAGACACGTGTCATTGCGAGCGGACACGTGTCACCGTGCCGGTTCCCACACTCACAGGAGGCGCAGGGTCTTGAGGCCAGCGAACGCCCGCAGAGGAAGACACCTTAGACGATTGTAGCTCAGAATCCTGCAAATAACAAAGAGGTGAAACCTTACACCCACAGACTTCCCGGGCGTTATGTTCCCCCCTCAACATATTTGGAGCTGTTCTACAAGTGCTGCGCTATTATAACTCACGTCGAGACCATCGTTTTAAAAAAAAAACAAAGCCGTGTTGTTATTGAGCGTGTTTGTTTCAACACGTCAGGATTGAACGCATTTTGAACTTCTTTCGCACTGTACGGGAAGAACAACAAACTAAACATAAAAAATTAGTTCTAAAGAAATTAGTTTTCGATTTAGATTGAAAAGTGCATAGCTCCAGTGGCTTCCTAATGAGAGAAAGGATTAACATCACGTGTCAAGGATTTTGTCTAATCACCCTGGACGTGCCCAATCTCGTCCGATCTCAGAACCTAAGCCAATTTTTGCCTGGATTGTAGTTAGATGGGCAACCACGGGGCTTGCCAGGTGTTGCAGGGCTGGGGCTGAGAGCTGGTCTGGACATCACATTGTTGAGTATAAACCCCTTCCCTGTATGCATGCATTTTCTCCAGGTACTCCGGTTTCCTCCCACTGCCAAACATCTCATGAAAGCTATTGACCCAACGTCTCAATGCAGCGCGATGTTAACTACCTCGCCTGGTGTACAGGAGGTCGTAGGTTCAATCCCAACATTGATGCCTGTATATTTGGAATTTGCATGTTCTCCCCGTGGTCGCGTGGACTTTTCTGCGGGTTCTCTGGTTTTCCCCTCCACATTTTGAAGCGTGCCTTTAGAGTATTTGGCTGATATAAATGTCGACGTGATAAGTAACTTCGTTGAGCAATAATTTTTTTGCCAAGTGGCTTCTAAAAAATATCTATATCGCTCAGTGGGCCTTACCTGGTAAAACAAAAAATATCATCGTTTTTATTGAAAAAGAGTCCTGGGACTCAGAGCAGCTTACATGTTGCCACGACAATATCAATTGTAATTTATTGTGTTTTGCCTGCGCCAATACATTCCATGGGACATTTAATATTGTACATGCGGCTGATTTTAACCACCGCATTTGGAACAAATAACAACTCGCGCGTGCTTCATAAACAGGACAGAAACGCAGAGCAGAACCCACCCATTATTTTCTTCAAACAATAACCTTTGATCTGTCCTTCTGATGTACACAAACAATAACCAGCTTGCAGTTAAGTGCCGAGCCTTGGGTGGCCCCTAAGCCTGGCAGATTTTCACTGCGGTGCTGCTCGCTGCCCTCCCAGATTGTTTACATTTCACTCACAGAGCCTGCGCCTCCTCCACTCTGCTGGTCACCGAACAATAAGTAAATCAGCCAGTCAACTAACCAGCCAGCCAACCAACGAATCAACCATCCAGCTAACCAGCCAAACAATCGATCTGCTCATCATTCAACCAAACAGCCACCAAGCCAGCCAGCCAATCAATCGATCTGCTAATCATCCAACCAACTAACCACTCACCCAACCAAGTAATCAAACACCCAACCACCTAACCAACTAACCAGCCAGCCAGCCAGCCATTCAATTGATCAGCTAACCATCTGACCAACTCAGGAAACACCAAACCATCCAGCCAATTAATCAATGCACTAATTAACCAAGCAGACAGCCAGCCAGTCAGTCGGCCAGTCAATCAACCAACCCAACCCAGCCAGTCAGCCACCCAACTCTGCAATTGATTCATTCATTTAGACGGAAGCCAATAAGTACACACGGAGCTTCATTCCTCTTCCAGACCTGCGGGTCGTTATTGATCGGAGCGTTTGTGAGTGGCGACGTATCGAGCACCGTTGCGCTCGTTCAAGCCTCTCCTCACGTCCCGGGATTATCTAGCAAACGTCCTCGGGGCTAATTAAACGCTGCAATAACGACCTAGGGTAATTAAACACATCTGTAGAGGTGCACGCTACGATTAAATTCTTACTTTTGTTTATCTTAAAGTTATGCATATATATATGGGTGTGAACTGTTTCTCTATGAGGTACAAGGTATGGTAATTTCGGCAGAATCCTGTTCATTCGGGCCAAATATGAAGGTATGCATGGGAGCCACGTACAGCAAATCATTCAACACATGTTTTGGCAGCTACATGGTGACACATGTTTTCAAATACCATGCCCTACATTGCACAGAAAATGGGGCCTTTTGTCTGTTATTGTTAGGATGACATTACATTTGGCATCACTTTTAAACATTTATATAAAACCTATCATTATGCGCCGCACAGTCGAGCAATTTATAAACTATGCGAATATTATGTTTGTCTTATGAACGCATAATTAAGCCGCGTAAATATGGAAAACACCAATTATGAGGGGTGGCGTAGGAGTGTAGCCAACGCTACAAAGCAGGGCAATGCGAATCAAAATTGTATTGTGTGGGAAATTAACAATAGTAGTAGGTTTTTACCCTTTTAAACTGGTACAAAACCTACTACTATATTTTGCCACTGGTAAAAGAGATCTCATAGTGTAAATGAACAATAGTTAAGAGTAATTCACCATTAATTCGACAGTCGTTCATTAATCTACTATTGCTAATTCCCCACACAATACAACAGAATGCAACTTGCATTCACGCTGCCCTGCAATAGCTCGCTCACACGACTGCTTGCGGAGGAGGGCTTCACGCGAGAGAGGGAGCTCATGAGCGTTCCTTCCAAGGGTCATATTGCCCTCTCGTCCATGCTGGCTAGACGCATTGGAGGAGGTAGAAATACCCACACTTTACCCCACCACATGCCAATCGATCAACTGTGGTGTATCCCCATTTATACTGCCGGGCACCACTATTCTTCCAACTACCGAGATTGAAACCGGTGACCCCTGGATCGAAACTCCAGGATGTTGGTAACCGCTATACCACTGGCAGGATCGTAGCATCTAAATACATCTAAATACATGTGCCAAATCCATTCCTGTCTGTGTATTCCACCCGCATCTTAAAGCCATCAAGGATGCCCTCACGCAAACACGTTCATTTTCGCTCGGCCATCAACGCTGCGTGTCTGCCGAGAGATGCTCCTCACCACTTTGTGGGGCGGCTACAGCAGCTTGCGGCGGTTGATCGTAATTGACCAAAGTAACATTGTCCCTTGCCAGGAGTGGTAAACACTGTTACTGTCGAACCATGAAGCAGAAGGCAAATGGCAGCCAGCTGCTAGGGAAACGTGGTGAGGAATTGTTTCTGAGACCTGGGTGGGAGGAAGCTTGTGTTCGTTCGTTGGCTTCCTGGCTCCAGTGAGGAAGAGGACACCTGTCGCTGCATCTGTGCTAGCAATTCCACCTGCCTTGATTAGGCCCAGGACGTCCAATTTTCAAAGCGGCTGTCCTGGGAAATCTGGAAGTCTTTCCAGAACACTAAGGTTCTTGTCAGTTGCGTTAGACTATGGCACTCAAGACAAAGCACTGAAGTGCATTCCCCCCTCTCTCCCCCCCCCCTCTTCTGGTATTGTGAGATATTCTTCTTGCCGTGATAGGTCCCGGTTCTTGGAATCTCCGAGATGACAACTCGAGTCTGTGGTTGGAGATGCACGTGGATGCTCATTACCCCGCGTGGCCCATTTCGCAAGCGCTGGCCCGAATATGGCACATGGCGGGAGCTACCAAGTGATTCCTACAGACTCCGGTCGTCATAGGTGCATCCAACAGATTTAAGGGCAAAACAGCCAATATAATAATTACGACTTGGTTAAAGACGGTCACTGCATCGCACACTTTCAGATGTGCTACTACAGTCGTCTGAAATACTCTTCCTTCCATGATGCCCGGGAAATGAGTCCACTCCCTTCGGCTGACACCGAATTGACTTAACGAACCTCCCTCCAGCCACGGGCCCTGACCATCCGACACGGATACTCACAGTGTGGAGAGCTGGGTGATGTTGCTGAAGGTGAAGTTTGCGATGGTGCTGATGTGGTTGTTGCTCAGGTCACTAGAAAGACAACGAGCGGAGGGATCGGTGCCAAGCGTGGGCCACGGTGTGCGACGGTGAGATCTAAATGTGCACACAACCCGACTCGCTCGATTAACGTTACTTTACCCAATAAAAGAAGCGGAGGGAGAAAATTATATTGCTTTTTCAACTTAATATTTAACATTCAATAAAAATGTAAAATAAGACACGATTTTGCATGAAATGCATGAGGTTGCCAGATTTATTACACATTTTTATTGGGCAAAAAATCCATTATTTTTTGTGAAAGTGGATTATTAATTTGCTAATTGTTTCGCAAGATTAACTATTGAGAGTTTTAACGAAGCATTTCACTTTTCTACATTTCACAATAGCCATTAACACCACGTTCCAAGCTCATTCACTTTAATGAGCAATTGCAAATGACCCCAACAGTTATAATAATGAATATGGGTCTGATTTCAATAGTGGTAATAAGAGCTCTTCTAGGATGATGATAATAATACTAATTTACAGCGCATTGCCACACCGCTGCTGGATGAAGGCTTGCCCATGCCTTGTCTGTCATTAATGTTGTTTGACCATACTTCACGACGCAGGCCAGTTAACGGCAATAGGTTATAGGGTGAGGGGGAGCTAGGACCTGTTTAGATATCACATGTCACTGATATCCCAGGTTCATAGCACAGTGTGCTACACACTGCACAATGCAGAATCCCCGTTCGGTTGGCATATTTATTAAGAGCAGTGCTTAGCACACTACATGATGAACCTTACAACCCTAGATAAATTACCGGGCATGGCTAACATAAGTGGCGAGTGATGAGTGAACCAGTTCTGGGTTTCCTGCACCGACCAACGTGGTAAAGTATGGACGACTGACGTGGCTTTCATCCAGCAGCGGACTGAAAATGGCGGAACACTCTTTCATTATGCAACTTACATGTCACCAGTGGTACTCACATGAACGAAAGGTGCTTGTAGTTGGACAGCTCTGGGGGAACCATGGTTAACTGGTTTCCGTCCAGGTAGCTGGGAATCAGTGGAGGCGTAAGGGAAAGGAGACGGGGGGAACGGGATGCAGGGAAATATACCGGTCAGGGATTATTCATGGACATTAAAAGCCTGTTGCCAGGCATGTGGGGGGCAATGCATTCAGCGTTCACGTCACAGCTCTCGGCAGTACCCTGGCCACCCCCCCACCCCCCACTCCCCCCCCCACCCACTCTCCCCGGGGAAGCTAATGATCCAACCAGCACGGACCGAATTCTGCGAGCTCCATCTCTACGAATTCCCGCCCTCAAACGCATTCGCTAAATTAATAATAACCCGGCGTGCGACGATGCGACAGTTTCTTACACTCGTAATGAACGCACCGGCGTCGTGCGTGCGGAAGCCGATATTTCCGACGTCTGAAAATTATAGTCGAAATTATGTTGCCCCCTCTTAAATGTGGGAATATGAGAGCACGCAACTGTACAAATGAGATGGAGCAAATGAGAAACAACGTGAGCCGGTAATGACGAGGAAAAACAAAATAACTGCATTGAATTGAAGCGTGATCATTTGTTGAATTGCTGGCAGGGGACGTTATCATTACACGCGGAACGTTTATCACGACCCGATGATGACTCCCGCATTGAATGTCTCCCACTACTTGCCAACCATCAAAAAAAAATCCCACGCGGAGAGAGGCCCCTCTGTGCAGAAACGCTCCCTACGTGACTTGAGGCTGCGTAATTAGCGCCGCTCCACGGAGAGCCCCACGGCGATGCCCGTCGCGGAGACAGAGCGATGGCGTCGTCGTCACCGCCGTCTCCTTTACAGCACGCTGGGTGTATTATTGTGGCGCGGGACTACGAGGGATGGATGTGCGACAGCTTGGCGGAGACCTTCATACAGCAGTCGATCGACCGTGGACGGTGATGATGATTATGAAAATGCAACCGCATCTCAAGATGCCGTACAATACCAGTGGGGATGTACACAGGGGGAGGTGGAATGGGGTGAGGTTGGATGGGGGATGGGGGAGGGGCGGTACAGGGACTAGAATTTTTGAAGGGGAAGAGACCGTCCATCATGGGCAGAGGAGAAGAGGACCACGCCAGTAAGTCATCGGGGTTAAAGGGGCGGTAAGCACGTGGCAAGGCCGTGCAATGTTATCTTATTTTATATTTACAGAGCACCTTAGCTCAAGGCGCTCTCCATAGGTTAAAAGCAGGTAACACGTGCACTCGGCAGGGCAGCGTGGCGGCGGCGTGCAGGCGTTCTCAACAAAAACAAGAGTGATTAAGATGGCAAGGGCGTGCAACAGAGGGCACATGGGGGTCACGAAAGGGTTATAGGGGAGGGAGGGGACGAAGTGGAGGGGCGAGGGGGAGGGAAGAGCATGGGCAATGGAGAAGAGGTGAGGCTTTGAGAGTGGAGTGAAAGGAGTTTAAGGAGGGGGGCCTGGTTAGTCGAGCAGCGTGGCGTGCGAGCTAACACTATAAACTAAGCTATTCTCTATTTTACCAGGTAATTTATAGCAGCCATGCATGCTTCTAAATGTGGAAGGAAAAACCGTGGGTCCCGGAGAAGAATGCACACGACCACGGGGAGAACATGCAAACTCCACATATACAGGCGTCAGGGTCAAGATCGAAACGACGACCTCCTGTACACCGGGCGAGGGAGTTAACATCTCTCCACCACAACGCGAGCGCGGCGCGCTGAGCTCGTGCGGCGCGTGAGCCCGTGCCATGTGTGCGATCGCGGGAGAGCAGCGGGGCTCGCGCTCACAGCTCGGTGACGTCTCGGGGTAGGCCCTTGGGCAGCCCCTTGAGGCCCTTGTTGCTGCAGCGCACCACCGTGTCCAGGCACGTGCACTCGGCAGGGCAGCGTGGCGGCGGCGTGCAGGCGTTCTCATCGTTGCCTGGCGCACAACATGGCGGGGGGGCGGGGGGGGGGGGGGAGACCACCGGGAGAGTCGTCCGCTAAGCGCCAAGCAGGAGCCGCGAGCGGTTTAAAGGGAAAAAACACGGAGGGGCAGCGCAGCAATGTCTTGATTGTGCTAGTACTGGCAGAAGGGCCTCCACTCTGGTGGGTAGTTTTGGGCTACTCATGTAGGCCGGTCAGACATCTTGGAAGAGGTGGGAGTATCCACACTTTGCCCCGTCTCTTTTTTTTTTTTTAAACGGCCACTGCCAACGCACGCTTTCAGATGCGCTTCTGCGGCCATCTGAAACGCTCTTCCTTCGGATATTAGGAAGCCATTGGAGCTTTCTAGTTTGAAATCTAGAATGAAAACGAATTTCTTTAGAACTATTTTTTTTCGTTTGTTGTCCTTCCCCCGCACGTTCGATTAGCATGGTTGGCTACATACGGTGCGAAAGAAGTTCAACACACATACACGCTTATCCCACTACATGTGACGTGCCGACCAAATGTGGCGGACACATTTATACCATTGGGTGGACAAAGGCAACGGTGAATTTAAGATACCTCCCCATCGTTTTGAACGCTGTGCCGGGAAGAATGAAAGTCCATTGTGCTAACCCACTACACCGCAGTGGGGCAGCATCCCGTTCTGGATCTAACAGAAACGAGATGCGTGTACAAGAGACAGAGGCGTGGGAGTGGGGGGGGGTTCGTCGCCAACGCACCGTCGTCGCACGAGAAGTCCTGCGCGGCCACGTCCTGGACAGGGATCTCACGCAGGAACGACGGCTTCTGGCACCGCGGGTTCCCCGTCACGATCCTCCGCTTGCGCAGCCACTCGCCCAGCCACGCCAGGTGGCAGTTACAGTTGAAGGGGTTCGCCAGCAGATTCCTGCCGCGGGGGGCACACGCGATAGAGATGGGTGAGACGGTTTGGCGTAGGGGGGGGGGGGGTGGATAAATAAATATATAGATGAAGAAGTGAGTGCGATCCATCGATATCTAATTCGGAGCGAGAATACCTGCTGAAAATATAAAGCTATTTTAAAGCGTCATGGATTATTTTTTCTTTTCGAACGCACCATTTTTGCTGGCATGACAACACTTCAAATACGTGAATTTGGCAAAACAGTTACCGTGCGCGGATGTTTATGTTGGCAACAGAACGCCGGGCGAGCAGAGCGTAGAAACGCTGCTGCTTCAGATGTGAGCCAACTGCAGGAAACGTGCCCATTAAACCATCCGCCAAACCTTTTGTCGCGCTGATCCTAGCCCTCGGCACACAATGACCATGGGAGCTCACCGTAGTGTGGGCTTAAGTGCGACAATAGCGATACGCTACTGCCGCAGCCCTCGGTTGAATGTGAGAGTTGTCCGGAGGGCTGGGGGTTTGTGGGGTGGCTGGGCGAGGGGTTTGGGGTGGGGGAAGGTGGGGGGGGTTGGTGGCTGACAGAGGGGAACGTTAAGGTGACAATCGCGGGGAGATATTGGAGAGTGTCCCGGAGGTCTTGTCACTGCTTTGATGGGGGATTAATGACCATTAGCGGAGCTGGTTTCAAATGCGCCCCGCTGCCGTAGCAGATACATTTCAGAGGTCGATGACTCAATCACGCACGGTTTTTGTTGGCTATCGGCCTGGGGGCTGCCGGTCTCCGCGAGTCACGAGCGCTGAATCTTCTGCCGCCACACACGTGTGCGCGCGCGCGTTCGCTCACTGCGCGGCTCTAATGTTCGTGTGTGTGTGCCTGCGTGCGCGTACATGCGTCCGAGAGGGAAGGGAGAATCGTTCCAGCTAACGCACCGGCTCGGAGGTCGGCGCTGGCTCTGCAACGAGCCATTCATATCGGGGAGACCGCGCAAGATGTCAACCGCGAGTTAACAGCGTGCGTGTAACTTTGAAATTGCGTCGTATATTACTTATCCTTTACAAGCCGACTTGTACGTTGTAAACAAAACAAAAAAGAACGTCCATGGAGTATAAACCTCCCCGGCTTTACGAGCTAAACGCCCGTCTGGTCGAGTTACTTAATCTATCCACGCCAAAGTAATTCTGAATGAAATACATTTTTATGCTCTCCTTATTTTGCTTGTATGAAGAAAGCTTCGTGCACTCTCTGCAATACACACATGACCCCGAACATCCACCACGGGCTTGTTTGTGTTGGCGTTGGACATGTTGGCGAGCGCGGCGCGGAAACGCGTTGCTTCGAGTCAATGCTAACGACCCTGGGGTTTCTGCTTAAACAAATATACAAGAAAATAACGCCCATGATGCATCGGCCCAAAGCGCCAAGTGACCAGCAACAAACAGCACGATCAAAGTTGTAACGGATAAGAGTTCATACGTTTTTTTGGATTGAGCAAAGCAATTGTATATAAAGAGCCTGGAGAAAAGAGACGATGGGAGAAGATTCCGAATGGGCTTAAGATTCCGAAGTGGAGCCGTGCGAGGGAAGAAGCAGAACGAGAAGAGTTGTGACCTGCAGTGTGGCGAGCGAGTGGGTGGGCGTGTGTGCACCTAGCATGGCACAAGCGAGGTGACGTGGTGACGTCACCGGCACTTAGTGGTGAACGGCCGTTGTTGTTGTTGAGACGGCGAGGGAGTTGTTGAGCATGGATGAGACGAAACGGTCGGTCTGGTAGACCGAGCCCTCGACATGGGGTGGAGGAATCAAGGAGCGAGGTTCGTGAGAACGGTCACCGTGCCACAGGAGCGATGCGAGAGTGACGAGGAGGCGACCGACCACTTCACGTGAAGTGACAGCAAGTGCAGCGAGGCAGCAAAAGGGTTGCTCTACCCCCGATGCAACAAAAGCATTCGCAACTTTGGCCAAATGCACGCTTTGCATAGTATCGCATTCACCATTTCATATTTGATCCGTCCTGTATTTTAAAGCAAAATTTGAGGATGCTTCTTTATAATATGGGCGCGTGCGCGCGCGTGTGTGACCAGATTTGGAAAACTTAATTGGGGCACGTCTTATTTTCTTGAGAAACTTATAATCCAAAGAATACGGTAATAATAGCAAACTTCATTTCATATAGCGCCATTCATGTTAATCGCATCCTCACAGCGTCGTACCTTAATTGAACACGAGGGCCAAATCCAATTGAAAGCAACTAGTGAGCGAAACGAAAACCCTCAGAAAATTTAAAATGGAGAAACGAATCAAGAAATGCATGGCAAGATAAACAAGATACAATCTCGATTTAAAGCTTTCGCGACTGCAGGGATTCATCTTCTTGGTTCTTTCGGTAAAGTCACGTAGAAGGGAAATAATAAAATAATAAAAATAAAACATAATAAAATATAATAAAGTAATATTTTATTAAGTTTTATTTTTATTATTCAAATAAAACATAGCAAAATATAATAAAATATTATTTGATAAAGTTTTATTTTCATTATTTTATTATTTCCCTTCTACGTGACTTTACCGAAAGAACCAAGAAGAAGAAGAAACAATCGTCGGGACGATGCGGTGCTGTGTGTTGGAGTGGTGGTGGTGTTGGGTGCTCCTCACAGCGTGGAGAGCGAGTGCACGGTAGCGAAGGCTCCGGGAGTGATGCTGCCGATCTGGTTGTCGTAGAGCGACAGCAGCCGCACCGAGCCGAGGCCTGCGAAGGTGCCGTTGCCCACGCACGTCAGCTTGTTGCTGCGCAGCATCCTGTCACGTGGGGACGGGGGTGAGACGCAGGGTGAGCGATTGTTTTTTTTTTATCTTCTTGGTTCTTTCGGTAAAGTCACGTAGAATGGAAATAACAAAATAAAACATAATAAAATAAGAATGGAAATAACAAAATCTTCTTGGTTCTTTCGGTAAAGTCACGTAGAATGGAAATAACAAAATAACAAAATAAAACATAATAAAATTATTATATTATTATTTTATTATGTTTATTTTATTCTTATTTTATTATTATTTTATTATGGTTTATTTTGTTATTTCCATTCTACGTGACTTTACCGAAAGAACCAAGAAGATGAATCCCTGCAGTCACGAAAGCTTTAAATTGTTTTTTTTACTTTACTTCACCAAAGTGCTTGTCCGAACGACAAATCGCCGAACCGTCCGGTTGGCCGTCCGCGGGACTCGCTGGTCCGTTAGGACGGCTGCTTGCGTTGTGGCCGAAACGTCGCGAGAATTGTATTTTATTATTTTTATTTGTATTATTTTATCGTCTCCCTTCTACGTGACTTTACCGAAAGGACCAAGAAGATGAATCCCTGCAGTCACGAAAGCTTTAAATCCGTTAGATCTATCGTGACACGGGCAGAACCACGCAGGAGCCCTCCCTCTGCAGCGTAGCGGTGGCACATGGACACTCTGGTTTGACACAACGACGGTTTTAGTTGCTCTCGCGTGCCCCTCGATGATGATGATCATGATGTGCAATGAAGGTGACAATGGCTCAAGCGTTAAATGAAAAGCAAATGACTTAATTGGGAAAATAACAATGCAACATTGCCCCCTATCAGCAGATCAATGCCCATTTGGAGGCAAGCGCTGGGCATACCACGTGCAGCACAGGGAAAGGTGTCACTGAGGGTCACCTGGTTAGACCGCCACATGGCACTGGGATGCGAAGTCATGCCCTTTGAATTACTGAGGTATTTAAGCGCCATGACACAAATCCTTATCCTTACAATAAATATCTAAAAGACACATACACACGGACGATAAAAGGATCCAGTTGCAGTTGATGATAAATTGATTTCCATTTCCATATTACAATAAATATATTGTCAGCAATTATTGTGCGTGGCTCGCAATCCCTGCTTGGGGGTTGACTCAGCACATCATTTCTGTGGGGTCGATAAAATAAGTTCCACTTTGTGGGGTAGGCAACAGTAGTTGTCCTATAGAGAGACTCTCCCCTGCCACAGGAACGAGGAATTTCCACTGCTGGCTTTGCAGGGCTGTAAACAGGAGATGAGAACCAATGCCTCAATGCTCATTTGAGCAGGACATTGCTTTTTGACGTTTGATTGCGATAGGACAACAAAAAACCATACTTCGCTGGGATGCACACGAAGGAACGCAGAGGAATTGTGTGGATGGCTGGGACAAAACAAATTAACGCAAACCGGAAAAAAAGAAAGAAATAAAAAAACACCCAAAAGAAAATAAAAACGCCCAAAACAAATATCATCCATTACACATTTCGCAGAGCACAAAAACTGTTCGAAAGGTCATGGCAATAAACTGGCGGCGTACAGTGTTTTGAGGCCCTCCAGGCCCCGAAACATGGCTCCGTGCACACTCTCCAGCTGGTTTCCCGTCAGCAGGAGCTCTCCCACCGAGCCGGCGCCTTCAAACGCCCCCTCCTCCACTTCGGCGATCTTGTTGTTGCTCAGGTTACTGCATGCGAAGGGGGGAGCAGACACGGCGGGAGCGTTCCCCCACCGAACCGCGAGCACGACACACAATTCGCGCGCTCGCGCAAAAGCGCACACGCGCGACCGGTAGAAGACCTGATGATGCGGGCGGTTACGAGAAGGGAACCGGCACTGTATGGGCAGACATGTAGGATGGACAACGGCAGGAAAATTAAAAGTGTGTTGTTCAGAAAAATGGAAGGAACCGGAAAGAGAGGAAAACATAACTGAGAATGGCTTGACGAGGGCACCGTAAGAGATTGGTGCCAGGAAGATGTATGCACTACTTGAGCATATTGGCACAAGACAGAGGGAAAGTGGAAACAAATGACAAAATGTGCGGTGGACACCTACGGGCTATCCGCCGATGGTGATGATGAAGTAACATTCAGCCCTAAGCTGATTTACAAGAATGACCACCACATCCCCTCCCGCCCCCACGGAGGACTTTGGTGAAACGAAGGAAGTTACAGCGGTGAATAAATCCGAAACATTGCAGACACCTGAGTGACAAACGCATTCGAGGGAACAACATCCAGATCATGGCACGACTCAAGTAACTACCGGCGGGTGATGTGGAATTTGAACATGCAACTCACGCGGGGTTTCGCTAACCACGTGTCCAAGAAAAGGTATTCAAGGCACCGGACTTCACCAAAAATAACATGGGGCAAGGGATGGGAAACTTCTGAAGACGAACAAAAGCAACTTCAGAGGCTGAAAACGCGAGAAGATAAATGACACGATTTGAGATGGGGGTCTCAAGATCACAAACAAATGGATGATCGCTGCTGACGGAGTGACTTATGCAATTGGTAACAGTGACCTGGAATTGCTATAAAAATTCAATTTGGATGAAATAATGTCGAGTGTGTTTATAAGCAGAAAAGTATGATTTCAGAAAAAAAATATTGCTTGGGAGACTTAAAAATTATGGACCTGAGGTTGATTGGATTAACTCATCGGAAAGGATAAGCTTAAAGTTCAAAATTGCTTGAAGTCTTAGGCTAAACACTGGCAAATATGCAATCCCCATCACCAGTGAACCAAGTAGGTCACCTCCTGTGGAATGTGACGCTAAAGCCGATAGAAAATCAGGTGAATCTTGCTCGCAGTTACAATTGCAACATCTACTTTGCACGTGAGAATTGTATGAATCGTCAAGATTCCGGTTGGCGATTTCAGAACGAATGCCCGTTTGTCTAATTTGTACTTGCTCGTTGGCATTACTTCATGTTTGAGGTTATCGCAAGTCATCTGTATCATTAGCATATAAATTGCATGAATGACAAGTAATGTATTCCTACATGCTCGATTCGATAGATGTATTGTGAGCGTAAGATCCAGTAATTTTAGTTGATGAATGGATGCACCCCGTTCCATGGCTTTATTTTAAGACTACATGTTCATAAGGTTGTTTGGGTGGCGGTGGTGAAAGGCATTTATCACACTGGTAGGAAGTGGGAGGTTGTTGATAAACATACCCCATTGGACAACACATGCCAGTGACAACAAAAGACTCAAAGATCAAAACTTCTGGTGGAATAAAAAAATTATAATTAATTCGACTTGAACCTGTGACATTTTGTAATTATGTCTGTCCTAAAGTTTGTCCTTTCTGTGTCATAGCGGCAGTGTCGTGGTCAGCGCTACGCTGCGCGACGAACCTGGCGGCCCGAGTTCGATTCCCGCTCATGGCCAACACCAGTGAGGATTATCTCAACCGGTCCTAGGCTTCCCCTGGGTAGACTCAGCCTCAAATGAGTGCCTCGTGCGGTGTGTAAACATCGCCACTAGGGAGACAAAGATGGCCGGGCGTGGTGTTGGCCACCCCCCCACCCACTCGTGTGCCACTCCGGCCTTCACAGGTGCTCGCTTACAGCACTTGCCCCAACAGTCTGTTCAGGCTATAGGGGGGGGATCTTTGTCTCTGTTTATGGCTGCTATAACAGATGCAATAATGGTTATGAAGGAGTAATGGTTATCCATTCGATTCTCAGCAACAAACCGTACATTTTCCGCAACTGTGTGAGCTTCTTGAAAATCCCCGTTGCTTCCAACACCGTGATGTCATTGTTGTTCAGTCGCCTGGAGGCAAGAGGATACAAACAACGAGCATATTTGAACACACACACACAATAAACCTGTTTCTGAGTGCGGACAGAAAGTTTGTCAATCTTAGACGTGAAATATTTTCCCCTCCCTGACCTGGTTTGCGGCACACAAAACCAATGCAGTCTTCAACACCGGCTCTTTGGTTCCTACCAAGTGCACCAACACACGAAGCTTAAACCACTCTCCAAACTAGAATTTTTTTTTATTTGACCAGGTAAGGCCTACTGAGCTATGCAGCTCTTTGCAGAAGTGACCTGGCCCCAAATGATAGCTCAACGAAGTGGCTTATCACGTGAACATTTCTATCAGCCAAATACTCTAAACGCACGTTGATTCCAAATGTGGAGAGAAAAACCGGAGGACCTGTAGAAAAATCCACGTCACCATGGGGAGAGACACACGCAAACTCCAAATATACAGCAGGCGTCAGGGTCGGGGATCAAACCCACGACCTCCTGCAAACCAGGCGAGGCAGTTAACATCTGGCCACCGTGGCCCGCTCACTGTGCGACAGGTTCGAGAGGACCGGGCGCCCGACTTGGCGCGCCTGCGAAGCCAACTCACAGCTCGGTGGTGTACTGCGGCAGGTGCTCCGGGATGCGGGAGAGGCGCTGGCTGGAGCAGTCGACGATGGTACCCTCGCAGCGGCAGCGCTCGGGGCACAGCGAGTCGACGAAGCACTCGCCACCCAGCTTCGAGCGGTGGTCTTCGGCTCCTGCGCATCGGCACTGGCGGGGCCACGGCCAGCGCAGCCAGTGGGTGGTGGGGGTGGGGGGGGAATTGGAAATAGAAGCGCAAAGTAGGGCCAAGAGGGGATAGACCATGGGCACTTTATAACAAGACAATGTTTAAACATGGATTGGCAATATATATTTTCTTCACTTGTAAACACAGGAGAGGTGTAATGATGCATCGATGAATTATGCATATAATACATTCGCCGAATCTTTAGCAATAGATTACTTTCATTTGGTACATGTATCGTTAGTTTGTGTCACCCCTGCAGCTACTAGAGAAGTGACAATGCAACCACTGTTAGAAACATTAACCAACTCGTAAATCAAATCGCTATCCTGAATCGTGACGAATCATTGACACGTGTGGAGCGGACTTGTTTGATTCCTGAAGCACAGCGTTACTTTGTTGTTTTGCAGAATAGTTCACTTTTTCACTTTTACTCAGCGCATCTCAAATATAATTCACACAAAAAGGTCACACAGCTTTCCAGTAGAAAACACGACCTTTTCATCGGAAGAGGTTAGGAGAAAACAAAATATTAACAAGAAAAAAACTCAACACATTCATCAATAACACTGTGTGGCCTAAATAGATATTATATTTGCGACGTTTCGGGCAATGGCCTTCCTTCATAGCACATACATCACGATTTATAATTATTATTGACCAACGTGTGGAGTTTTTTGTCTTATTATTATGTGTGCTCGTGCACCACCGTCAATGCAACAGCAGCAGCATCACCAAATCGCCTGTTTAACATTACGTGTAACCAGGTTTGTCGACTCTAGGAGGTCGGGAATGACCCGGTACCACCACCAGGCAGCAAGATCTGCAGTGTCCCCCGGGTGGCCGAGGGGCGTGGCCTTCCCTGGTGCTTGAAGGAACCATGTTTTGTTTTGTCTTGAGCGCGGCAAGCACATGGTTAGATCAAGCACAAGGGAAAGCGACGCGGCAGGAGCAGCAGGGCAGGCCCACGTTGGGCCCGGCGGGCCGGGAGAGTACCGTAGGAGCGGGACCCAGGGCCCGCGGAGCAAGGGCAGCACGTGAGGAGGCCAGTTAGAGAGAGAGACAGACAACAGAGAGATTTAGAGTGCACGAGAGAGAGAGAGAGAGATCTGCCATGGCGTTGGGGCCAAATGAGACTCAAAGGGGATGGAGTTACAAAGACCACACGAGTGAAAATGTCAGAATTATGCAGATGTATTAAGAGGGATAGGTGCAGCAGGTCTGCAGTGTCCTGCTCTTGCCCACTGTCGTTGGAAAATTCCCCACTAAGATGAGCTTTAGAAACCCCACCCCCCACCCCGATGATATTTGGCCTACTCCTCCACGCTGGCCAGACATCTTGGAAGAGGTGGGGGTGCCCACACGTGTGAACCCCAGCACATTCGACCCATATTTACCACTGGGTGAGGGCCGATTCAAAACAATTCTACCGTTGTTTCAACTGCCATGCCAGGAGATCAACCTGGTGACCTCTGGATTGCAGGTTTAGTGTGCTAACAATTACACCGTGGTAGCATGCCAGGTGTATAAATTAGCACGATTTTATAAACAAAAGTGAACTACTCGTAGAAAATTGCTAAAATAATGACGGCCAAGTAGTGTTTAGTACGAAGAAATAAAGTAATATTATGAAAAAGAATCAGAGACACCAACAGACACATATGCATGTTGAGGCACACGAATGAATGAAGAGAGGGCTTTGAGAATGCGTAGCAGAACAGTTTTCCTACTTTGACAAATATAAATCAAATTGAGGACGATTCATCCCCGAATATCATCATTGTCCAGAGAAAATGTATTCATACATGATCATCATCATCGTCATTCAATATTTACAACTTTAAAATCAAAGCAGCAGGAGATAAAATCCACAATTAATATCAGCCTTGAGGTCAAAAAAGTCATAACGTGACGCACACGTGTTTAACAACCAGAAACCAAACGCTACGCTGCACGTGCTTGCAACAATACAGTAACACCTCGTTATTTCGGTATTTGATAATTGATCATTGGGGATAATTCTGCACGGCTGCGCTTTCGGCATATATACGGTGTAGTAGTAATTCGCCATGAGCCGAATTGCCGTACCGACTGGTACAATTTCGTCAGACACGTGTAACGATGCCGCACGCCATGACCAATACAACGGCTCGGTCTGCCGGTGGCGTGCGTGGTGAGCATGGTGAGCGTGGTGAGCGTGGCGAGCATAAGTGCAGACCCGTCACTTTGGACTTTACCTTATTGGTGCACTCTGTGCGAGCCAACCCTCTCAGAAATGTCGTCTACACCGACATCAAGAAGTAATGGAAAGGGACTGAAATATAAACCCCTTTAGTCTGCGAGACAAATCCAAAGTTTCGGGTAGAATTGATGCAGGGTGTGTGTCAATGTGTATGGCGTGTGAAGAGTTTGACATTGAATCAAGCACCCTGAAAATACAGTACAGTAAGTACATACTAAGCGCATTAAGGCCCCTCCACAACCTCTGCCACCTACCACATGTAACCTACCACATTCCTCCTTGTTCACCTGCAGTGCTGGTTACTGATGGTAAGCGTTACTTTTTATGGGAAAAAAAATTAGGAAAGCAAATTTGGATTTTTTTTGTTTGTTATTGGGGCAGGAGGCACCGGGGAGTACACCATTGCACATAATTCGCAATATTGGATAATTCGGCAAGGCCAGAGCCTCACATGTGTCGAATTAACAAGGGTTTACTGTACATGCAAAAGCTCTTGCTTCCGAGTCTTCTTGCATTGAAATTGTACCACTCAAGCGACAAATACAGGCACACCGTCCGGCACACGTAAGTGAAAGACTAACAATGTCGCGCCACAGAGCGCCCTGTCACCATAAGCCCCACGACATAGAACATTATACAAACGTTTTTATTGCGTGCTGACCTTGGGCGATTTCCAACACCGAACCACCCCTGTGCAAGATAATGCTGCCAACGTTTTGCAGATAACCTGCAGTGCTCATAATAATAGTAAAAATGTTGGGCTTATATATATAGCGTCGTCATTTGTGCAAATTGGGTCTCAGGGTTGATAAGGAAGCACAGACAAGCTGCAAGGCAGCAGCTCGGCCGTGAGCCGGCACGGCCAACAATTGCCCAAGCTCTGTGGTTCTCTACATATTAAGATGTTTTCAGCCAATCAATGCGGTTACATGTGATTCTCGCAATGCTTGCTGGGCATTTCACCCAGGGTTGCCACCCCCCTTTCGCCATTGAAAGATACGAAGACCTATCACGGGAAGAAGAATAAGGTTCCACCACGCTGGAAGAAGGTGGGAGGAACTACGCAACGTTCATGTCCCGCTCAGATTTATACATTTCCCCCGGACAACTGCTTCAAACAGAGGACGAATCGTGAGAAAACAAGGACAGGTGGCAACCCTCATTTCGCATTTTTTTTTTGCAGAGGAGGTGGTTTAGCGTTGGGAAACACTCTCTCTCGATTCACCGGCAGAAAAACAGACAATTTGTTAATTCAACAACAGCGGCAGCCAAGACAAAAGCGATAGAGAGAAAGAGAAAGAGATTAGTAGCAGGTAGAAATGGGTGGCAAATTGGTCAGAGAATGCAAAAAGGTGAGAGAAGCACGCACCTGGTAGAGAGTACTGCTCCTTGGCTGGTGGGGTGGGGTGGCAGGATGGAGAGAAAGGGAGACAATAAGACAAGCTGATTGCTGTGACTGTGAGAGAGAGAGAGAGAGCGAGCGTGAATTAACAAGCACCGCCATCGCGTACCAAAGAACCAAGCTCAGTTCATCTTCCGAAAGGGTTTGGAAGAGGAAACAAAAAAAAACTTTCATTAAATACCACCATGATGGAGCACACACGCACAAGTGGCTTACATTTAAAACCCATTTGCTTTACGTGTGGCTAAAAGCCCAGACAAAATGGTCCTACGTTTAGATTCCGGTGTGGTCTCAGACATTGCCTGTGACCCGGTTCGTCTTCTCGAGTGTCCGAGTTGACCCTTGTTCGAATGTAAGATAAGTTTTTTTCTGCATTGCCCGTGCCTGATGATTGGTGAACACTTCCGATGAGACGTAGAGAGCGGTGGTTAATTTGAATCTGTGGTCTACTCTCCACGTGGGACGCACACGCACACGCGCGTATACGCGTGCAAGATCTCTCTAACCTCGTTTGAATTTTTAACAATCATCAGGCATGTGCAGTACGTATCAACTAAAGTTGCATTTGAGGGGTGGTACATTCTGAAGGACTTACTGTGGTGGATCGTGGGTAATGGAATTTGAGAAACCCCGAGTTAATACGTTCATCTGGCCTATTCCCCCCATCAATGTCAACTCTCAGAAGTTAAGCAGGTTCGAGCCTGGATAGCGCTTGGAAGGCTGACCACCAGGGCTTGCCAGGTGTTGTAGGACTGGGCTGAGAGGTAACATTGTTGAGTGTTAACCCCCTCCCCCCTGTATGTGTGTGCTTTCTTCAGGCACTCCGGTTTACCTCCCACTGCCAAGCAAATCATGAATGGTATTGGCCAAACATCCCAATGCCGACCATTGGCACCTCCTTTGCCAGTAGAAAAATATGATAATTGTCTGGGCGCAGGCTCCACGAGCTTTTGTGCTGCCCATGACACAATTCCCCCCGTGTGGGTGAGCGTCCATTCACGCAACAAGGGTGGTGGTGCGGCTATAGCTCCAAAAAAAGGTGTCAGTTTTGTTGCCAGATAAAAGGGTAAAAAACCAATTATCATCCCAATGCAGGACCTTTATGAAAATTTTTTTTGAGACGACGAGAAGCGTACATGTCACCACGGCAATATCAATTCTAATTTATTTGCGATACCTGCCGATTATTTGCATAAAGGTCACACGGTGGGCATAAATGGGTAGTGCAGAAAAAATAATTGTATCGTTGTACTTTAATGCGCCCATGTCTATGCTCAAGACCACCCAACAGTAGCCAGGATGGTGAAGTATGGTCAAACAACCCCCTGCGATCCACACAACGTGGCGATGCCCTCAACGAATAGAACATTGACAAGGGCTTTAAATTCGCAAACAGGATCACACCCGTGAGCACACACGAACAACAACAACAACCACACATGAACACACACTGGTACACACGCACCTACACACGTACCCACACACGTACCCACACACGAGCAGTACACGTACATGCGAGACGACACGACAGACAGGTATCCTACACTCACACACACACCAAGCCCCCTCCTGCCTTTCTCCAGCCACTGCTGAGATACTGGCAGGCACTGCGAGCAGGGTTAAGGTTAAGACCGCTGGCGCGAGAGGTAGAGACCGTGAGAGAGAGCGAGAGAGCGAGCGTGCGGTGAGCGTGTGGTGCGCGGTGCGCCCTCAAAGGGTGCGTGCGGCAGGTGTGGGCGCCCACCCGAGCAGCGGAACTTCTTGCTCTTGATCTGGCCGATGCGCTTGTTGGCGAGTCGGCGCGGGCTGGCGCAGCGGGCTCCGCTCGTCTCGATCGGGTTGGCGTGGAGGTAGTCGGCCAGCCACTTGAGGTGGCAGTCGCAGATGAACGGGTTCTGCGCCAGGTGCCTGCGGCGTGGAGGAGCGGAGAGACGGGGACGACGGTCGGTACGCTTGGGGATGGCTTTCATGGTCGTTTTGTCAATCCACTGCTGGACGAAGGCTTCCCCGTACCGTATCGGTCATGGGAGCTGTTGGCCATACTTCACCACGCTGAGCAGCGAGGGGGAAGGTTGGTGAAGGGAAGGGCCGGGGGCTCAAGACAGGTTCAGATGTCATTGGCCAATGCTATTAGTCGTGGCGAAGAATCGAAATCAGGTAACCGAGTTCAGGGCAGAGTGTGCTAACCTCTGCGCCGCCACTCCACTAAAAAGGTTTTAGGAAATGAGGAAAAAAATCCATTAAACTAATTGATTTCATCTTACCTATTAAATATCAATAGCTCAAGGTCTCTATTTTAACATGAAACATAAACCAAAAGAAAACTGCGTGTAATACTATAAATGCCGTTCTTGTGCCCTCAACACAGCGTTCACGCTGTTCAACTGGGAGACAATGAGACGGGTTGCGGAATAAACACGCGTGCGAATTATCAAATGTGACGGAGTGCGTTAATGAAAACTTTGAGCGGATTGCAGTACGCTTTGTACCCTGCCAGCGGTAGCAGGCAAACGTGGACGCGCTTGGGTACGCGTCTGCTATTCCGCTGAGGCAATGAGAACAAAGCCGCTCGATACATCCTGAATACGCCAGTGTTCATTTAATTTCGTGACAAAAAAAATATGATAAAACCCAGCCCGCTTTGAGTGAACGCACAGGGTTGACCCCGCAGACCATGTTGGTTTATGGCAATGCGCGTCTAATGACTTTGAAATTTGAATGCATAATCGCCGTCTAATCCCGGGGCCTCGCTGGCAACCGTGAATGAGAATTAATGTGCGCCGCCTGGATAATATACACAGGTCTGCCCTTTGGCCACCCGCCTTTAATCTTCCACATTAAAAAGAGGAATGGCCGCAGATTATGGTGCATCTGCACCGCAGTGAGCCCGTAATACGCATGCGAGCAGGACGAAGGCATCCCAGACAGGGCCGCGAGCGAGAGATGTGCAGAAAGCACACCGGGTTTTCACCCGGTGTGCTTTCTGCACATCCCTCGCTCGCGCTAGCGCGAGAGTACGCGACAGTGCTCCCCGGAGCTCTTGCGCAGTGCCCGTCGTACAGCGTCTGGATGGAGCGCAGGGGGCTGAAGGTGCCCTTGGCCATCGTCTGGATCTTGTTGTCGTAGAGCGAGAGCAGGTTGAGGTTCTGCAGGTCCTGGAACGCGTCCGCTCGGACGCAGTTTATTTTGTTGGCGTTGAGCAGCCTGCGGAGGATTGGGGGGGGGGGGATCGGAGCGGCGCAGGCAATGATTGAGGAAAGAGTCAGCGGAGTTGGACATGCGATTACGCCAAATGACAATAGACACCAACAACTTCGTGCACTAATTGTGCGATTAGTGCTTAAATGCCAGCAATCGTAGTGAGAGGTAAATGTCATTAGACGGAGTCATTAATTTAAATTGTGGGCTAACACCGGGGGAACACAAATGAGTGTGACAAACATTGAACAAAAAAAATATGTGACTGCAAAATATACCCACATACTCCTGCATCACCTGCAAATATTGAACCCCCCTGCCCCCTTCCCCCACCCCGCCCCCCCCGCCTATCCTCCCTCCCACCTCCCCCACCCCACCTCCTCCACCCCCCCCCCACCTCGCCTCCCCCACCCCACCCCACCTCCCCCTCCCCCACCCGCCCACCCCGCCTCTCCCACCCCGCCTCCCCCACCCCGCCTCCCCACCCCGCCTCTCCCACCCCGCCTCTCCCACCCCACCTCCCCCTCCCCCACCCGCCCACCCCGCCTCTCCCACCCCGCCTCCCCCACCCCGCCTCTCCCACCCCGCCTCCCCCACCCCGTCTCCCCCACCCCACCCCGCCTCCCCCACCCCACCTCCTCCACCCCACCTCACCCCACCTTTATGATTCAATGAACTGCCACGAATCAAAGTCACGATGCGTTTCGAGTATCGATGATGCGTCATTGGTGCTGCCAACCTTTGTTTGTCCCGTCTCATTCATAAATACCGCCGTATTTGCACATAATTTTGCACAAGTCGCAAACAATCGATTTTACACGAAAATGTTCCATGCGGGTATATGCGAGCGTAATGATGAACTGCAATCGGTGACCCAAAGCTTAACTGCACGCTCAGTCACTCCGAAACAAATTCACCGGTGATGCCGCTGCAGCTGCGTTGGCAGTGGCGCACCAGCGCGGTTAACAAACGAAAATAAACTCAACGCATTCGTCAATGGTGCTGCTGAAAGAGAATAAATAAATAATAGGCAACATTTCCAGCAATAGCCCTTCTTCATAAATTCGTCTTATGTGTGTGAATCATTCATAAATTATTTACGTGCTATGACAAAGTGTCATTACCAAAAACACCGCCTGTGTCTTTCAGGCAGTGCTATTGACAAATGTGTTGTATTTTTTTTTTAGTTCTTGCATCAGGTTATAAGAAGAAGAAGAAAAAATCCCCAACAAATTATGAAAGTAATTCCATGACAAGAATAGGCATACAACATATCGCAGCAGTTTGCCTAATACTGTACATTAAATGACCTGATCATACATTTCGATTTAAAGCTTTCGTGACTGCAGGGATTCATCTTCTTGGTTCTTTCGGTAAAGTCACGTAGAATTGAAATAATAAAAGAATAAAAATAAAACATAATAAAATAATTCTCACGACGTTTCGGCCACAACGCAAGTAGCCGTCCTCAGGTGGAGAACAGGTCTGTCGAGGAGACAGAGTCTGAGGACGGATACTTGCGTTGTGGCCGAAACGTTGTGAGAATTATTTTATTATGTTTTATTTTTATTCTTTAATTATTTCAATTCTACGTGACTTTGCCGAAAGAACGAAGAAGATGATCATACATTGTCATGGAAATGGCCAAATGCACAGGGATTATCAGCAAGTGCTTTAATGCGTGCAGCCCTCATTAAAGGTGAACAGGTCACAGATGCCGTGCGTGGATCAGCCAGCCACGCACCTGGCCATCATTTCCTTCGTTTATGGCATTGATCACCACAGCATCTGGCTCTCAGTTTAATATGAGTCAAATCAAAAACAAACATCCCCCAACGCGTAGCCTTGAATACAGGCTGTTGGGACGTGTGCTGTTAGCGAGCACCTCTTGAGATCGGCACGGTGCGCGAGGCGGTGGCGCGGTTATCACCATGCCCGGCTGCCTTTGTCTCCCCAGTGCTGACTATTGCGCAATGCACCAGGCACTCATTGTGAGGACGAGTTTACCTGGGGGAGGCTCAGGACAGGTTCTAATATTACTCAGCACTGTTGTCAGCCGTGATTAGGAATCGAACCCAGTTCGCCTGTTTTTTGTTTGTTAACGCAGTACGCTAATCACTAAACCATTGCTCCCCACAACACGTGTGTATGTATGTTGAACTTCGTTCGCACCATTCGTAGCTAACTGCGTATGATCAGAGGAAGGACAACAGAGACACGCTCACACACATGCATAGAAAACAAACCAAAAAGATATACGTGCACGTATTGCGTTCATTTCGCTTTGATTATGTAATGACGTTGTGCCCAGTGACCGCTCGTTGGGCAGAAGCTGTGGAGATCTGCGCCGGGGCAGCGCTGAGCAGACCCTGGTGCAGGAGTGCGCTGTCATCGCTAATTGGGGCGCATTAGCCCGCCGGTGGGCCGGGGACGCGCGAGGAATTGAGCAGAGCCCTTCACGGACGGGCCCGCCCGCCCGCCCGCTCTACGCCCATCAAAACGCGCAGAGCGCTTCCAGTCTGGCGGCTGTGTTACTTTACTGTCGCCACCAATAAGTCGACATTGCAATCTGGTTTCCAGGAATTCAACTCCCGCCGCGCAATCCATTTGGCCTCCCTCCATTACCCCGACACCCCCCCCCCCAACCGCCCCCCCGCACCTCCGTAGGAGCAAAGAAAAAAACAGCAGAGCAAAGTCTGGACCAGACACTGTCAGCGTGGGGGGTTTGAATGTAACGAATGTACACGCCCGGCTGTGTTTACAAACGCACAACGCCTTCGGCGGATGCTGCGAATTTATCTCGGCAAATAAATACGCTTACATGGAATATTTCGGGCAGCAGCATTTCGTCGAAAGGAATCACGGCGTGATTTTAAAGCCGTATGCAATTTCTTAAAACAAGCCGTGAGGTAGGAGATGTCAACCGCCAAGGCGACCATCATTTCTAATGCCGTCGTTCCACTTCGTACGACGCTTGCATGTATCACTTAAAAAAACAAAAAACACTTCTATAAACCAGTGAACAACGTTCCTTTTCCTAGAGAACCAATAGAGCCCCATTTGAGATGGAATAAAAATTACTCTTTCTCGGCTGTAAGGTTCGAACAAAGTGGTGTAGTCCCAAAACTTACAGTAGCTGGAGCGAATAGAGGCCATCAAAGAGCCCTTTGGGCAGCTCGGTGATTTTATTCCCGTACAAAACCCTGCAAACGCACAAAGACATCGAACGTTACGGCGACGCAAAACACATCATGGGCAGATTCGTGCTGGGTTTTTTTTTGTGCGTGTGTGTGGCCACGATGGGAATGTAATCACGAGACGTGCAGGATCTCACTCACAGCGAGTTGAGGGTCCGCAGGCCCTGGAACGCATCCGGAGCAATCTCGGAAATCTGATTGTTGCTCAGATCACTGCGCGAAAGAAGGAATGAAACATTAATGCTTCCACGTTACGCACAGCCTCAAGCCAAGAGCAATAGCGATGTCAGCCTTCACAGAACACAACCTCATTTTGTACGTACAGCACACACACACACACACAGCATGCGCGCACACACACACAATGTGCAGTATTTTACACTCGGAGAATATCGCACTTTACTGAAATCATACGTGATTTAAACTGGCACATAGGAAGATTTTCATATTTGCAATTTCATTTTTACAATTTGGATTTATGCAACACCTAACTACCGCCGCATCTCGAGAATCTGCGGGCCAACGTGCATCATGGAGGTGTGTATAGACAACATTTCTTTAAGAAGGAGATACAGCTATAGTCTGAGGAGAAGGAGGAAGGTCTATAGCCAGGACTTGGACAAGGAGAGCAAAGCATGTTAATTGCATCAAAACATTTCGGAACTTGTGATAAAAACGAAATTAAACGTTGGATGCGTGGGAACATCACCAAAAAATGCAATTCCCCACGAAGCAGATTTGTTTTCGTTACAGAGGTTTAGAATAAAGTAAATCATCTTAAAAACCATTAATATATGCAGCAGCGAGTGGATCTTGAACACAAAATAGATTCTTCGCTCTGCGCTCCCATGCGATTATGATGTACAATCATCCGAAAGAGCACTGCCTCCCTGTTTCATCAGGAATTATGGGTAATAGATTTCGGAGCTCATTACGACGGTGTGAAACCTGCCCCACACTGGGCCCCAATGCCTCTCGAAAGAGACATTAAATTCGAAAATCAATTTGCGTTCCTGAGAATTTAACCATTCACGGGCTGGATGCAAGAGCAAACATTTGGCATGTGTTGGCATGTTTTGAAGTTGTCCGGATGCGAAATTCGAGATTTTTTTGTTTTTGGAAACTGGCAGTTATAACAAGTACACCTAAGTGCGATTTTATTCATATTTACCATTCTTAGAATTACAAAAAATTATATTCAAACACCTCTTATGTTCCATTCGGAGCAAAGGTTTTGTTACACAATTATCACCATATAAATGGAACCCGTTATCACCTAAGTGTGCAGGTGCGCGCATACATTAACGCGGTAAAGTGCATTATCTCACAGAATGAATTCATTCCGTGACATGATAAATCAGGCATTAATAGCTGCCAACTTCCTATTCCACTGCTCCTGTGACCTGCACTTTGCTTAATGAAGCAAACGGCACGAGTCTCCGGCGAGCACCAACGATGGGAGGGGGGGGGGGGCAGTGGCGCCCGCACGGCAACGAGTGGCTGAGCCCAGAGCTAAGCTCTTACGTAAAAAAGATTGCGAAATTTATTCGGAGAATTTTTTTTTCATCTACTTGGTTCTTTCGGGAAAAAAAGTCACGTAGAAGGGAAATAGTAAAAAAAAACATATAATAAAATTGTATTATTTATTATTTATAAAACATAATAAAATGTTATTTTTATTATTTTATTAATTCCCTTCTACGTGACTTTACCGAAAGAACCAAGAAGATGAATCCCTGCAGTCACGAAAGCTTGAAATCGAAATTTTTTTCGTTTGTCGGCCTGGTCGCTCAAACTGCGTTTAGTTTCCCAAACGGACGATTGACCGTGGCGTGGAAATGAACGCGGGGTGTTTTTATTTGTTAAACGATAAAGAAACACAGCTGACCTTTGTGTTTAAGAATGTTTGTGAGTCTGCGGCGGTGCACAAACACAAATTGCAAACTGAACATTATAGGTTCATAACAATACCCGAAAATTAAATAATATCTAAATATGTGATACTTGGGGCAATGGCTCTGTTCTTCTTCCTTTCTCTGCTATGAAGAAGAACTAATGCCCAAAACGACAGTGTTATTGACAAATGCGGCGAGCCTTATGTCATGCCGTATTATCTAAAAGTTCACAAGGGTGCTGCGTGCCCCTATATATATAAAACCGAGACATGTAGCCTCTTTAACAAGTTTCAACACAGACGTACACAAAAAAATCTACAAAAAACCCCACGTACATTCGACGGAGCTTCTTGTACGATGAGAAAGCACCGGGGGGAACGGACTTAATGCCGTTTTGTTCCAGTCGTCTGTAAAAGGCAGAGGAACAAAAAACAAACACGGACGTGCACTTTTAAATCAACATTTACACAAACCGCCTCCTGCCCACTCGAACGAACAAGCGGCGAGTGGCTGGCTGCCACAGACGGTCGATTACTTTTTATACACACTAATAATATTTACGCTGAAGCATCTATTAGCACTATCAAAACAGTGACATGCAAACGCACGGAGTTTGTGTGAACCGCGTGAACTGACCCCCGTTTGACAAGAGGCCCCCGTAGCACCCCTGACACAAGGTGGTCGAACAATGCCAAGAAACGTCTCCGTTGTTAAAATCAAGCAGGCGCTCGCTTTCAGTCAAAGAGATCCCTCGAAGCAAATTAAACAGAAATGGGTCCAAATACAGCGAGTAACACGAAGCAGATGCCTCCACGGGTTTAGCAGGCCGGGAAATGTGTTCTCAAAATTTATTTCGGCGCTTCCAGCAGAGTAGCATCAGGCCGGCTCGTCTCTTGCCTGCCTCGACATCGCGATTCGTGTCGTAAGAGGAGCCGACGAACCACCGAGAGGAAGCTTCCATCGCCGAGTTACAAACTGCTGCAGTCTGGCCAATGAAAATGTGTGCAACATAAAATTCCAGGCGGTCTCAATCTGCAAATTAATTAAGGAATCCCCACACCATGTTGGTGTTTTACCATCCTTCACTTCATTGGTCAGTGCAATCTGGTAAAGTGGGGGCGGCGGAGAAGGAGGGCAGGCCCAGTTGTGATATCACTCGCAACTGATGTTAACCGTGACCGGGGTTCGAACTCGAGTTACCAGGTTCACTGCGCGGCATGATAACCACCGTGCGACCACTCCAACCGTTTTGACCAACTGAACATTTCCTTCGGCGCTGCTCATGATAATATTCAAACCAGTGCAATGAACCAACTGACGATGTGGCACATCGCTGGAAGGATCGATGGCCCATGGTCGAGACTAATGATGTTGTGGCATCCAGGGAATGAAACGCGTCCGTGTGGACATCCACCGAGGAGGTGGGACGATGAATGATCTCGCGTGTAGGTGCTGCGTTGAATATTATTTCGCAGGATCGCAAACGATGGTGGTGGCTTCGGGAAGCCTTCATCCGGCAATGGCCGACGATGGCTGACGGTGATGGATGATGACGACGAGGCTGATGTGACAAACATGCCTCGTTTCGTGCACACGCAGACGATGAGCGAGGCGGAAGGCGTTGCACCGCTGTGTTTGGGATTGGCTCTCTACCTTGCCGCTTACAATCGGGGTGAAGACGACTTTGTCAACGACATTTGGCACCCACTTATTCATATGCCATTTTCCACGCGATTAAGGAATTCACAAATACCAGCTGGTATGCTTTGAAACCTCGGTGACATTCCCTTTCATGTACTCCTAGAGCTGGGAAATACCTCCGTGTTTTAACACGTGGTGTTACCGCTTGTAAAAGGAGACTTCCACGACTCTGCGTATTAACGGACAAAATGTACATCGGAAGTGCTGAAGTTATTCGTAATTAACTTTCATTCACATTTGTTCAGGTGAACTGTCGTTGATATCCATCTCCCGTTAGTCGGGAGCGATGTCGCGCAGTTCTATAAATGCATTAGCGACAGCAAAATTGAGTACTGCAAATTGATTTATATCTTTGCCAAAGTGTTGATGATATCTCGAATTTTGTTTCATTCAAGTTCATATAATGATGACCTTCTTACTTATTTCTGCCGTAAATTAAATAAAACTTACGCGTGGAATTTCCCTGTAAATTACAGTCGTTTCATCAAATAAGTTTTCATTCCTACAATTGTTCTCGTTACACAATACCCTATTCTTGGTGAACAACATCAAAGTTGGCCTCGGCAAGGTAAAAACAACGAGGCTACCTTTACCCTACCTTTTACCCTTACCCCATTCAAATGACCCGATTACAGGGTAATTACTGGGGTACTACACATGAAAAAGGTATGTAACAGGTAAACGCTAGGTAGAGTGCTTTATTCATATAGAATACTCTCGATGATTCCAATTTTAAATGGAGGCCACGGACTGCACCACGGAGCTCCTCGCGAGCGGCAAACAAGGTATTTGGGGGTAATTCTTCTGGCCTACCTTTATCCTACCCTTTACCTTACCCCTTGGCATGTCGACACCTTTACCTTACCTTGCCGAGGTCTACATCAAAGGGCTACGCTCGTCACAGTGAGTACAGGATAATGACACTGCCCAACTATGTCCCTCATACAAACAGACGTGAGACACAAAGCCCATGATGCAATGGGGCAATGGGGTCGAGTGGTGGCACAGTGCTTAAACGACTCTCACCTGAACTCCTTTCGCATCGTAGGTAGCCAACCATGCTAATCGGAGGTGTGGGTGTTCAAACAGATACTACTAGTAAACATTTTTTCCAGCCCCTTTAATGAATCAACTGCTAGACGAAATGCTTGTAATCCAGCACTGTGGAGGCAGCGAGGGTTGGTAAATTGCTGCACAACTTCGATTTAAAGCTTTCGTGACTGCAGGGATTCATCTTCTTGGTTCTTTCGGTAAAGTCACGTAGAAGCTTGCGTTGTGGCCGAAACGTCGTGAGAATTGTATTTTATTATGTTTAATTTTTATTATTTTATTATTTCCCTTCTACGTGACTTTACCGAAAGAACCAAGAAAATGCTGCACAACTGTTGCGAAACTCCCTTCTCCTCGTGGGCGTCGAGGAGTAGCCGTACCCTGGCTCGCCAGGAGAAGGTAACACTGCACAACGAAAGTGTGGACTAATCTGCATCTGTTTCCATCTGTACGCAAGACAGAGAGTTGCCCCCTCTCGCGCGAGCGAGTTTCCTCTGGGAACTCTGGTTTCCTACCCACTTGTATAATAAATACCCACACATTGGCTGACCAATTAAAAAAGAAAAACTCGATTTAAGAACCTCCTGAACAAATAAAAAACGAGTCCTGGACTCAGCGGGGCTTTCCTGGTTAGGTAATTAATGGAATAATGTTCAATCGTTAATGCACGGCTTTGAGAATTGAGCAAGGGCTTGGTACAGCGAATGCTTTGCTGCGCCCGCGCGCACTCTATCTCGCTCAGGTGCACGTACGTACGTTGGACTTGTTTCGCACCGTATGTAGCAAAACCGTGCCAATGGGAGGTGCAGGACGTGTGCACGGAGCTCACATCTCGGTGATGGCCTCAGGCAGGTTGGCAGGCACGGCCGTGAGGCCCTTCCCGCGGCAGTCCACGATGTTGTTGGCGCACGTGCAGGGCAGGGGGCACGAGCTGGAGGCCACGCTGCACGTCTGCGTCCTGGACACGTCCGAGTGACCTGCGCCACCGCAACCACAGCCACCACCACAACCACCACAAACACCACCACAACCACCACCATGCCACCACCGCCACCACAACCACCACCACCACAACCACCACCACAGCCACCACCACCACCACCACAACCACCATCATGCCACCACCACCGCCACCACAGCCACCACCACCACAACCACCACCATGCCACCACCACCACCAGCACAACCACCAGCACAACCACCAAAACCACCACCAAAACCACCACCACCACCACAACCACCACCACCACCACAACCACCACCACAACCACCACCATGCCACCACCGCAACCACAGCCACCACCACCACAACCATCACCACAACCACCACCATGCCACCACCACCGCCACCACAGCCACCACAACCACCAGCACAACCACCACCAAAACCACCACCACCACAACCACCACCACAACCACCACCACAACCACCACCACCACCACCACAACCACCACCACAACCACAGGCCGCAAAACGTTCTCCATCAGAACGAGAGCCGACCGGCACGAGCCAATGCAAACAACATCTGTAAGTTGTCTGTTCAAATATGCAAGATAAAATATAAATACATATTAAAAATGCCCACCCGCTGAAAAACGAGCTGAATTTATTCCAGCACTTCGAAGTCAGTTTAGGAGTTATCTCGTAAAATTTCCCCCGGTGAACTCAAAAGGTGTGAATGAACTTTATTTTTTCTGGCCCGTAACACCACTTGGTGTACGAGTACCATTCCTCATGATGTTCAGGGGGCTGCAAACGGTAACCGCTGCTGCTGCTGCTCCTATGGGAGCGCACTTGAGACTATTTATGAGGTGATGAAAAGTAGCCGTACATTATTGCACCACGGCCAGAAGGAAAAAAAACCCAACAACCATTGCTCGTGCCAAGCAGAGCTTTGAAAGAGGCAGGACTTGTACAATGTATTCTGGCAGCACCGTCAACCGACGAGGCACCACCCATAATAACGTTTTTGTTGTTGTTGGGTTGTTGTTGGGTTAAATAGCGTAAATATAATAAATGTGTCGTTTAAACACACCCGACACAGCCAATTCATGAGGTTTGTCTCGTGAACAAAACGTGCCAATTGGTTACTACTTCAGCGCACCAGTGTGTTGGAGAGTAAACCCACTGCAAAATTTACAATTTGAGTGCCACGTTTTCGCTGGTGATTACAACCAGCCTCATCGGGCGATTTGCCAGAATTGAAATATTGAGAATCGAATTGAACAAGGTCACTTGGCCCGATCCTTTGCCGCGCAATACAAACGCATCGCCCCCCCCCCCCTCCATCCAGGGCTGGGCAACGGCCAGCACAAATAAGTTTGGCTTATTAAGCAAGCCCTGCAGAACATGCACCAAATTATTCTTCAATAACCCCCCCCCCCAAATCCCCTTTCCTTACCCCAAACAGACAGACCAGAATGATGAAGAATGGGCAAGCAACCCCCTTGACCGACCAAGCGTGGGGAGGCCTTCATCCAGCAGTGGATTTAAAACCAGCTGTAAGTTGTGACTATTATTATTATTAGGCTACGATAATGTGGCTTTTCTTTTTGCGTGCCGTTAATTCATGGCACGTGCATATATTCACGGCACACACAGAGATCTGCCGTGATGATTTGCCATCGTTACTCATGAGCGCACGGTCCTTTGGAGATGTTGTCTGCTTTAATTTCCTCTTAGATCAGGGTGCCCAAATCAAAATTAAACCACCCACCATGAGCGCGCAACACGATTACAACGACTCAGTTCTCCAACACAGAGAAATATTAATTTTGGGTGCTGTGACGCATTTTCACGGGGCTCTCTGTCCCCTTAAACAAAGGCGACCAATGAATCAGTCCGCTGACGTGCGCACACAAAGATCTTACAATGGCCTATCGATCGTGAGCTGTGTGACACTGCCAGGTTTGTCAGCGTAATTCCTCACAATGGCTTAATAGGCCCTCGTCAAGTTGAACCGGGCATCCAAATGAGCTCCATAGGGCTCAATGAAACTGCTATATCCCTTCTAAAAGAATAACATTCACTCGGGTTTCTTTATATATAGAAATGTAAAACAACAACAACGTGCGGAAAAACACTTTCAAATGCAGCAAGTGGACACACAATGAAAGCAAAAGAGGTTTAATTGATCATCAGTGCATTACCTTATGGAAAATGGGTTAATTGATGTTAATGAACAAGTTAGTAGACAATGTACGAATTAACTATTTACAACAGATTGCTAGCGGTGAGCAGCGGCTACTCGAATGAGTGGTATCCATCTGTGAGAGTAAGGAGGACCAGAAGCGACGACGAGGTGGTGGTGGTGGCGGTTATGTTGCGTAATCGTGCATCAAACGAAAGGTAAAACTTGCCTTCGTCATCGTCTGGAGAATAGATTCGTATAATCGCGAGAAATGCATCAGGCCCAACCAAATGCAGAGCAAACACACCGGACAATAAATCAAAACGTTATAAATTATGCATTCGTAAATTAAACCCGCGCGCGCGCACACACACACACGTGCACGTACTTTGATTTAACAGCTTTAGATTGGCTGTGACCTCAGGCTAATGACTGACAGTGCCAATGGCGTCGTGTGGTTGGCACGGGCCAAGGTGCAAGGCGTTAACTGCCCCCCCCACCCCAGTCCAATTTACACCCCCCCCACCACCCCCCCACTCTGTGTAGCCTGTGGGCTCTGGAGCAGTTGCACCGCCTGCACACCCCACAGCTACAGTGCTGGAGAGTGCGCTAGTTCAGTATGTGCTTGTGTATATACCTCATTGTGTTTTCATCTCTGTACAGACAACGGATTAAATTTAACTTGATGGATTTAAGGAGGTAGGGTGAAAACAGGTTGGAGCTCTTTTGGATAACATAATTTGATAATGGAAGGTGTTTTTAATCAGCGCGTACTAGCTGCTGATGTCAAAAAACAGATTCAGAATCAAGGGCACCGGCAAAGCAAATGTAACATAAGCTGAACAGCGCACAAATAATCTCAGAGAGGTTGCGTGCTTAGAATTAAAACTGAGAAACGGAAGGAGGACTGCATGGGACAGAGGACTAACGCAATCTAGAAACATCACGTTGACCGATTAGATAGGTGGGTTTGGGGCAGTGCAACACTGCAAGAGGCGATGGCCAGTGGTTGAGACTAGTGATGGAGTTACAGCTAAAGGAGGGAATATGGGCAAGAGTGTGTCCACTGCGAGGATGCAGCAGTGATGTCGTCTCGTTTAAAATGAGCTTGGCGGATTGCTGCGTCACAAGGGGCAGCAGGGATTGCATTGGCATGGGGAGGTCGTCATCCAGCAGTAGATAGGTCATGGCTAGCAGTGGATAGATCATGATAGCAATTAGGATAATTACATACCTTTTTAAAACAAAACAATTCTAGCAAATAATATATATGTTAAAACGATTGTAAATTTGCCTCCGAATATTGTTGTTATAGAGCTTCAAGCCTGCTAGACTGAGGTCACAGACGCGTTTAGCATTCACCGATTCAACATGCAATGGTCATCTCGTCAATGCGACTTTCGGTTTTGTAAAAACTCGTGGTAAAATTCTGGAAATACTGGTTGTCATCATGCAGGATGCTTGAGTTAAAACACATCAGGGACACACACACGCATTCCCCACCATTAGCACGCCCAGTCACCTTCACGACTCTAGCATGCATGCACCGTTTTAAGTGACAAGTGTTCTATTGCGTGATGGCGCGAGCGTGGTGCCTAGAAAACTAGAACACGTGGTCAATGTCACATTCCCTATTTGCCTACGATAGCGACTTGTAGCAAAAAAATGAATCTCTTTCTATAGAAACTTCCAATTATCTTGCCTACTTGCTGTCGTGCGGCACTTCCGCCGAATCTCAAGGCGCCGCGGATTCGCACGCGTGCGAGGAACAAGACGCCGGAGCGATTTCCGGCCGGTGGTTCTCACCTGAGCACACAAACTCCTTGCGCTGAACCTCCGCCACGTTGAGGCCACGCAGGTTGGCGGGGCTGGCGCACTGAGTGAAGAGGCCGATCCTCGGGCGTTGCCTGAGCCAGTCGGACAGCCAGGCCAGGTGGCAGTCGCACTGGAGGCTGTTCGAGTGCAGTCGGCTACGTGCGCACAAACGGCAGACAGCGGGGTCGGTGAGTTGCGTGCGTGTGCGCGTAATGTGGGCACCAGCGGGGGCCGCACACACACACACACGTGTGCGTGCGTGCGTCCGCGGGAAAGAGGAGCAGACATTCGCACAACAGGATTAGAAAGAATATCGTGAGGGGGACAAAAAGAACGTGGAACAATCATTCAAACGTTCAAGTCATTTCCTGTCCAAGTGAGCTTTGAGGCATTGCCTTATCTTCCGTTTACAGCCCCTGGGTCAGTGGTGGAAACTCCACGTTCCCATGGCGGGGACAAGTAATGTCTGTAGGATGACCAATGATGAATAAATAATTAACGTGGGGTTATTCTTATCATTGCTGCCGTCGTGTTCGAGCTCACGTAGCGTTCACAACATTTGGACGTGCACCCAATCTAGCCGCGCCTCTCCGGGCCCTTGTTGTGAAAATCGTTTGCGTAATTAATTCGCTTTTGTGATCACTGATCACCCAGTCGTGGCGTGACATCCGTGGAAGTGCAGCGACAAAAAAAACCGAGGCAAATTAGGGACGCGAGAGGCGGCCCCGATTTGGCAACCGGGCCCTCTGTTTTTTTGCGCAGTGAGCATGCCGCATGCTGCCGCTGGGGCCGCGCTCCTCTGTCCCTGGCAGGCACGCGCGACAGTTGGTAACGTACGAATGAGTCGGCGGACATATATCGGTGTGTGCGTGTAATTGTTAATGACGAGGAGACCGCACGCATCGGACAGACCGTTGCCAGTGGGAGGGAGTGGACGAGATTTTCAGGGTTTTTTTTCCCCACCGCGGTGGGCGTGAGGTTCTCCGCTGGCGGCTATGACCAGGGCAAAGGGGGGAGTTGGAAAGGGGAGGCGAGTGTGTGGGGGGGGGGGGGGGGCGTATTTCCCCCTGCTGCCAATGCTCTGTAAAACGTATTAAATTAGCACGTCAAGCATGTGTGGGGAGGCGGAGGCTTTTAAGGAAATTAGAAAGCTGGCCTATCTAATTTGTCAGTGAAACATTCATCATAGGAGAGTCAAGCATCCTACAACATATCATCATGTCAATTCATAAGCACTCCCCCCCCCCCCGCCCCCCCCCCCTTTACCGGGTAGAGCCACTTAGCATGCAGTGAATAGCGTTCTCTCTCGTCGTGTGACAAGGCTCCCCAGCAAAAGCCTTCTTCTTTATTGCGGCTATCATTTAGCCGCGAACGTCGGCAGACGTGACGTGATGATGTCTAATTTGTTAATGCACCTCTTGCTGCGACGAATTGCGATTTAAAAAGGGGCAGCGTGTCACGGTAACTTACAATGTCCTTAGCTTGGGCATGTGGTTGAAGCTCGCCACCGACAATGAAGTAATGTTATTGTTATTAAGCGTGCTGAAACGAGAATGAAAAATGAACATATGGTTAGGCCCACTCGTGTAAAAAAAACACATTTAAAGACCATTTTCTCTTGAAGCACACACGGGTAATGCCAAGTTTCTACTCTGGCCATGGTAGATTTAGCGCACATTTGTTGTAAGAAAACACAGAAGAATAAATTATAGCTTCTGCTAGTTTCAGAACGAAAAGTTACCCACCTCAGCCCTCAAACGCGGTCGCCCGTTTCTTTCTACATCGTTTTCAATTGTGCGCAATAAAACGAGCTAAATAATGTACGGGCACACCTTCCCCTGTTTGAAATCCACCAACAAACAGCGCAGGAAGAGTGATGCATTAAATTAAGGTATCGCTGTATTCATCTCCTGGGAGGCACTGTCGTCTGAAAAGGTTATCCCTCCCTGTGAAATTGATTGGGCTGCGCATTAATATAAGTGTGGCTTAACCCCAAGCACTGTGTGTCAAAGCTATTACAGAGGGCATCTGATCTTTTTGCCACTCTGAAGACTCAGCACTCGGAATCAGCTGTGGATTGTCTCCGCATTATTCCGATCGTTCATCACGTAGAGAGAAAGCTCGCTGTAAAATTGTTTTGTATATGCGTGCTCTGTCACAAAATGCAAAATCGCGCTCATCTTCTCTCCTTAAGTAACCGTTCGGATTGCGCGGATGTTTCGAAGCCTACTGTTTGCACACTCTGTAATTGGAATGGCATTTTCTTTGTCCGGAACAAGCAATAGACATTAATGGGAAACACAAATGCGGATATGGGAAATAAGTAAATAAACCCAAAAACGTTGATTATGAAAAATATCATAACGAAAACATTCGCTTGTACTAACGAGCACTTTACAGCCTCTGCAGCAAACCTCCAATATATTTTGACAAACACCGGCAAATGCGTACAGGACATTCAAAAAAGTGTCAACTCACAAGACTTCCAGGTCACGCAGAGCACGGAAGGCCCCATCCTCGATGCACGAGATGCGATTGTTGTCAAGTTGCCTAGAAGACAGCGACAGAGGAAGAACAGAGAGACAAGCGCACAGCTCACGGAAGACAATCAGGCGGACAGCCTCCGCAGGGCAGAAAGGCTCAGAGCGAGAATTCTCTCGGCCGAATCCGGTGACCGAGTCGCGTCCTCGCCGCTGTCGCCGCCGCTAACGCCGGCGCGGCAATCCCCGCCGCCTGCGCTGAGAGTGGGGGCGAGGCGACTCGAGGGTGCTCCTTTTCTAACGGGAGGCACGGACGATACGAGCGCCGTCCCCGGCGCAGGCGAGCATTAAAAAAATGAATCGCGCTAACGTAGTAAATATTCATGCTGGCACCACTGCTGCCTCCCCCCCCCGCACCACCACCCCCCCCCCCACGTTCCTAAGCGCCAGCAGCCCAGACCCACGAGCCCTTCCACCCATCCTCCCCCTCCTTCTTCTTCTTTCTCCTTTTTTTTTGGCTCGTGACTTAGTAATTTCATTAAGTAAAGTCGCTTATCCATTACGGGGCTTTTTTGCTGTCATGTCCAAGGCAACAATTTCATTAAGAGAATGGGGGCCATAAATCAGTGGGTTGCTGCTCCAGCCTTTACTCTCTTTCCCCTCTTTCCCAGGGCCCATCCGCCACTTATTATATTTTGCCAAAGGTAGGCCGAATTGAATTTTAATCTGGAATAGGCTCTGCAAGTTGGGGTAGGAGTATGCGCAAAGTTGCCATGCCAAGCGGATGACATCTCGTAGCGGTGGATTGTACAAAAGACGTGATCCTGTCGATCAATGTATATTTTTTTAGTGGAGCGAAAGTAAGGATCGAACAAAAGAGTCTTATTTTGGTAGTGTACGCACGTAGCATTTTAAACTTAACTTAAGTGCAAATGTTTATCAATTAGCAAATTCACAAGCTTCACATTGACCAAGGAAACCTGAAGAAATGTATTTAAACAAAATGACCAATTTCGACACGAGCAGGCTAGATAGTTACACAAAATGAACTCATACTAAATACATGTGCCACCTTTAATTCGTTGTTTTTGTGTTTATAATGCTTTAGATCAGGAAAGGCAGCCATGTCTCTAATTATCACGGTGTCACTTTGCTCTCAGACGTCCTTCAAAATCTCTCAAGTTGCCATTAGAGGCAGCTTCCATTCAGCCTAATATACATATACAGTAAAACCTTGGATTGCGAGCATAATTCGTTCCGGAAACGTGTTTGTAATCCAAAGCACTCGTATATCAAAGCACTCGTATATCAGGTGTGATCACGTGACGCTCGGCAGACAAAGCGTATACACGTACTACTCGTATTGCAAGACCTCGCTCGTTTATCAAATTAATATTTATTTAAAAAATTTGCTCGTCTTGCAAAACACTCGCAAACCACGTTACTCGCAATCCAAGGTTTTACTGTATATATAAAAAAAAATCCTGACCCGAATCCTGACACTGCATTGTTCCACCCATCGTGTGGCCCTGGGGGGAAAAAAATCTAGACGGCTTCGTTCGCATTACTTATCGACGCATGCACAGCAACGTGCGCATGTATACGGGCTCATTGGAACATGTCACAGAGTTGGATGCCCCTACGGTCTCGGCAATTCCTCTTGTCGGAAACGGTCGGGCGTGCTGGTGGGACCAGAAAGGGTGACAGCACCAGGGCTGGGTGGCCCAAAGACAGATGACTTATTTCTCGCATTCCCTTCCTCATCTGCCTTCCTCTCCCTCTCCTTTTCCCCTCTCTCCATTTTTTATCGTATTTTTTCTTTTGTGTTGCGTGGGAAAAATGAGCTCCACCTCACCTGCAGCTTTCAATCACTCGGCCGTCCATTCATCCCCCCGATTCATAACAATTCCTTTCACAGCTTTATCACGAAGGCAAACATGCACACAGTTCACCTGACGTACCCTATAAATTGTATTATATTTAAACAATGTGTGTATTTTTCCTAAAATGCCTTCTGAAAAAAGGGATCTTTCTCGCGTTCTTTCTCTCTCTCTCTGTCACACAGGCTTTACATGCGTGTGCTTTACAAGGATGCACATGCGTCGTGTTTGCCTTAACAACGATAGAGCTTCAGACAGCGTTCGGTAACATCACCATAGATAAACGTTATGTCCGTCTATCGTTGATGAATTTGTGCCAAAATTGTTTTTTACGAAAAGCCGTCATGCTGGAATGAGTGCATTGTCACGGAAAACAAAGTTAAGCGTGATTCACGGCAAGTGCTTCCAGCGATTGATAATCCACGCTTCCAAGAGTAAAACATTACGGCCGTGAAAAAAACCAAGCCCAAAACTTTTGTCAATGCATTCGCCAGGCCAAGTGCCAACCCGAAAGATGCCAAGGGAGCCGCAATTTCTCTCGATTGATTAGTTTACGTCTTATTAAGTACGGAACTCTAATCTATTAATGGAACATTATTCTCCCCCGTGAGCGAGCGCTGGCTTGCATCTGTCAGCCAGAAATTTTACATCATTATCATCATCCTCTTAATTATATTAACAAGGACGAATGCACCCTGGCCAAAAATGGTGCAAGTTACAAACAATACATGTGGCACGCTAATTGTGGGCCGGAAGCTGTTGTCAGGTGGTTCGACACTTGCGCTATGAACCAAGCGAGACGAGAGTTTAGTTCGTGGCCACGGCTGACATCAGCGGCGAGTGTTCCCTCGAGCAACTCCGCCACTTCGCCAGCCTGACAGTGACTGACGTGATCAAGTACGACCCCCCCCCCCGCCCCCACCGATGACTGACACAGTGTGGGGAAAGCCTTCATCCAGCAGTTGAACAGGCTTCAAATGCCAATTGTTAACTTACTTGTAAAGAAGGTGCACCTGCTATGATGCACCTGTGTGTGCAGTATGATCAGAATATTTATTCCAACTGGAGGAATCCGGTGAGCTATCAAGCTCTTTTTCTCCGCCAGCAGAAGCGGGTACGCTAAGTGCAGGTGCGTGGTATAGGCGCGCAGCAACACCCACGTAACGTAACGAGTGCCTTCGTTTTTTTTCTTTCTCCCCCTTTTGTTAGGAAACAAATATTCTGCATTGGGGAGCGTATGGGGAGTACAGCACTGCGGTCCAAGTGGATGGGGAAAAATACATTATGCATGCAGGGACCTTCTCCAATGCAGAGCCACACACATTTAAATAAATAAGTCGTCGCGCAGTGAGGGGAAGGGGGGGGGGCAAAAGCAAAACAAAACCCCCTCTCGGACAGACCAAGGACGAGTCGAGGAGCTTGACAGCAGACAAGCGGGCGGCATTTACATTTTTTTAGCCCAAACAACCTCCGATGGACCCGTCAGAAGGTCGCCCCACGCCGTGCCGCTGCGCACAAGGCACGGCGTGGGCAGGGTCGGGGCAAGGAGGGACACAGGAGGGCACATGCCCAGCCAGCGTGTCCAGGCCCTCATTGCCCCACCCCCCCCCCACAATTTGATGCCAGTAGGAAAGTTTAGGGTGCGTCTTAAAACGGTGTTTGGATGCCGTATTCGCTGGTGTTGTGCACTGTGTAATTGTGTGCGGCGGTGGTGGTGGTGGTTGTGGTGGCGCTTTGTAAAATCTGGCAATGGGCCAGGGATCTTTCCCCCGCCCCCCTTCGCAACACCGGCTTCTGTTTTGTTATTGCAGCAAAGTAGGTGTTGATATCTGGAGGGGGAACACCCAAACCGTATGACGTGGCAGTTGTAACGAAACGTGATGTGTTTTTTGGCGATGACACACGGAGTCGCTGTTAAACTAAGGTCAGGGCTAACAAAACACAGCGATGTGAGTGACCACTGGAGTTTTTGTTAACTTACGTGACCAAGTTTTTATAGGGGGAAAAAACAGGTATTGGGCAGCTCTATCAGGTAAAGAAAAAAACCGTGACAAAGTCATGCTTGGCTGGTTATTAGTCACTGAGGGCACTGCACTAAATCGTATCATCCTCATGATGAATCACCCAATTACATTTCTAAAATAAAAAAATAGCTGCAAGACATGCGCATACACATTTTCCTTGTACACACAAGTCACACGACATCTGCCTTATATAAATAAGTAAAATTTATTTTTAAATTAAATTGAACGCTGCTAAATAAACTTCATTGCTCACAGATTTTTGATGTCCGTCACGCCACGGAACGCCTTCCTGGGGATGGCCTGGATCAGGTTTTCGCTGAGGTCCCTGTGTGCAACAAATCGACAAAAAAAAACAAAACAAGCAAAAAACACTCAGTGGCGCAACTTCAGCATCAATACGTACCAAGAAGACCTGTCCCTGAAACAATCCATAACAATCTGAGCAAATGCATCGGACAATCGTGGCACAGGCACTTAGTGCCAAGATAAAAAAATTCAGCGTTATGGATGTCCGCTTGCTGTGGAAATAGAATGGCAAGTGTTGGAATATTATTCACTCGTGATGTCTTCGCTGTTTCTGTGACTGGGCAAAGGCAGTGCTGAGCAAAGACGTGTTCAAGGTGAAAACAATGCAGCGTTGGGGAAAGCAACGTTACGTCACGGTGGCTTTGGAAACCCAATCAAGAAAACCCATTCACAAAAAGCATCTAACAAATGATTGAGTACAACTGGAGAGACAGCTTCATAGTTAATCCTTCATCTTTTACAACGTTTGAAACCTTCTGGAATACCGTGTTACACTTCAAGGATTTATTTCCTTGCATGTGTGTGCTGTGTTGCAAGTTTATAAGGATCTCTGTGTTTAAGGAGACTCTACTGCTCTATTAAGATGCCTTTTTAATAAAATCCAATCCCAATAGGATGGCACATCAGACAGTGGCAATTCTGAATTATAAAACCTTTAAAGAGAGAATATAGACCTGGGCACGAAGAGTAGGCTCAGTACTGAATCAATAGCCAGCGCTTTTGTAGATTTTAGCATTAATTATAGTGCTGGAGAACTCCGTAGCCGTGTCTCTGGTGGTAGAGGACAGATTCCACTTCGCGGGTTTGTGCATTCGCGCGTGCTCGTGTGCGGTGCGCGTGCTCGTGTGCGCGTGTGCGCGCGCGCGGTGCGTGTGCGCGTGCTCGTGTGCGTGCGCGCGTGCGTGTGCTCGTGTGCGTGTGCGCGCGCTCGTGCGTGTGCTCGTGCGCGCGTGCGTGTGCTCGTGTGCGGTGCGCGTGCTCGTGTGCGCGTGTACGGTGCGCGTGCGTGTGCGTGTGCTCGTGCGCGGTGCGCGTGCTCGTGCGCGCGTGCGCGTGCTGGTGCGCGCGTGCTCGTGCGCGTGTGCGCGCGCGCGCTCGGCACACACGCCGCCGCTCTTGCAGGTGGTGCAGGTTAATTGGAACTCAAAGTGGGTGCGGCGCAATTAAGCGTCAGCGCCCGTGTTCCAATTACCTCCACCTGCTTCGCGCAGCTGTGTTGCGGTTCGACTGCAAAAATAAAAAAAACCTCCCAAGGAGGTGGAGAATCGAGCCCAACAAAAAAACCCCCCAAAACCAAAAACCAAACGCGGGGCCACGTCGGCCCACCGCCCTCGCCAAACGCCGGGAGCGCGCGCGCGGTTCGCTCCACGCACCGCTGTGAATCAATTACCGGTGCAGCAGCAGCAGCAGGGCGGCCGTTTCGAAGGGTAGTCGCTCATGGCTGGACAGGGATCCACACGGGGGCGGCTGACTGAGAAGTGAGCAATGCGCAGTGCGTTTAACCCAGTGGTTCTTAACCTTTGCTGCAGAATTGCACCCCCCCTTTGTTTCTCAATCGTAAAAAAAAAGTACACTTAGTAAATGCGTAGAGGGTTTGGTGAAGCAAAGTAGTTGTAGTTACGTGCCCGCGCTTAATTATTTAACTTCGAAAGAAATCTGGCCACGTCTCGCACCCCCAGAAAGGGCATCTTGCCCCCCCAGGGAAATGCGTGCACCCCAGGTTAAGAACAACTGGTTCAACCCGAGCTCCACCGCTTAACTTAAACAATGTGGGCGCGTAACCGATGGAACACCCAATTTGTCGTTTCAACATTGTTTAGCACGCAACAGCGGCGCAGCTAATGAAAACGCACAATTATACGAACACGCCCCGTGCAAGTTTTACTCCAGCATAAATAAAGATTCTGATTCCGATTCTTAAGTGACTCGAAAACGACGCATAAAGTAATCGAAAATGAAATGTGTCCCGAGTCAGACGGAGTTGTTGATTTCACAATGGGGAAAGGTGCATTTGCAGAGCAAGGGTTTCCACCTGTCCTGGTTTTCCCAGGACGTCCTGTTGCTGAAAGGTATCCATGCTGGGACATAATAAAGAACTGGTCGTGTAATAATACAACAGTCGGGAGCAATGGCTTTACATGCAGTGCCTCCCTCTTCCAACATTGCGAGATTTTTCCTCTTCCCACGATATGTCGTGGGGACTTTTCGTTTTTTTTTACATTTGAGTGGTGGTAACCAGAGGTTGTAGCCCTACTTCAAACCAAACAAATGACCCCGACGTAGGAGATATGTCTGCGCACAAGAGCTTGGAATTAAGGGGGGAGGCATTGATGCCTTACCTGGCAAAACAGTGGCACACGCGGCTGTAAAGAACAAAACCAGGACGTGTCTGCCTGGTTGCTCGCAATGGAAAATGTAAGAAACCTCACAGTGCTTGTACATCCGTCACCCCGGAGCACCAAGCACCTTGTGTTTGATGTGGTAATTGGGAGGCGTTTACAATGTGCTGGTAACTATTACATCCGCTTAACCCTGGCATCTTTTTAGACGCCCAGAGGCGGATTTCATTCTTAAAGGGAAAAATAGGCGGTCGTATAAAATGTCTCGCTTTGTAAAAAAATTGTAATCCACAGAAGTGGGTGTTGCTTTTTAAAATGTGTCTGAAATTAATTAGTCACTCTGCACAAAGCGCGGCTCCATGCCTGTGTGCGAAGTTTGTATTTCGAGAGAAGCTCGGTTTACAGCTGTAATAAGGAATATGCTTTTAATTTAGTAATTTGTAATGCATAACAAGCATTTTTTTTAACCAAACACAAATGTGCCCTCGATACCTAACAGCCGTGCACGATATGCAGTGAGGTTCTACAAATGAAAAATCGATTTCTAGGCACAGAGATGCCAAACGTGAACCTTGACTTCATAAAATGGCGAGTCCTTGGCTGTGTAAGTCACCGAGCAATGTTAAAATGACCATTTACAAACGAGGCCATGGTCATGGTGTATTCAAATCCAAAGGCGCCAAGACCATTTGTGTAAAACGTGGGCACTATTGAGACCTCCTGGTGAGTGAGAGGTTTTGGCTTCAATTAGCAGGAATAAATATCAGCCCTACTCGCAGCAACTACGCCAATGCGGGCAAAGAGCCTCACAGTCGCTCGTCCACTATGGTCAATTTGAAGCACGTGGATATCTTCCCACTGGTGTGCGTAATAAGCGAGCACAGTGTTAAGTTATCTTCCACAAATAAACCCTCTTACACTAGCACGTCCAAATTATACAAGTACAGAGATTGAAAAACAAAAAACTACTGTGGCTTATTCACTGCTGGACGAAGGCACCTCCATTCCGTGGCACTTGTGGGGGGAGGGCGGTGTTTGACCATACTTCGCTATGCTGGTCAGTGCGAGTTAGTGAATGGGTAGGGGAGGCTGAGGACTGGTCCGGATACAGTCGAACCTCTCTTAACGATCACCCCACCTGCTAACGACTCATCGCTTAACGGTGGGCCTCCATTGAGCCCAATGTGTAGTGTATAGTGTAGTGTATAGTAGTTGTGTAGTAGCGTGTCGTAGTTTAGTGTATAGTAGCGTAGTGTATAGTAGTGTAGTGTATAGTGGTGTATCGTAGTGTAGTGTACAGTGTAGTGTATAGTCGTGTAGTGTATAGTGTAGTGTATAGTAGTGTAGTGTATAGTAGTGCCTCCATAGAGCCCAATGTGTTCGCTTACCGACCATGCCCTTGTTAATGACGGGTTGTTGTAGGTACAGTAAATATTAATGAATGCATTGATTAACCATGTTTCTTTTAAAATAATGTGTTCATTCTGTTAGTATCTTATTGTATTAATATCCATTTTTGGGTTTAAAGGGGTAACTTTGGATGCTATCGGAACGAATTCAACTTTTAACATGTATCTCTTATACTCGCTGAACGACCAAATCACTTAACGACTGGTTTCGTGGAACCAATCACCGTCGTTAAGAGGGGTTCTGCTCTATTGCTCGCCGCTGATGTTAGGCCACCAGGTTAATCTTTTCTTATCCTAAGATAATGTATATAGCGCATTGTTCAAGGCGCTTTGCACAGAATGAACAGTGGTACGTATGCATGTAATGGTGGAGCTGAGGTGAATGACGTAGATGAGAGGAAGCGATGGGTGGTAAATCTGTGACGATGATGCGCGACTTCGGTGAAAGCGAAATTCACAAGTGACGTCATCACATCTGTCCCTCTATTTAAGGAACGAAACAGGAGGATTTGCTCATTTGCTCTCCAACACACCGGTGCGCTGTACTAGTAACGAATTGGCATGTTTTGTTTACGTTACAAACCTTACTAATTGGTTGTGTCGAGTGGTGGCGGGTTTAACGACACATTTATATTTACGAGATCTAACCAAAAAAAAAACCTAAATTATGAAAGTGACATTGCTGACAGTAAATGATGAATAGATTGAATGAATAGAGAATGAGTGAAAGCCTTATGAGAATAACGTAAAGGTGGCGGTTATGAGGGGGATAATTAAGGGGCCGTGGGGTGAGCAAGGAAACAATAAGTGAGCTTTGAGTGCGGAGCGGAAACTTGCGAGCAAAGGCGACTGTTTCATGCGGAGAAGTTTGTTCCAGTGAAGGGGGCAAGAAGAGAAAAGGAGCGAAAGCGTGATTGAGCTCAAGGAGAAGGAGGAACGGAGAGAGAGAGACAGCAAAGATTGACAACGTAGAGGGCAAAAAAGCGCATAGGAAGATAACGCAGTGCCCAGGAACACTGCATCACCAGTGCCCCTCTGCACACACACACACGTCACGTACGCTGGGATAGGGCACTGACCCAACAGCACTGCCTATTATGACATTTTTTATTTATTTTGCCAGGTAAGGCCCACTCAGCTATGCAGCTCTTTTTCAGAAGCGACCTGGCCACAAATTAAAGCTCAACGAAATGGCTTATAGCAGCCAAATAATCTAAACGCATGTTACTAAATGTGGAGGGAAAAACCGGAGGATCCGGAGAAAAGTCCAC